GGGTTTAGGGTTTAGGGTTTGGGGTTTAGGGTTTAGGCTTTAGGGTTTAGGGTTTAGGGGGTTTAGGGTTTAGGGTTTAGGGTGTAGGGTTTAGGGTTTAGGGTTTAGGGTTTAGGGTTTAGGGTTTAGGGATTAGGGTTTAGGGTTTAGGGTTTAGGGTTTAGGGTTTAGGGTTTAGGGTTTAGGGTTTAGGGTTTAGGGTTTAGGGTTTAGGGTTTAGGGTTTAGGGTTAGGTTTAGGGTTTAGGGTTTAGGGTTTAGGGTTTAGGGTTTAGGGTTTAGGGTTTAGGGTTTAGGGTTTAGGGTTTAGGGTTTAGGGTTTAGGGTTTAGGGTTTAGGGTTTAGGGTTTAGGGTTTAGGGTTTAGGGTTTAGGGCAGGTCGTGCGCCGGGGCTCATCCACGTCGGAGACCGACGGCGGCGTGATGCCCACGCAAAGGTAGCTGTCCTGGAGCTGCGCAAGGCGGGAACCCCTGAGCTGAGCCCAGACCCTAAACCCTAAACCCTAAACCCTAAACCCTAAACCCTACAACCCTACAACCCTAAACCCTAAAACCCTAAACCCCAAACCCCAAACCCTAAACCCTAAACCCGAAACCCGAAACCCTACAACCCCAAACCCTACAACCACAAAGCCGCTGGGCTTGCCCACATTATGCTCTGGAAGCGCACGATCCTTTCACTTAAGTCTACAGCTTAGGGTTTAGGGTTTAGGGTTTAGGGTTTGGGGTTTAGGGCTTAGGGCTTAGGGCTTAGGGCCTAGGGCTTAGGGCTTAGGGCTTAGGGCTTAGGGCTTAGGGCTTAGGGCTTAGGGCTTAGGGCTTAGGGCTTAGGGCTTAGGGCTTAGGGCTTAGGGCTTAGGGCTTAGGGGTAGTTCTTAAACCGCTTGAACCCCCACACCCGTCAACGGATCTCAACCAGGCCACAGTGGGAGCATCGCGGATGACGACCTGTCAAAATTTCGGGCGTTGGGTTCAGGACTTAAGGCCTCTCTTGTGGGTGTTAAGAGTGTAGGAGTTTAGGGGTGCTGCTTTGGGCAGTCAGGGAGGTTGGAGCAGTCTGGGCGTGTCTACGGAGAATCTTCTCAACTGGTAGGGTGTTGGGGAGTCAGGCTGTATGAAGGGCTTCAGAGGGTTGTATAAGTGAGGTCTCATGGTCCTTCAGCATTGTACACGAAACTAGATTAGGGTCTCCCCAGGAAATCGCTCACATTGTTCGCACTCCTGCTTAACGCCGAGACGCTATCCTGTGAAGATACATCTGTTCACTTCGCTGCATTCCTTGCACTTGTAAAGGTCTCTTATGGGTGTAGGGCTTCGGGTTTGGAGCTCACCCTAATCCCTAAGCCCTAAACCCTAAACCCCAAGCCCTGAAACCTAAACCCTAAATCCGAAACCCTAAACCCTAAACCCCAAACCCAAATGAAACCCCGAGGTCAAATGTGGCCCAGGGGGCCAGCAGTGGGCGCTCGTAAGGTCTCTGCGTGTAGGCGTAGATCGTCTGGGACAGCCACACGGCCTGTGGACGCAGGGCCGCTCAGCTCTTTCAATTCCGGGGGCGCTTCTTGAGGGTTTAGGGTTTAGGCTTTAGGGTTTAGGGTTTAGGGTTTAGGGTTTGGGGTTTAGGGTTTAGGGTTTCGGGTTTCGGGTTTCGGGCTTTGATGGCTTTGGGGACACTCACGCAGGGTTCAGGGATCAGGATTAGAGTTTGGGCGGTGCCATCATCAAGATCAGATTTATGGGGTTTCCGAACTTGCTTTTTTGAGGGGTGACTCTAAGGGGAGTTAGGTAAAGAGGCCCCATAGTGTGCTTGCAGGCGCCCAGTCCAGCCACCACAGGCAAGAACCCGGTCCCCCCCCCAACTACACCCCATCCCCGAAAGAAAGACATCCCACCCAAAAACAAACAGGTGCTCCAGAGATACTCTGTGCCATGTTGCTCTTGAGATTTAGGGTTTAGGGTTTAGGGTCTAGGGTCTAGGGTTTAGGGTCATTAAAGATAAATCCGGTGCCCCACACACACACAACCCTTCGAACCCGTTGACTAAGGGCCCCACCAGCTTCCTTGCCGCCAGCGGATGTCGGAACACAGTCGGCGGCTGGTCGATCCTCTCGGTTTGGGGCTTGTCCCGAAGCCCTAACCCTGAAACCCTGAAACCTGAAACCCTGAAACCCTGAAACCCTGAAACCCTGAAACCCTGAAACCCTGACTAAACCCAGAGCCTTGAACCCTAAACCTCTGGGGCTTTTGAACCTTTACGGCTGTTGAACCTTCAGGGCGGACGATTCGTGAGATTCTTGAGCCGGGCTTTAGGGCTTAGAGTCGAGAGTCTAGGGTTTGGGGGTAAGGTTGGGGCTTTAGGGTTTACAGGAGTTAGGGACTTCAGTGTCTAGAGTCTAGAGTTCAGGGGGGGTTTCGGGTTTAGGGTTGGGGCTTTAGGGTTTGCAGGAGTTGAGGACTTCAGGGCTAAAGCTACTCGGGTTTCTCACGATAAAGGGTACGATTACAACAGGGATATGATATGACAAAGGCCGAAACCCTAAATCCAAGCCTTTTTGTGGGTTTTAGGGTTATTGGTTCCTGGGGGTCCAGGGGGGGGGGGTCGGCGACAGCGTCTCACGCTCTAGATTGGGTTCAACTAGGGGGGAGGTGGGGGGTGTAGGGGGTGTAGGGTCCGCGGATCTAGGCAGTTTTTAGGGTCCAGGTTTAGAGTTTAGGGTTTAGGGTTTAGGGTCTAGGGTTTGGGGTTTAGGGTTTAGGGTTTTCGGTTTAGGGTTTAGCGTTTAGGGTTTAGGGTTTAGAGTTGGGAGGGAGCTTGCGCTTTAGGGCTTTTAAAGCCAAAGCTCCTGGTCCAGCGGAAGCGCCTCACTTCCTGCGGCTACGAGGGTCTGGGCTTGCGGCTTTAAGGGTGCAGGGTTCAGGTTTTAGGGTTGTGGTGGCCCTAAAACCTAAACCCTAAGTCCTAAACCCTAAACGTTTAGGGTTGAACGATAGGGCCTTGAAGGGGCAAAGAGCAGGAAGGAAAACTTAAGTTATGACAGGGGTCCAATATGGTTGAAGGCGCATTCCCTACTTAAGAGGTATGGGGGTCTCTTGGCAATGGAGGGTTTCGTGTTCGGGGTTGAGCTGCTTGTTCTCTGCCCCGTTCCAAGAAGCCAGTGAGTTGGATGTCTGGTTAGGCTTTTGGCTCAACCCTGGTAAGCCTAAAGCTTCACACACGACCCTCGAAAGTGTCGAAGTGCTTGGAGGTTCATGGGTACTTATAACTCCAGTTATAAGTCTACTTATAACCTACTTAGGGGACTTAGGGGGCTTAATAAGTACAGTTATAATTAGGGTCATAAGTACCCGGGTGTCGTGTTGCAACTCAGCGACACGAACACCTTGTACAACAGAGGCAAGAGGACAAAGTCCCAAGTGCGTCTTGACTTGCCGCGACGCACATTTTTGGATTCGGGCCTTCCGTTTATAAAAAAAAGCCACTCAGCCTAAGCGCTCGGCCCTCGCCACCCCGAAGCCCTAAACCCTAAGCCCCGAAGCCCCTAGAAACCAGCTCAACAGTTTTGGCGCTCCGCACCTTGATACAGCCTCTGGTGTCGTGAATCTGTCTGGCAAGGGTCTGCACGGCCTTGGTGCGGTTGCGGGTTTAGGGTTTAGGGTTTAGGGCTTAGGGTTTGGGGCTTAGGGCTTAGGGCTTAGGGTTTAGGGTTTAGGGTTTAGGGTTTAGGGTTTAGGGTTCAGGGTTTAGGGTTTAGGGTTTAGGGCTTCGGGTCTGCACCAAGGGTACGAGGCCTTCCAAGCTTGCGAGCCGAGGCCCCCAAAAACCCTAAACCCTGAATCTTAGGGGTTTAGGGTTTTGGGTTTAGGGTTTAGGGTTTAGGGTTTAGGGTTATTAGGGTTTAGGGTTGTTTAGGGTTTAGGGTACCTTGGACCCTTCAGGTTGTATCCTTGAGTTTTGGGGTCCCTTTGAACGAATCCCTAAGGGAATATACGGGCCATATTTGGAGTATGTTAAGGGGAACCTTTAGGGGTACAACCTTAGGGGCACGAGTCTCCATCCCTTGTCCCTTGAAGCCCTACACCCTAAACCCGTTGAAGCCCTAAACCACTTGAAGCCCCAAATTCAAGAGGGTCTAAGGTTTAGGGATTAGGGGTTCGTAGTCCCTGGAGAAAGAGTTGCGGTCTACGACGTATTTGTCAAATACGAAACGAAACGTGCACTGCGCTTCAACAGCCTAGACAGCAGGCGTGGTTCAGAACGTCCGTTGGCAAGAGTCTAAACTCATTATCCTAAAGACCCCAAGAAGGTACCCTTAATTTCGGAAACCCCCATTTGGGGGTTTATCTAGGGTTTAGGGTTCAGGTTTCCAGCTCTTCCAGCCTCAACTTCGGGAAGATCCTATCACTGAAAGCGGCGGAGGGGAAGGACACTCAACGACTGGCTAGACACCGTGCGGGGTATCGAAAAAAATCCAGGAGTTCTAACGCCGAGAAAACCCTAAACACAAACCCCAAACCCTCAACCCTAAAGCCTAAATCTGGCTCAGATACTTGAAAGTTTCGAGTTGAAAGTTTCGAGTTTGCTTTGGGTTGAGGGCTCTAAGGTTTGGGAATGGGGGAGCTGGGGGTTAGGGTTTACCTGTTGGGTATTTAACCTGCGCAACTCGTATCTTAAAACGCGGCTAACGTATGCCCCATGCTTCGGAAGAGTATGGAGAGCCAGAGAGAGCGAGAGCTTAGGCTTACTCCGTCCACGCGGACCGCAAGGTCCTTTGACGGTTTGATTCTCAGGCAGCCGAGGTCTACAGTCGCCCGTTTAAGAAAGGAGGGCTTTCTCAAGCCATCACGAGTCATGCATCTTTACTCTTGGCAGCCCAGTAACCATATCATACACAGAGCACCCATTTTGGGGGGTTGGTTACAAGCCCCAAACTTTCAATCCCAGAACCTCAATCCTTTTAGCATGGGCTTCCCTACTACCCCCCTCTACACTAATTTGGGGTTTAGGGTTGAGGGGTTAGGGTTTAGGGTTTAGGGTTTAGGGTTTAGGGGTTAGGGATACTACCCCCGCTAGGTTCCCCCCCTTGAATAACCTTAACTGGGCTTCGGGAACCCATGAGATAAGGGTCTAGGTATTAGGGGGTTCTACAGGTCCTAAACCTTCAATCCTTCACCCTAAAGCAAGGTGTGCACGCCTTGGCGACCTCCTGCCCCCGTGTGATGCCCTGCGTCACCGCTGCTGGGTCGTCGCAGAAGGCCTTACCCAGAGATGGGCTTAGTTTAGGGTTGAGGGTTTAGGGTTGAGGGTTTAGGGGTTAGCGTTTAGGGTTTAGGGTTTAGGGTTTAGGGTTTCGGGTTTAGGGTTTAGGGTTTAGGGTTTAGGGTTTAGGGTTTAGGGTTTAGGGTTTAGGGTTAGAGTTTTGGGTTTAGGGTTTAGGGTTTAGGGTTTAGGGTTTAGGGTTTAGGGTTTAGGGTTTAGGGTTTAGGGTTTAGGGTTTAGGGTTTAGGGTGTCATTTGGGCTTACTCTCAAGGGGCTAAGACTCGTACCCCTTTAGGTTGTACCCCTGAAGGTTCCCCTGAACATACTCCCAACATGGCCAGGAGGATTGTCAACAAGGGTCTGCAAACCCAAGGGCGCAACCTGTGGAGGTTCATGGATCCTGAAAAGTCGGGTTATAAGTAGGGTAACTAAAGTTAGAACCTTCTTTAGGGCACTTTAACCCGACTTGCAAGGACCCATGAACCCCTCCAAGAAAGGTTTTAGGAGGTAACGGTTTCAGGTTCTGGGTTTAGGGTTTGAGCTATTTTTAAGCCCTAAATCCTAGACCCTAAACCCTAAACTTTATTCATAACCCGAAAGCCTCAAGCCGCAACCTGCAAGCCAAAAACCTCCACCCTGAACCTCTACACAAACCCTAAACCCTAAACCCTAAACCCCAAACCCTAAGCCCTAAACCCTAAACCTCTGTGGAAGGGGGGCGGGGAGGGGGGAGGGGGCTTTAGGCCTTAGGGTTTAGGGTTTAAGGTTTAGGGTTCCGCTATTTTCGCTTCCAAAATGACCCTATATCTTCCCTCATCAAGCCCATAGGAACCCAAACAAGTTCCCAGAAGGACCTCTAGAATCAACCCATCGTTCGGCTGAAGGTGGCCTGTGGTGGAGTTCTGGAGGGGGTTTAGGGTTTAGGGTTTAGGGTTTAGGGTTTAGGGTTTAGGGTTTAGGGTTTAGGGTTTAGGGTTTAGGGTTTAGGGTCTCTCACTCCAGTCCGTAAAGCCAGCCCGCCACCCTAGAAACACCCAGAAACGTTCTCGGGCCTCTTGGGGCTCAGGGCTTAGGGCTTAGCTTTACATGAGGGTTGCAACCATGAAGCCGGCTAACCTCAACTCCTTCATCCGTACAACCCTAAACATCGAACCCCAAGCCTAAACTGCGAACCCGACCCCCCCCTAGAGCCCGAAACCCCAAGCCCCCAAAAGGGGGGTGTGAATAGTCAGGGACTTGTTCACCAGGTCGGCCAGAAGCGTGCGCCGCGGCTTGTGCTCCGCGTTTGCCTCACGCAACTCCGCAGTTTGAAGCTTGGCCGAGTGCAGAGGAACTTGGGGCTCGACCACCGCAAGCCCAAAGGGAGAACATGAATGCGATGTCCTCCAGATGGACTGCACCGGACATCGCGAGGAAGGGGTAGGGAATCTCGAAGGAACGGGTCCCGGCCAGCGTTGTTCTGTTCCATTTGGCTCTCTCGTAGAGCTCGACCACAATCGAAGGAGTTCAAGGGGCCTTCCTGATGCAGCCAGGCGAGGAAACGAGAGCCCTCGCTTAGGTGGCTCAGGAGTTAGAAGTTTAGGGGTTTGGGGGCTTTTATAGGGGCTAGGGGCTTAGGGGATAGGGCGCCCTAAACCCTAAAACCCCTAAACCCTGAACCCAAGACACTAACGAGCCTAAACCCTAAAAATCCTGCACCCAAAAATCCTACACCCCTAAACCCTTAACCCTAAACCCTAAACCCTAAACCCGAAACCCTAAACCCTAAACCCCACACCCAAGTGACGTGCTGGGGCAGCCACCACGTCCCAGGCGTCGTAGAAGGCCCGCATGCGTGCCTCCCCGAGTCGCATCTTCAAAAAATGGGGCGGGTTTAGGGCTTAGGGTTTGGGGTTTAGGGTTTGGGTTTAGGGTTTAGGGTTTAGGGTTTAGGGTTTCGGGTTTAGGGTTTGGGGTTTAGGGTGTAGGGTTAAGGGTTTAGGGTTTAGGGTTTAGGGTTCAGGCTTTAGGGTTTAGGGTTTAGGGTTTAGGGTTTAGGGCTTAGGGCTTATAAGGTTGGAGGGTTTAGGGTCTAGGGTTTTGGGGTTTAGGATTCAGGGCCCTTTGTTCTAGTTTCTTGCTCTCCGGCAATTACTGTACCCAGCTCTTCGGACCCCGCAAAGCAGACCTGGGCTCCGAAGTGGCTTTCGAAACCGGGACCCCAACGAATAACGCTGGTTTAGGGTTTAGGGTTTAGGGTTTAGGGTTCAGGGTTCAGGGTTCAGGGTTTAGGGTTTAGGGTTTAGGGTTAGGGTTTAGGGTTTAGGGTTTAGGGTTTAGGGTTTAGGGTTTAGGGTTTAGGGTTTAGGGTTTAGGGTTTAGGGTTTAGGGTTAGGGTTTAGGGTTTAGGGTTTAGGGTTTAGGGTTTAGGGTTTAGGGTTTAGGGTTTAGGGTTTAGGGTTTAGGGTTTAGGGGTTTAGGGTTTAGGGCTTAGGGCTTAGGGTCCTAAACTCTAAACCCCTCAAAAGGCCTCAACCCTGGGACTCGGACCTCTTTCCTCGCGCGCTGGATGGCCTCAAGGTCCTCGCAGTACTTGGAGGTGCATGGTACTTAGTCACGAATTCTAACTGTACTTGTAACTGTACTTAGAACCCTAAACCGTAAACCCTAAACCCTAAACCCTAAACCCTAAACCCTAAAACCATATTAGGGCACTTAAGCGGCTTATAAGTGGTTTATAAGTACAGTTATACTTAGGTACTAAGTACCATGGACCTCCAAGTAAGGGGTGCAATTCAGGTTTTAGGTTTTAGGGTTTAAGGCTTCAGGGATATTTTGGGGTTGCAGGGTTTAAAGGGTTTTAAGGGTTTAGGGTGTAGGGTGTACGGTGTAGGGTGTAGGGTGTAGGGAATAAAGGGTTGCGTCGGCTTTGGGTTCTGTAGCCTTTTCGGTTTGTAGGCTTTCGGATGAAGAGTTCAGATCTCGACCACGCTTTAGGCCAGCGTGATCCTCAAGACCCTTGAAGGAAAGCCCTCTAAACCCTGAACCCTACACGATCAACCCTACACCCCAAACCCCAAACCCCAAATCCTAAACCCTAAACCCTAAACCCTAATCATCCTCAACACCAAGTCCAACACCCTGGATTCAAGGCACCGAACCCTAAACCCTAAACGCTGCAGGACATTAAACTTGGGATGTTGCTCCTTATACTAACAGCCCTTAACCGGGTTTGGGGTTTAGGGTTTAGGGTTTAGGATTTAGGATTTAGGGATTCTAGTAACCCTTATTATAATCCCTATTGAGGAAATGTTAGTATAAGGGGGAACATCCCAACAGCAAACCCTAAATCCTAAACCCGGAGTCTTTGCATTCAAGCGTGTCCTCCCTTTCGTGGGGTTCCCATGCTTAGGGTCCAGGGTTTAGGACCCCAAGCCCGAAGACCCCGCAAAACAACATCCCAGGCTACCCTAAACCCTAAACCCTAAACCCTAAACCCTAAACCCTAAACCCTAAACCCCACTGGGGGCTGGGCCGGCTTACCGTCCGGTAGCTTCCTGGGTTCTGCTCGCACTATCAGCCACCAGCACGAGTGTAGAGTTTACAGGTTAAGGGTCAGGATTTGGAGGATTGATTCTGGTTCTTCAGGGAGGGGGGGGGGTTCAAAGGGAAGCTTAGGGAGCCTTAGTAATAGTAGTAGTAGTCGTAGTAGTAGTCGTCGTAGTAGTAGTAGTAGGAGTAGGAGTAGGAGTAGGAGTAGGAGTAGGGAGTATTAGGGAGCCTTGGGTTACGTACCGCCCTTGAACCCCCTTCCCAGAAGAACGCTGAAATTGGAGCTTTGGCTTTAGAGCTTAGGGCATCTTCTCATGCAAGGGAAAAAGATCTGAGGCGCACATGACGATTACCACTCCAAGCGGTGGACATGTCGAGTGGCGTCTGCACCACGAAACAGGAGGTTTCGGGTTCAGGGTTTAGGGCTTAAGGTTTCGGGTTTAGGGTTTATTGGGCTTAGGCTTTGAGTCTTAAACCCTAAACCCCCAAGCACCCAAGGAAGGCACCAGGGTATTGCGGGGGAGGGGGGGTCTTGCAAGGTGCAGAATCAACGTCAGCGCCGGGGTGAGGGATAAAGGGCGACGAGCTTCGAGCTCAGGCTTCACAAGTTTTAGAATTTAAGAACCGAGGGTTTGCAGTGTATGTCTGCGAGGCGTTGTCAACTTGATGCTAGTTTTGGGATCGTCATCATCACTTTCCACGCAAGGATACGTCGTGGAGCAGAGCGTAGACTCGACGGAGCTGCCCATCACTCGTCCCACAGCACCACAAAATGTGAGAGAGAACAAAAAGGGGAATCTCGTACGAATCGGAAACAACGGAGCTCCGGGCGTCATGCGCTATGTCTGCACTGCAACACTTTCAAAACACTGGAGCCCTAGACCCTAAACCCTAAACCCTAAACCCTATGGAGCCCTTCCGGAGCCGTCGTGTCTCGTGAGAGCGTGCTCATTTGGGGTAGATCTGCGGGAAAAATGGCCCAGCCCCAGCTGCGCACCCCAACAGCCAGGCAGAACAAGATGAGCAAGGACCAATCAGGAAACCTTCGCCTAAACCCTAAACCCTAAACCCTAAACCCTAAACCCCAAACCCTAAACCCTAAACCGCGAGAGGCGGCGCGAGAGCGCGACTCTCGCGTCCTGAGGTGACCGCAAGCATGCCTACGCGATCTTGGAGCGAGCGGCATCTTGAGTTTACCCCCGTTCTCTTCCGGCGTCCGTTCCCGTTCCGGCAAGGGTCCCTTTCCGGTGCCTCTCCCTTTTGGCTCCTCTTATCCGGAGTCTCACGTAGCCCCCCGCACCTCTAGAGGCAGAAACCCAACCCTTCGGCTGCTGGGAATACACTGCAAAAGCTGAAGACCTTCCTACCATCCTACAGTTTCTTGAGCATCACTCTTGGCACGCAGCGAAGAAGGGTCCCAAAATGACGATGATGATGGAAACCCCGGACCCTGTGACTGGTTACGCGAAGATACCACGATCCAAAATTTTACGACGGTTCAGAGGACGGCGGCGACATGTGACGACGACACGCCTCGCGCGATCCCAAAAAAGAACATGGCGACGATGACACCCCGTGCCCCGAGGACGGCGATGGCACGCCGTGCCATCAAAAGCATCGAGCATCATCAAGCGTCAGCACCCTGAACCCTAAGCCACAAACCCTGAACCCTAACCCCAAACCCTAACCCTAAACCCTAACCCTAAACCCTAAACCCTAAACCAACGTCAGCCCAGCTGCAGATTCGAAGCTTCCGGAATCTCGTTGCCTGCCGCGCAGAGAATGCCCTGGATGAGGTGGACCTTGCGGCATCATGGAATCCAGTACCACCCCCACCACCTTTTGGGGTTTAGGGTTTAGGGTTTAGGGTTTAGGGTTTAGGGTTTAGGGTTTAGGGTTTAGGGTTTAGGGTTTAGGGTTCAGGGTTAAGGGAAGTGACATGGTCCCTGAACATGGTCCCTTACCTCCCCAAGTAAGGGCCCAAACTTAGGGTTTCCCGCCTCAGCTGTCTCCCACTCACCCAAACTAGGTCCAAAATAGCCCTTCTTTGGGCCATGCCCTAAACCCGAAACCCTAAACCCTGAAGCCGAAACCCTAAACCCTGAAGCCGAAACCCTAAACCCTGAAGCCGAAACCCTAAACCCTAAACCCTAGCTAGACCTTAACGGTGGGCCCAGGGTGAGATTTGAGACTGGGAGTCTCTGGGCATGCAAGGCACACGAAAGAAAGGTTCCGGGGACGGGGTTTGGGTTTAGGGTTTAGGGTTTAGGGTTTAGGGTTTAGGGTTTAGGGTTTAGGGTTTTGGGTTTAGGGTTTAGGGTTTAGGGTTTAGGGTTTAGGGTTTAGGGTTTAGGGCTTAGGGCTTAGGGTTTAGGGTTTAGGGTTTAGGGTTTAGGGTTTAGGGTCTAGGGTTTAGGGCTGGGACCCCAGAGTCCCAACCCAAAACCCTACACCCTAAACCTTAAACCCTAAGTCCTTAAACCCCAAAAACCCTGACATTCTTCAACCCTTAAGCCCAAAAACCCTTTGACCCTTAAACCCCTAAAGCGTTAAACCCTTGAACCCTTAAACCCCCTAAACCCTCTACTACCCTGTACCTGCTCACTCTTAGTAGGGGATGCTACTGCGACCGGGGGGTTTAGGGTTTAGAGTGTTGGGTGTACGGGTAAGCAGTGGAAATCGCTTCTAGGGTGAAGTCCCAAAAGAGTCTCTAAACCCCTAAACACTTAAACTCCTACACCCTGAACCCTATGATGGGCCCTCAACGGTAAACCCGAAGATGCTGCGTTGGGGACATTGGCCTCGTTCAGGGTTGAGGCTCAAGGGTTAAGGGTTTAGGGTTTCGGGCATGAGCAGCTCTGCATGAATATCAAGGTATCGCACCTGAAAACAACCGTAACGCCCACTGAGAAGGCCACAAACAACCGTGAGTCAAAAGTTGCCCTTGTTGAAAGCTTCAAGTATCTGACGGCCCGGTCATACACGTAAGATGTCCAGGGTGTTAGGGAAAGTCCCAAGAATCCTGGCGATGGACATTCACTCTAAACCCTCCACCCTCAACCCTGAACGCTCTAAACCCTAAACGTTAGGCCCTAAGCCCTAAACCCTAAACCCTTAATCCTTAACCCCTCATCCTAAACCCGCAACCCTAAGTCCTAAGCCCTAAGCCCTAAGCCCTGAGCCAAACCCTAAACCCCAAACCCCAAACCCTAAACCCTAAACCCCAGGTCCCGATACCAGCCAGGCAGCCGAGTCCGACGACGACGCCTCCTCGGAGATGGGGCACTCCTTGGAAAGCTTGGGCAGCTCCTGGCGCGTTAGCAGAGGGCTTAGGGTTTTGGGGTTTTAGGGTTTAGGGTTTAGGGTTTTTTAGGTCTAGGGTTTGGGGTTTGGGGTTTGGGGTTTGGGGTTTGGGGTTTGGGGTTTGGGGTTTGGGGTTTGGGGTTTGGGGGGAGCCGTCTTTGGGCCTACGGTAGGGCGCAAGGATGTAGCAGATCTTCTTCATCAACGGGTAGAAGTTGGTAGGTGGGGCCCTAGCCGGCTCCCCTGCATCACCCAACCGTCCCGCCCGAGACGCACGACACCTAGCCGCATGAAAATCCCTAAACACCCTAAACACCCAAAACACCCTCAACGCCCCAAACGCCCCAAACACCCCAAACACCCTAAACACCGTGAACTCCCTGAACTCCCTAAACACCCGAAACACCCCAAACACCCTAATACCCCAAACGCCCTAAACACCCTGCACCGCAAAAACCGTGTGCTCACAGCCTGAACAAACTGGTCCAACAGCATCCGCGTCTCCGTCAGGCCGTAAGCCTTCCAAGGGCCCCAGCTGGGCGTGTTCGGGGTTGAGTTTGGGCCGAACTTGAACCCTAAACCCTAAACCCTGAACCCTACACCCTGAACCCTAACTGTTTTCTCCTTCAACCTTTTGAGGGTTTAATTAAGGCTGTCGGCCCTAAATCCTGGGTTTACGCCAGCAATGGCGGGAAATTGGCCAGGGCCACCCCGTCTTCCTTCCCCCCGCCCCCCCCCCACCCAACAAAATAATCAAAAAATGCTCTGTAAATACATAGAGCAAAAGATTGTTGCGGCCCTAGCAGCCCTACGCTGAGCTGGCAAGGCCCTGTGGGTGGACAATTTAGCTGATTAGGGTTTAGCTGCGAGGCTTTGCAGGCTCTCAAAGCTCGATGTGCTCCCAAGCAGGCGTTTAAGGTGCAGGGCTCATAGGCTTCTATCTCAGGCTCCAGCTGCACACTAGGCTTGCGAGATGCGTCTTCGCTTTGCGAACGACGGTGGTGCAGAGGCGGTGCCAGCCTTGCTCTTGGCAGGCCATGGACACGTAGCTTAGGGTTTAGGGTTTAGGGTTTAGGGTTTAGGGTTTAGGGTTTAGGGTTTAGGGTTTAGGGTTTAGGGTTTAGGGTTTAGGGTTTAGGGTTTAGGGTTTAGGGTTTAGGGTATCAGTCACACCAGGCACGCGTAGCTGCCGGCTGCCGGGCGGTTTGTAGTACGGCGGGTGCGGTTTGACTTGGCCGGGGAAAGCCGCGCAGAGCATGTCGAAGGCCGCTAGCTTGTAGGCGCCGTTGCGCGAGTTTAGGATTTAGGGTTTAGGGTTTGGCGTTTAGGGTTTAGGGTTTGAGGTTTCGGGTTTGGGGTTTTTAGGGTTTGGGGTTTGGGGTTTAGGGTTTAGGGTTTAGGGGGTTTAGGGTTTAGGGTTTAGGGTTTAGGGTTTAGGGTTTAGGGTTTAGGGTTTAGGGTTTAGGGTTTAGGGTTTAGGGTTTAGGGTTTAGGGCAGCCGAAGGATCAATGCCTGGAACCTACACCCTAAAACCCCTTAAAGTCCTCAACCATACCCCTGGAGCCTGAACCTGACAAGCCCAAACCCTACCAGGGCTTTGGGATTTAGGGAATCCTGAACCCTAAACACAAAACCCTAAACCCTAAACAGCTATGAAGGAAATCGCTTTTGATAGGCGAACTGAAACACTCGTTGGGGCCGACGGCAGGGCTTAGGAGGCTCGGGAGTCCCGCCTTGTAGGGTTTGGGGCTTCAGGGTCGGTTTAGGGTTTAGGGTTTAGGGTTTAGGGTTTAGGGTTATCTAACTTTAAGAGTAATGCTCTGTCGCAGACGTTTTGGGCCAGGATGAGGGTACGGAGTACAGGGGGCGGATGGTAGGTACAAGGGACAGGGGGCAGGTACATGTACAAGGTACGGGTAGCCGTACCCCGTACCCCGTACCCCGTACCCCGTACCCCGTACCCCGCACCCCGCACCCCGCACCCCGCACCCCGCACCCCGCACCCCGCACCCCGCACCCCGCACCCCGCACCCCGCACCCCGTACCCCGTACCTGTGCCGCTAATAGCGGCCCATGAGCCGCTATTAGCAACCCATGAGCCGGTACGGGTACGGGTACGGGTACGGGTACGTAGGTACGCGTACGCAGGTACGGGTACCGTACCCCATACCGTACCCCGCACCGTACCCCGTACCGTACCCGTACCGTGCCCGCACCGTACCCGTACTGTACCCCCACCCCGCACCACCCGCACCGTACCCACCCCCACCCCCGCACCGTACCCATCCCGCCCCTTCACGTGGCATCAGAACAGAAACCTATGTTTTCATTACTCTTGAAGTTAGCTAAGTTTAGGGTTTGGGGTTTAGGGTTAAGGGTTTAGGGTTTAGGGTTTGGGGTTTAGGGTTAAGGGTTTAGGGTTTAGGGTGTCGGGCTTAGGGTTGCGGGTTGAGGGTTTTTGGACTTCCGGGCTTGAGGGTTTTAGGGCTTGGGGGCTTGGGGCGGAAGCGTCTATGACATGAAAGGGGCCATGGTTTCGAGACCATAACTCCTTGCCTGACTTCTGAACCCCGCTTAAAATCTTAACTTTTAGCCTGCTTGTAGTTTCTAGCAAAAGCCAAAAAGTTAAAGTCCTAAGAGCCAGCCAGAAGAAAGCCAAGATTCTCCACGAACAAGGAGCACTGAAAGGACTCTACTTAGGATGCTCGGGAGTCCCGCCGTTTAGGGTTTTGGGTTTAGAGTTTTGGGTTGAGGGAATGGAACTAAGGACGTTGGTTTTTGTTGCACAACCTCTTCAACTCGTTGGGTCGTTCTCCAAATTGGGGACCCTTCTCGGGGTCCTGTTTATGCGGTGCCGTACCATGTAGGGCCTGACAAGGGAACCCTCACATTGAGAACTACCCTAAACCCTAAACCCTAAACCCTAAACCCTAAACCCTGAACCCTGAACCCTGAACCCTAAACCCTAAACCTTGACCCTAAACCCTAAACCCTAAACCCTGAACCCTGAACCCTAAACCCTAAACCCTAAACCCTGAACCTTACCATTTAGAGAACTACTCAACTAAGATGGAGAGCTCTGCACCTACCCTAAACCCTAAACCGTAAACCCTAAACCCTAAACCCCTAAACCCTAAACCCTAAACCCTAAACCCTGAACCTAACTACTCAACTAAGATGGAGAACTACTCAACTAAGATGGAGAGCTCTGCACCTATTCCGCGCCTTGCCCTGTTCCGTGAGGCCGCGCCGCAGCGCCCGCTGCCTTCCCAGGTCTAGATGCCGGTAGAGCTGCTTGTACTCACCTGAGCTCAGGGCCTCTCGGGTCTAAACTTAAATCCCTAAACCCTAAACCCTAAACCCTGAACCCGAAACCCTAAACCCCAAACCCTAAACCCTAAACCCCAAACCCTGAACCCTGAACCCTGGGGCTCTTCATCGGTTCTCGCTCCCGGTGCAGAGCGGTGAGACCCCTCGAATCATTCGACAAAACCTCCCTAGCTAGGCCTTTAGGGTTTCAGGTTTAGGGTTTAGGGTTTAGGGCTTAGGGTTTGGGGTTTAGGGTTTCGGGTTTCGGGTTTAGGGTTTAGGGTTTAGGGTTTAGGGTTTGGGGCTTGGACTTAGGGCTTAAGGCTTAGGGCTGTAGGGCTTAGGGTGTAGGGTTTAGGGCTTTAGGGCTTTAGGGTTCGGGGGTTAGGAGTTGGAGTTTAGGTTTAGAGTTTCGGGTTTAGGGTTTTAGGGTTTAGGGTTTAGGGTTTAGGGTTTAGGGTTTGGGGTTTGGGGTTTGGGGTTTAGGGTTTAGGGTTTAGGGTTTAGGGTTTAGGGTTTAGGGTTTAGGGTTTAGGGTTTAGGGTTTAGGGTTTAGGGTTTAGGGTTTAGGCCCCCCCAAGAACCTGGGACCTCCCTTAAGAACCCACAAGGCAGGCTACTACTACAAAACCCCTTCTAGAATTCTCAGGTAACCCACAAAAATGTTTGGTTTTGGTCCCTTACGGTGAGGTAGTAACCCCCCAAAAACCCTACAGAAACCCTAAACCCTAAACCTTTTTTGGGGGGGGGGGGGGGGGGGGGGGGCGGTACCAGGGCAGTTATTTCAGAAGCATTGTTGAATGGGCGGTGGCCCTCTGTCCGCGCAGACGCCCTGCACAAACCGAAGCACGCCGGCTCTGAAATCTGAACCCCCCGCCCCTCACCCCCATGATTGAAAGACGTGGAAGTAAGGAAGGAAGAACTTCAGGGTTTGGGGCTTCTGAACCCTAAACCCCTAGGAGCCCCTAAAAAATCTGTAGCCCTAAACCGTAAATAACAGACCCTGAACCCCTTAAACCCTCAACCCTCAACCCTAAACCCTAAACCTTGAGCCGCGGGCTAAGCCCTAAACCCTGAACCCTGAACCCCTCACAGCCCTAAACCCCTGCAGCCCTGAACCCTTAAACTCTAAACCCTTGCAGCCCTAAACCCTAAACCCTAAACCCTGAACCCCACACCCTAAACCCTGAACCCCTGCAGCCCTAAACCCTGAACCCTAAACCCTAAACCCTAAACCCCTGCAGCCCTAAACCCTGAACCCTAAACCCTAAACCCTAAACCCCTGCAGCCCAGTTGCTGGGCACCACCCCAATGATGGCCAAAAGCAGCTTCAGGGCGCGGATGCCAGCATCCCGGTGGAGGCACCTCTGGGCGTCTAGGAAGTTTAGGGTTTAGGGTTTAGGGGTTTTTAGGGTTTAGTTTAGGGTTTAGGGTTGAGGGTTTAGGGTTTAGGGTTGAGGGTTGAGGGTTTAGGGTTTAGGGTTGGTTTAGGGTTTAGGGTTTAGGGTTTAGGGTTTAGGGTTTAGGGTTTAGGGTTTAGGGTTTAGGGTTTAGGGTTTAGGGTTTAGGGTTTAGGGTTTAGGGTTTAGGGTTTAGGGTTTAGGGTTTAGGGTTTAGGGTTTAGGGTTTAGGGTTTAGGGTTTAGGGTTTAGGGTTTAGGGTTTAGGGTTTAGGGCTCAACTTGCAAACTTGCCCTGAGAGGAGCAGGGCTTCGCTGCGTGCCAACCGAAGCACCCAGCACATCTTGCCCCTGAATGGCAACCCTAAACCCTAAACCCTAAACCCTAAACCCTAAACCCTAAACCCTAAAACCTAAACCCTAAACCCTAAACCCTAAGAGAAAGTGCTTTCGCTCCGGCATTGGGGGGCCTGGAGCGCAGATGACTGCGGGAAGCAGGGCATTCCCCAAACCCTAAACCCTAAACCCTAAACCCTAAACCCTAAATCCTAAACCCTAAACCCTTTTTGTGTCCTTGAGTGTCTGCGTAATGGGGGACACCTCAAAACTTCCGGGAGGGAATGAGGGCCTACTCCGGGTGTTTCGGCTACTTAGAACCAAATACTTTTAGCTACCGATCAACCCCCTGAAGCACCAGTGAGTTAAACTTGCCACCCTTGGTGTTCACTGAAGACTCCGAAGAGACCTATGTAGGGTTTGGGGTTTGGGGTTTCGGGTTTAGGGTTTCGGGTTTAGGGTCTAGGGTTTTAGGGTTCAGTCTAGGGTCTAGGGTTTTAGGGTTTCGGGTTTAGGGTTCAGGATTTAGGGTTTCGGGTTTCGGGTTGTACCAAGGCGCAGAGTCCCGTAGAAGTACGGGCCTCAGCAACGCAAGGGAAGTCGGCTGCGTTTGCTGGAATGCCATACCCAGGAAGCCCCCAGACCCCCAGAATTGTAAGGAATCCCTATACCCTAAACCCAAAACCCTAAACCCTAAACCCTAAACCCTAAACCCTAAACCCTAAACCCTAAACCCTAAACCCTAAACCCTAAACCCAACATACGTAACATCGGTTTTGGGGCTCAGGGGTTAATGTGGGTTTTCCCTAATTACAGGGATGTTGGGCTCTTTGGGTGGGCCTGTCTGGAAAGGCAGAACTAAACAAAGAATGCTGCAACAGCCGTAGCGAGCGCTCGCGGAGCGCTGGAGGCGTCCTTCAACCCCGGAGCCAATGCGGCCTCATACACCAAGGAGATGACGGCCATCACGACGACATATGGAATCACACCCCAATCATCACCGACATCCCCGATCCAGTACGTCACCGCCACACACGCAGCGGCATCGCCTACATAATCGGGTGATCCACATTCCGGCTGAGGCATCACGCGATTGGACCGACAGGAGGCGTACGGCCGTCTGGTAGCTTCGTCACCATCGACGCTCCAAGCAACCCCCAGCGCACATGCTTCCTGCGTGTCAAAAGGATAAACCTCGTCAAACGGAAAACAACTTTAGGGTTCAGGGTTTCGGGCTTAGGGTCGAGGAATTAGGGGTTTAAGGGTTTTGGGTTTAGGGCTTAGGGTCGAGGGTTTAGGGTTCAGGGTTCAGGCGTTGGGGTTCAGGGTTCAGGGTTTAGGGCTTAACTAGGGTCCACGCCTGCCTCTCCCCCCCCCCCCCCCCCCCCACACACCGCAGACCCTTGCACAAGGGTGTGGAAAGTAAACCTCCTCTTAAGCAGGGTACAAAGTCGGGGTTTCTCCTAAACCCTAAACCCAAAACCCCTAACCCTAAACCCTAAACCCTAAACCCTGAAACCTAAAGCCGCCAGACCCAGAACCTCCTCCGTGCTTGGAGTTGCGGGCTTCGGGGGCTCCCAACCCCTGAACCTGAAACCCTAAAACCCTAAACCCTAAACCCTAAACCCTAAACCCTAAACCCTAAACCCTAAAACCCTAAACTCTAAACCCTAAACCCTAAACCCTAAACCCTAAACCCTAAACCCTAAACCCTAAACCCTAAACCCTAAACCCTAAACCCTAAACCCTAGCTAAACCCTGGCTCCGAGCTAAGAGGCTGTGCTGCACGGAGCTCATGATGGTCCAGTGCTTGTAGAGCGTGAGTCTGCCGTTTAGGGTTTAGGGTTTCGGGTTTAGGGTTTAGGGTTTGGGGTTTGGGGTTTGGGGTTTAGGGTTTAGGGTTTGCCCGCTGCACCCCATACGAAGAACCCCACAAGAAGAGCACCCGGAGAGCCCTGTATCGCTGAATTCAGGAATGCACCTGAAATCAAAATGAAACTCTTACCCCTAAACCCGAAGCCCTAAAACCTAAGCAGCGCAACATCGCTGACAAGACGCAGAAACGAATCGCTCACTAAAAGCCCTAAAGGCCCAAAAGCCTGAACCCCCAAAAGCCTAAACCCTAAGCCCCAAAACCCTGAAACCACGAAACCCCCTAAGAGCCAACACCACAAAAACTAAACTCCAAACCCCTGACCACCACCCGGGGCCTTCTAAACCCTAAACCCTAGGCCCTAAACCCTAAACCCTAGGCCCTGAACCCTAAACCCTAAACCCTGAGTCCTAAACCCTAAACCCTAAACCCTAAACCCTAAACCCTAAACCCTAAACCCTAAACCCTAAACCTTCCTACCCCGTTCGTCCCCTGAAGCACTAAATCGAGGGTTCCAAGTATGGGCCCTCAACTTGGGCCCCTTGTCAGCATATAACCCTTGCAGTTTTGGGTTTAGGTTTTTGGGTTTTGGGTTTTGGGTTTCGGGTGTAGGGTGTAGGGTTGGGTTTGGGGTTTAGGGGTTTAGGGGTTTAGGGTTTAGGGTTTGGGGTTTGGGGTTTGGGGTTTGGGGTTTGGGGTTTGGGGTTTGGGGTTTGGGGTTTGGGGTTTGGGGTTTGGGGTTTAGGGTTTAGGGTTTAGGTATACAATCAGGGCCCGCACTGGGAAATAGTAGTAGATAACCCTTCTATGAACCACATGCATCAAGGGCCCACAACCCTAAACCCTAAACCCTAAACCCTAAACCCTAAACCCTAAACCCTAAACCCTAAACCCTAAACAACAAGGGCAAGGGACGGTAGGTGAAAGCCCATGGTTCCAAACCTTCGACTAAACCCCCTTGAAACTCAAACCCCAAATAAGGAGCAGGGGTTTAGGGTTTAGGGTGCAGGGTTTAGGGTTTAGGGTTTAGGGTTTAGGGTTTAGGGTTTAGGGTTTAGGGTTTCGGGTTTAGGGTTTAGGGTTTAGGGTTTAGGGTTTAGGGTTTGGGGGGGTTCCGAAAATTGGGAGCAGATCCCCTTTTGGGGATCCTCTACTGTAACTGGGGAGACCCCAATTTGAAGCCCCGACCTCGCATGAGTTCCTGAAATACCCAGCCCTCAACTCCAAACCCTAAACCCTAAACCGCAGACGCCAAACTCCAAAACCCAAACCCCAAACCCCGAGCTAAACCCAAAACCCTAAACCCTAAACCCCAAACCCTAAACCCCAAACCCTAGACCCCAAACCCCGAACCCCAAACCCTAAACCCCAAATCCTAAACCCAAAACCCTAAACCCTAAACCCTAAACTTTAAACCCTAAACTCTCAACCCTCAACCCTAAACCCTAAACCCTAAACCCTAAACCCCAAACCCTAAACCCCAAACCCTAAACCCTAAACCCCAAACCCCAAACATGGTCTCTCGGAAGGCCTGAGATCGCTGTCGAAGCGCAGCTTGAGCTCCTTTGCCTTCGGACGGGGCCTCGGTCGAAAGGAGTCCTGGTCGCAGGGTTTAGGGTTTAGGGTTTAGGGTTTAGGGTTTAGGGTTTAGGGTTTAGGGTTTAGGGTTTAGGGTTTAGGGTTTAGGGTTTAGGATGTAGGGTTTAGGGTTTAGGGTTTAGGGTTTAGGGTTTAGTCCAAGCATGTGCTGCTCCAAAAAAGCTATCTCCGAAGTGGTTCGTACTTTGCTTGCAGGAGGGGTACTTGGAGGTTCATGGACTTAGTAACCAATTATAGCTGTACGTATAGTAAACTGCGCCGACAACAAGACTAGGGCACTTAAGGGGCTTTTTATGTGGGTTATAAGTACGGTTATACTTGGCTAATAAGTACCATGAACCTCCGAGTACCCCCGACCCTTACGAGGTTCCAATTTTCGGAGGGCTAGACCCTGGGATGAAAAAAAGCCGAGAAGAGTGGAAAAGTTTGGGAGAAATGCACAGGGAAATCGAGGATGTAAGGAATCGGCTTCGCAACAAGAAAAGCGCTTCCTGGCTTCTAAGAGTTTGAAACTGCAGCAAAAGGTCATAGCCTGCACTTTCAGTGTGCATGGAAGGGTTTGGGGCTTCGGGTTGAGAAGCTTCCCTAAACCCTAAACCCTAAACCGGAAACTCCATAGAAACAAAAAGGAGGATCGACGCGGGCAAGTCCTTGCCTCGTCGTCCGACTGCATACCTTGCTTTCTGGTGCAAGGGGCTCGCAACCCTGAACCCTCAACCCTAAAACCCTAAACCCTAAACCGAACCAAAAAAACCCCAAACCCCAAACCTCAACCCTGTCGGAAAACCCCCACTAGGCGCCCAACTAGGTGGCCAGTCGCATAGGAATTGTGAACGCACAAAACAGGCAAACCCTCAAGCCCTAAACCCTAAACCCGAAACCCGTAAAAGCCGAAAAACCTAAAACCCTAAAACCCTAAACCCTGAACCCTAGATGGTTGAAATGTTGGTCCCTTTCCCAAAAGCCCTCAAGCCCTAAAGCACTAAAGCCCTACACCCCAAAAACCCTATACCCTCAAGCCCTGAAGCCCTAAACCCTAAACCCCTAAACCCTAAAACCCTGAATCACTGAATTCTTGGAACCCTAAAACCCTAAACCCTAAACTCTAAAACCCTCAACCCTAAGACCCCTAAACCCTAAACCCTAAACCCTAAACCCTAAACCCGAAACGCTTGCGGCTGAACGGTTGGGAGCCTTCAGGGCCTCTACGGCTTAGGACTGAGGATGGGTTGAAGACTCGGGAGGAACAGAATCCACGTTTCGGGTTTGGGGTTTAGGGATTGGGGTTTAGGGTTTGGGGTTTAGGGTTTGGGGTTTAGGGTTTGGGGTTTAGGGTATAAAGATAGGGTCTCGGATTCGGGGATAGGATGGGGCTTCGGGTTTCGAGCTGGGGATTTAGGACATGATTAAGATGGGCTTAGGATGTGGCACATGGTTTTGGATTTCGGGCTTGGGATGTAGAATTTAGGTGTGTTGGCTGTGGGGCTGAGGACTTGAGATTTAGGATGGGGTTAAGCTTAGGCAGTACAGTTTAGGACTTACCGCAGGGTCTAGGAGAAAGGGTTAGGACATAGGATTGGTGAGAGAATGTTCAGGATTTTGGACTTGGGATGTGCCGTATTTGACCGTGGGTCAAAATCGATGATAGGGCGGTAGAGGATTGAGGGCTGATGGTTTCGGGTTCAGGGTTTAGGGTTCATGGAACCAGGATCCATACACCCTCTCTTGGTCTCAGGCGTTTGCTCAGGATTTTGCCGGGACAACGAACGAATCTTCACAAACCGAAACCCTGAACCCTCAACCCCTGAAGTCAGATGTGGGCCTATAATTTCAACCCCGAGAGCTTAACGCAGGGGCCGGTTGAATTCGTTTCCTGGGCAGCCTATTCTACCACAAGGCGAGTAATTATCTTGGTAACTATTTGGGGGTTTCCGAAAGTAGGGGGTACCTTATAGGGGTCCTTAAAAAGGAATCCTACTATTTGGGGGTATATCTTAGGGGTCCCTTGTTTTCGTAAATTCCCACTTAGGCTCCTGTACTAGACCTGTGCAGAAAAACTCAAGCAAGGGGGCTGTCCGGCAAAGTGGAGCCCGCGCTGGACGTGCAGTTGAAGCTGTCATTGAGGCAGTCCAGGGCCTTTCTGGATAAGGTTTAGGGTTTAGGGTTTGGGTTTAGGGTTTGGGGTTTAGGGTTTAGGGTTTAGGGTAGCATCATGGGCCCTTAATGTGGTCCCATACCCTCTTCATAGGGTTCTGTTGTATGGGCCCTTGGGTTGTAAAGGGTATATAACGGGTGTATAGGTCCCCTTTTAAGGGCTCACACGAAGGGACCATGCAACTACCCCAAGAGTAACTAAGGTGCTGGTCCAGATGAGAGGACCGTAACGGGTTTAGGGCCCTAAACCCTAAACCCTAAACCCTAAACCCTTAACCCTTAACCCAAAACCCAAAACTTCCAAGAATGTAGGGTGATTGCGGCACAGGGCGTGCCTTGAGGATTCTGGGCTAAACCTGAACCCCGAAGCAGTCGTATCGGCGAAGGGTTTAGGGTTTGGGGGTTTGGGGCTTTCGATTTAGGGTGTGGCTTTGCGGCGCTGGGGGTTTGGGGGTTTTGGGGCTTTGGGGTTCTGGGGGTTTGGGGGCTTAGGGCTTACTATTTAAGGTTTAGCGTTTTAGGCTTGTTTGGGCTTTCGGGTCTGGGGTTTAGGGTGCTAAGTCTCCAGCTCTTGCATGGGCGCCCAAAAAATCTCTCAAGGTCAGGTACCCTCCCCCCACCTGCCCACCCTGCAAGCACAAAAGCCCTAAACCCTAAACCCGAAACCCGAAACCCTAAACCCTAAACCTTAAACCCTAAACCCTAAACCTTAAACCCTAAACCCTAAACCCTGAACCCTATGACGACAGCACGGTTTCTGCTTGGCGCCCATTGGCGCCACTACCGACAGCAGTTGGATCCAGGGCGTTTGCGATGGAAATCCGAAGCATGAGCATCCTGTAGGCTCAACGCCTCCGTGTGTTCTAGGGTTTAGGGTTTTAGGGTGTAGGGTTTAGGGTGTAGGGTTTAGGGTTTAGGGTTTAGGGTTTAGGGTTGAGGGTTTAGGTTCTGTGTTCTAGGGATGAGGGTCTGAGGTTCAGGGTTCAGGAGTTTCGGGTTTAGGGTGTAGGCTCCACCCGATTTGGGGCTCTTCTGCAAATCGCGCGAGGGACGAATGCCGCAAGCTCCTCAACCATGCGGAGATGTGGCCAGCCAAATCATTGGCCTTTGTGAGCCCTGGACCCTAAGCCGTTTTAACCCCTAAACCCTAAACGCTAAACCGTAACCCTAAACCCTAAACCCTAAACCCTAAACCCTACACCCTAAACCCTAGACCCTAATGTTAGAATCCCATTTTTAATTGGGGTGGTAATACTAAAATTCGCCGGGCCAGAGGGGTCCAGCCGAAGACTACTTTCCATTACGGGAGGTTTTCGGGCCGATGTATGTAAACAAGTCTATTTTGGGGTGTGCGATGATAATAATAAAGGGTGGTAATTATAAAATTCTGCCGGCCTGGAATGGAAAATTTTACTGAGAATCGCTTAAGAGTTCCATTGCAGAGAAGACTTTTCAGCTGAGCTGGCTTGAAAGAGCTCCGAGGCTCAGTCTTTAGAGAAGCAGATCTCGTTTGAGAGTGCTTGTCTTCTGAGATTGCTGCAGCTCCAGAGCTGCGAGAAACTGCTGTTTCAGGGCTGTTTCTTCAGAGAAAGCAGGTATCAGGTGCCTTTTGAGGTTGCTGCAGCTCCCAGAGGCTGAGAAAGAGAGCCTTGCTACGGAGGCCCCTGCTCTCAGAGCAGCACAGAAGCCGGGCAAGACTTACGGCTGCAGCTCCAGAGCTGCGAGAAACTGCTGTTTCAGGGCTGTTTCTTCGCAGAAAGCAGGTATCAGGTGTCTTTTCCCAGACCCCCAGACCCCCAGAATTCATTATTGGCACCCCGTCTTTTTTTCCACCCCTCCAAACCCCGGGGACCAAAACAAGATTTGGGGGGGGGGGGGGGTTATTAAAGGGACCCTAACATTAAACCCTAAACCCTAAACCCTAAACCCTAAACCCTAAACCCTAAACCCTAAACCCTAAACCCTAAACCCTAAACCCTAAACCCTAAACTGAACCGCGTAGCAGGACATAGCACGGCGCAAAAATAAAAGTAGAACCGGCCCACAAAGCTCAAGAGGCCTGGAGTTTAGGGTTTAGGGTTTAGGGTTTAGGGTTTAGGGTTTAGAGTTTAGGGTTTAGGGTTTAGGGTTTAGGGTTCAGGGTTCAGGGTTCAGGGTTCAGGGTTCAGGGTTCAGGGTTTAGGGTTTAGGGTTTCTTGGCGTTTCGGGTGCAGGGCCTCCTTCAGGTCCTCCCACACCAGCTTGTTGTACCTGATTAGGCTTCGAGGCTGTTTACGTTTTCAGTTTGGACTTTCACAGTCTGACACCCTAAACCCCCTCCCAAAACCCCCTAAACCCCTGAAACCCCTCTGCACCCCTAAAACCCTCAACCTTGCACACCGAAAAGCCTTCAACCAGCTTCCCAACACACCTCATTCAGAGTCCCCCCCCTCCCCCCCCCCCCACACACCCAGACAGACAGACAGACAGACAGAGAGAGAGAGAGAGTGCGAGAGAGAGAGAGAGAGGGAGGGAAAGAAAAAAACAAAAAAAAACAGCCTCTTGACTAAGGTTTAGGGTTCAGGGTTTAGGGTTCGGGGTTCAGGGCTCAGGGCTTAGGGTTTAGGGTTTTTTAGGGTTGCGGGTCTGGGGTTTTTGGTTTTGCGGCTTGAAAGTTTAGGGCTTCGGTGTGGCTTTGGGTCCCTAAGCCCTAAACCCTAAACCCTAACCCTTAAACCCTAAACCCTAAACCCTAAACCCTAAACCCCAAACCCTAAACCCTAAACCCTAAACCCTAAACCCTAAACCCTCACCCCAGCACAAGCCAGGGAACAGGTGTTCACTCATCAGCCCGAGCTCTAGGTAGCCCACAAGCCTCGGCTGGAGATGCCCCCCAAGCACTCCGAAAAACCTTAGGGGCCTTAGGGGTTGTAGGGCCTCAACCCTAAACCCTAAACCCTAACCCGAAACCCTAAACCCTAAACCCCAAACCCTAAACCCCAAACCCCAAACCCCAAACCCCAAACCCTAAACCCTAAACCCCAAACCAACCCTCAACCCAAAGCCGACCCGGCTGCCAAAATCACACCCCCCCCGCCCCCAAACTCTACACCCCTAAGCCCACAGGACCCTGAAGCAGAGCTGCGGTTTAGGGTTTAGGGTTTAGGGTCTAGGGTTTAGGGTTCAGGGTTCAGGGTTCAGGGTTTAGGGCTTCTACCTCCTGAAATTCCCTGGCTTGTGCTGGGGTGAGGGTTTAGGGTTTAGGGTTTAGGGTTTAGGGTTTAGGGTGTAGGGTTTAGGGTTTAGGGTTTAGGGTTTAGGGTTTAGGGTTTAGGGTTTAGGGTTTAGGGTTTAGGGTTCAGGGTTCAGGGTTCAGGGTTTAGGGCTTCTACCTCCTGAAACTCCCATCAAAGCCCCTGCAGCCCCTGGAAATCCATGAGCTCTTCCGAACGCAAGGGTTTAGGGTTTAGGGTTTAGGGTTTAGGATTTAGGGTTTAGGGTTTAGGGTTTAGGGTTTAGGGTTTAGGGTTTAGGGTTTTAGGGTTTTAGGGTTAGGGTTTAGGGCTTCGGGTTTAGTGTTTCGGGTTGAAGCTTTAGGGTTCCCAGGGGCCCACGGGAAGCGGAAGCTCCAGGAATGCACCCAATACCCTAAACCCTAAACCCTAAACCCTAAATCCTGAACCCAAATTCAAAAAATCCAAAAACGAAGTTGGGGGACAAAATGCCGAACCAACCCGAAGCCTCTGAACCTTAGGGGTTAAGGGTTTGGGGTTTAGGGTTTAGGGTTTCGGGTTTAGGGTTTAGGGTTTCGGGTTTAGGGTCTAGGGTTTAGGGTTTAGGGTCTAGGGTTTAGGGTTTAGGGTTTAGGGTTTAGGGTTTAGGGTTTAGGGTTTAGGGTTGAGGGTCTAGGGTTTAGGGCACCTTAAGGGGCGACACCCTGGAAACTCTTGCAAGGGAAGGGAGCCCCACTGCAGCGAGCCAGAGGGCGTTCTGCACGAGTTTGTAGAGGGCTTGTGCTGGGGTGAGGGTTTAGGGTTTAGGGTTTAGGGTTTAGGGTTTAGGGTTTAGGGTTTAGGGTTTAGGGTTTAGGGTTTAGGGTTTAGGGTTTAAGGTTTAGGGTTTAGGGTTTAGGGTTTAGGGTTTCGGGTTTTGGGTTTAGGGTTGAGGGTTGAGGGTTTAGGGCTAGGGTTCAGGGTTGCGGACTTCGAGCTTAGGGTGAAGAGCACTCCAAATATCTAAACTCAAGGGGGGCCACTGAGGGCTTGAGAGTTTAGGGGTCTAATACCCTCAACCGGAATAGGGTATAGGGTTTAGGGTTTAGGGTTTAGGCCCTTTTCAGCGAGCTTCCCCACTGTCTGTTCTAATGTCCAGGGTAAGGACGGAACCCCTGGGACCTCATGAGGCCCGCAAACCCTCAACTATAAACCCCTGAAACCTACAAACCCCTCTTGACCCTAAACCGTAAACCCCTAAACCCTAAACCCTAAACCCTAAACCCTAAACCCTAAACCCTAAACCCTAAACCCTAAACCCTAAACCCTGAACCGAAAGAACAACACCACGGACTTGGAAACCCCCACACACCACCAAGCCCTATAGAAACCCAGGCGCTGGGACCCTAATGCAGATCACCCCCCCCTTCACCTTTGGTTCAAAGGATTGAGGGAGGGGTTTAGGGCCTAGGGGCTTAGGGTTAAGGTTCGAGTGGGTTTAGAGTTAGCGGTTAGGGTTTAGGGAAAGGGTTCAGGGTTTAGGGTTTAGGGCCCCAGGTCCAAAAAAAACACCAAAGACTTTCTCTCTTAGATGGCCTTCGCCTGCGAGGGCTCCTGCACTTGCCGAACCATGTGAAACATGGACATTGAGGCCCTTGGCTGAGTTTGGGGTTTAGGGTTTGGGGGGGTTTTAGGGTTTTAGGGCTTTAGGGTTTTAGAGTTTTAGGGTTTTAGGGTTTTTGGGTTTTTGGGTTTTGGGGTTTTGGGGTTTTTGGGTTTTTGGGTTTTTGGGTTTTGGGTTTTTGGGGTTTTTGGGTTTAGACTACATTCATCGCTCTTCTATGGCGCTCTTGTAAGGACAGGTTGGAGTCTGGGGGGGAGCGGGGGCACCTTGCACCCTGAACAAAACCCAAACCCCTGTTGGGGGTTTCGGGCTTGAGCTAGTCCTCGCAGCAATTTCGGGGGAGGGGGGGGGGGGGGGGGGGGGGTTCAGGGTTTGGGTTTATGAGGGAATGAAGGGTTCAGGCCATGCCCTTTGAAGTTTCGGGATGTCATGATCTTGGAGGATTACGTGTTTACGTTTTGGGGTTTGAGTGGCTTTGAAAATTGAGAGTTTCAGGGCTTAGGGTTCAGGGCGTCTGGGCCTTTAGAAATGCAGGTAGGATTCAGGCTTGAGGGGTACAGGGTTTAGGGTTTAGAAGCCCCCAGGATTCCCAAAAAATCCTCAACGAGGAATGCTTTAGTGGACCAGGGACGGCATCGCATGGTAGGACGTCATGAAGTACCTGGAGCCAGGTGTTCCGGTACGGGGTTTAGGGTTTAAGGCTTGGGGTGGTGTGAGGGCTTCGGATTTAGGTCGTCTTAGGGGTGAAGGATTTACAGCGCTGTAGGGTTTAGGATTTAGGGCGGTTTGGGCGTGTAGGCGCTTAGGTTTTAGGGTTTCGGGTAGGACCATTTTCTTGAGCATGTGTAGTTAATGTCTTCTGGGGTCTGCCCTGAACCGTAAAAGCCTAAACTCGAAGTCCTCAACCCTAGCCCTGAACCACTTGGCGGCGCCAATGCTAGGCAGCCCCTGTGGGTCGCGGATGCCAGCATCGGCCTGTTTCTCCTGCTACTCCCTAAACCCTAAACCCATGCTTTTCCATGTTCCCACAAGCCATTCTTCCACCCGCTTGGACTTAGGAGCCGCTCTGGTCGGGCCCTGCCCGCCCGCCTTCCATCTCGCATCATGCCGGTCCCACCATCTCGACTCAGATCGCTTCTCCCACCCATCATCACGCCGTCCCGGTTGGTCACCACCACCAGCATCATTTTACCAGTGCGGTTTAGGGTTTAGGGTTTAGGGTTTAGGGTTTAGGGTTCAGGGTTCCTGAATGGGGTTCCCATAAAGTAGCTTCAGGGCCCAAAGTCTATGTAGGTACATGGACCCTTTGGGCTGAACGGAATTCGTAAAATCGTTCTGAACCTGAACATGTTCGATGTGAAAATCGGTGAAACCCTAAACCCTAAACCCTAAACCCTAAACCCTAAACCCTAAACCCTAAACCCTAAACCCTAAACCCTAAACCCTAAACCTTTGGCAAGCTCTGGCTTGGCACGCTTCTAGACCCAAGCGCAACTTTAGCCACAGAAAGGGTGCCCTTTGCGGTTTAAAGGGGGGCTTATAAGGAAACCTCAACCCTAAGCAAAAAAGAATGAGCCCCTACTCTGGGTCCTAGCCCTAAACCCTAAACCCTCAACCCTAAACCCTAAACCCTAAACCCTGAACCCTAAACCCACTCTGGGCCCTAGGGTTCGAGCATTCGGGTGGTTTGGGGGTGGGCAAAATCTTCGTACTACTGTGCGCTTTCCGGAGCGTTCGACCTTGTCGAAAACACCCTAAAGCCTCAACCCCTACACTGCCTAAACCCTAAAACGTAAAGCCCCAACTACACTTCCTAAACTTGCTAAACTTCCAGAACTTCCTACACTTCCTAAACCACCTAAACTTGCTCAACTTCCCTAAGCCCTAAGCCCTAAGCCCTAAGCCCTAAGCCCTAAGCCCTAAGCCCTAAGCCCTAAGCCCTAAACCCCGAAGCCCTAAACCCTAAACCCTAAACCCCTAAACCCTAAACCCCTAAACCCCTGAGCCCTGCCGAGTTGCTCATGGATCCGCTGGCGCTTGCGTCGCCGCCGATCCTGGCCGGAAGGGCTCGAGACTGGTTTAGGGTTTAGGGTTTAGGGTTTAGGGCTTAGGGTTTAGGGTTTAGGGTTTAGGGTTTAGGGTTTAGGGTTTAGGGTTTAGGGTTAAGGGTTAAGGGTTAGGGTTTAGGGTTTAGGGTTTAGGGTTTAGGGTTTGGGTCTGAACCCTCATCCGCAGGGAACTGTTTAGGGATTATTTAGGGTTTAGGGCTTGGGGTTTCGGGTTTGCAGTTTAGGGTCTAGGGCTTGGGGTTTAGGGTTTAGGGTTTGGGCTTTAGGGTTTAGGGTTTAGGGCTTACGGTTCGAAATGAGGCTCCCCTTCTCCCATAAACCCCCCGGCCCTCCACCTCTTCGCATCCCAAAAGCTAAACCCCGCTGCAACTAGGGGTTTAGGGTTTAGGTTTTAGGGTTTGTAGGGCTTAGGGTTTAGGGTTTAGGGTTTAGGGTTTAGGAACTGGGCCGGGCGGTGACCGCGACAACTGACACAAGTTAGGGATTAGCGCTCAGGTTTAAGGACCCTGTCATCGTCATACGACCTATAGTCTTGAACCCCTAAACCCCTAAACCCCGCCATATAGGGGCCTCAAGAATTAGAACAGGGACTTGGGGGTTTATTATCATCTAAATGTTACAGGGACCCTAAGGGGAATCCTCTTAGTAATAACTCAGACCCCGATGGTAGTGGGTCGTGCGCTTGGAGTCTCGGGTTTCTTGGCAATGAAGGCTTTGGGAATGAGTAGCCCTAAACCCTAAACCCTGAAAACCCTGAACCAGGGTGTAGGGTTTAGAGGCTCAAAACATCCCAAAACACCCACGCTCAGCCTATGATATTAGGGCTTACCCTAAACCCTAAACCCTAAACCCTAAAAACCCTAAACCCTAAACCCTAAACCCTAAACCCTAAACCCTAAACCCTAAACCCCCTAAACCCTAACCCTAAACCCTAAACCCTAAACCCCAAACCCGAAACCCTATCCTAACCATAAGCGCCACCCCTTGGGCAGGGGTCCTCCTTCTCCTCGCGGCTGGCGCGCTTGCGGTTGGATTCCAGGGAGGACTCCAGAGAGGACTGCAGGGGCGGTCTGGGTTTAGGGTTTAGGGTTTAGGGTTTAGGGTTTAGGGTTTAGGGTTTAGGGTTTAGGGTTTAGGGTTTAGGGTTTAGGGTTTAGGGTTTAGGGTTTAGGGTTTAGGGTTTTGAGGTTTAGGGTTTAGGGTTTAGGGTTTTGAGGTCAGGGTTTAGGAGTGCTTAAGGCAGGTTTGGGGTTTGGGGTTTCGGGGGTAGGGTTCAGGGTTACCCCCAAAAAAAACACCGCAAGCCCTGATCGTCCGCACCCGCAGCCCGAATACCTTCACAAGGCCAGCTTGAACGAAGTATGGATCATTCGGAATCGGGTGTTTCCGAAATTGGGGGTACCTTATTTGGGTACGGAATCGTACTCTTTGGGGATCGTATTAAGGGTCCCGTATTTTCGTAAACCCGCATTTGGGTGTAGAAGTGGGGCCTGGTTCTGGGCGGAATCGGTATTCTCCTTGTCCTCCTCACCTGAGAAGGCATAATTGGAGGTTCATGGGTCGCTAGAAGTAGGGTGATACGTACCCGAAGCAGAGCAACAAGTATAGTTACCATACTTAAAACTACCTGTAAGCCCTAAACCCTAAACTACCCATGGACCTCCAAGTAGCTACACGCTCAGTTCGCTTTCCCCCACTTCGGGCTCATAAGGGCCCTGTTTAGGGCTTAGGGCTTTGGGTCTAGGGTTGGGGGTTAGAGTTTAGGGTTTAGAACACGCAGCAAAAGCAGGCAAGCTCACTTTCCACGTCGCTCTCGTCGTCATCGTCGAGCTCGTCGACAGGCGGACGTTGTTCTGCCACATGGACGCTTGGGGGCAGTAGGGTTCTATGATGTCAAGATGATCCGCGGTGTTCAATTCTGCACATAGCCGGGTGCATGTGGGTAGTTTTCTAAGTTAGCTTCCCTTTTTGGGTCCCTAAATAGTACGGCACCCTATTGAAAGGACCAGAACTGCCCATATCATATAACCCTAAACCCTGAACCCTAAACCCTAAACCCTATATCGGCGCCGAGGGGATGTACACATATGTCAGCCAGACGCCCACACTCCGCAGGCAGCAACTGCGAAAACCGGCAACAAGTTGAACTCCGGAACCCCGAACGGTTTAGGGTTTGGGGATTAGGGCTTAGGGTTTAGGGCTTAGGGTTTAGGGTTTAGGGTTTAGGTTTTAGGGTTTAGGGTTTAGGGTTTAGGGTTTAGGGTTTAGGGTTTAGGGCTGCAGCTTGCCACGACATCAGCTCCCTCTCCACCTCTGGCTTCGGCGATGGGGTCATCGTCCAGGATGATGATGCGCTCGTTGCGCTTCGACAGGTTCTCTTGCCTTCCCAGGCTGTTGACGTTTCGGGTTTAGGGTTGAGGGTTTAGGGTTTAGGGTTTAGGGTTTAGGGTTTAGGGTTTAGGGTTAGGGTTTAGGGTTTAGGGTTTAGGGTTTAGGGTTTAGGGTTTAGGGTTTAGGGTTTAGGGTTTAGGGTTTAGGGTTTGGGGTTTAGGGTTTAGGGTTTAGGGTTTAGGGTTTAGGGTTTGGGGTTTGGGGTTTAGGGTTTAGGGTTTAGGGTTTGGGATGGTTAGGGCTTTCGGGGTTTAGCGTTTAGGGTTTGGGGTTTAGGGTTGAGGGTTAGGGTTTTGGTTTAGGGCTTTTGCTACCAGCATTTGTATTCTCAGTTGTGACCCCTCTGTCATGATTACGAGGACTACTACTGTACTTTCTACACATAAACCCCCTTTATGGCACGTATGTACATATATATACACACAGAGATATAACTACTACTTGCTTAAGAACCCCCAAATATAAAGAATAACAATCCCTATACTACCCGTATAAGGAAGAATATTTTGCATTTTTGTGGGGGTTCTTAAGCACTTGGGAGATAAGGTTTAGGGTTTAGGGCTAGGGTTTAGGGTTTAGGGTTAGGGGTTTAGGGTTTAGGGTTCAGGGTTTGGGGTTTGGGGGCTTAGAGTTTGGGATGCAGTGGCCTCGGGGAGGGGTCCCTTTTTGGGATCCTGATGTTTAAGGCGGCTCCTCTTGCTCAGGGTACCCCAAAAGGGACAATGACGGAGAACTGACCACAAAACCGTAAACCCTAAACCCCAAATCCCAAACCCAAAACCCCAATCTAAACCCTAAACCCTAAACCCTAAACCCTAAACCCTAAACCCTCCCCCAATCAGCCCCAAGCTCAGCCCCTGCTGCGCGCAGTCTGGGCACGCGATGGGGCGGTGCGCGTCGATCACGAAGCACCGGAAGGTCGCCGGCACCTCGCGCATCCAGCTTAGGACGTAAACCCTAAACCCTAAACCCCAAACCCTAAACCCCAAACCCTAAACCCTAGCCCTAAACCCTAGCCCTAAACCCTAGCCCTAAACCCTAAACCCTAAACCCTAAACCCTAAACCCTAAACCCTAAACCCTAAACCCTAAACCCTAAACCCTAAACCCTAAACCCTAAACCCAAACTTAGGAATTCGGGCTTCGGGCGGGTTGAACATGTGAAACCCTTTAACCCTATCCCTCGGCCCTGCCCTCTCCAAGAGTGGGGGCGTCCCTCATTTAGGGTTTAGGGTTTAGGTAACAATTAAACAAAACCTCCTCGGCCCTTTCAGACTATCAAATGCCAAAAAGCCGAATTCTTCAAACCCTATGACATCCACCCCATTCAAGCCTGAACCCTAGTATAAAGACCACACAAATCCCAGAACCCTACTCAACCGACCCAACTAGGCCCGATAAAAACCAGAACCCTATCAGGCCCCAAACCCTAAACCCTAAACCCTACACCCGAAACCCTAAACCCTACAAACCCCTACAAACCCTACAAACCCTACAAACCCTACCCTACAAACCCTACAAACCCTACAAACCCTACAAACCCTACAAACCCTACAAACCCTACAAACCCCACAAACCCCACAAACCCTACAAACCCTGCAAACCCCACAAACCCTACAAACCCTACAAACCCTAAACCCTAAACCCCAAGAGCCCATGCGCCTTGCTCTCTACCGAGAGCTTCTCGAGGTCCATGCTGGCCCCACAATTCAGAAGCACCACGGCCTGCACCTCGTTGGCTTTAGGGTTTGGGGTTTAGGGTTTCGGGTAGGTTTAGGGTTTAGGGTTTAGGGTTTCGGGTTTCGGGTTTCGGGTTTCGGGTTTCGGGTTTCGGGTTTAGGGTTTAGGGTTTAGGGTTTAGGGTTTAGGGTTTAGGGCTAGGGTTTGGGGTTTAGGGTTTAGGGTTTCGGGTTTGGGGTTTAGGGTTTAGGGCGGAGCCTCGTCAGGGAGGGCTTGTAGGGCTTCTCGGGCTTGGCGCTGGGGCTTCAGGGCCTGAAAGCTCTGCGCTGAACTCTGAAAACCCTCTACTTGGAGGTTCATGGTTGGTTAAACAGTACCATGACCCTCCAAGTGAACCCTAAACCCTAAACCCCAAACCCGGGGCCTCAGTGTCAGTTTCGAACTGCCTGAAGGCTTCCACGATGTCCGCATTCTCCCACACTGGACTGAGGTGGTGCTTGACCTGACCGTTTTGGGCTCAGGATGCTTAACCCTCAACCCTAAACCCTAAACCCTAAACCCTAAACCCTAAACCCTAAACCGTGAAGTTAGGCAGATCTCGACGCTGGGGGCCCCTTTCGGTTTTAAGGCGGAACCTTGTGTCGAACATAGGGGTCCGAATAGTTACTACTTGTACTCTGGCCCCTATATAGTTGTACTGTAATAACCCCCAAAAACCCTATTCTAATTAAGCACGCAACTATCTTGCTGATACAGCCCCTCCACGAGTAGTTGTTATTGTCAACTTTAGTTTCACAAATTCTTTAAGTGTAGGGCGTCTGCTCACTCTGAACCCAGTGGGTTGAAGCTAAACCCTAAACCCTAAAACCCACAAAAAGTGCACCCGAAAGCCTTTGACAGCCGGGAGGTCTTGGGGAGGGTTGAGGTGGTCTGTGGGTTTAGGGTTTAGGGTTGAGGGTTTAGGATTAGGGTTTAAAGTTTAGGGTTTAGGGTTTAGGGTTGAGGGTTTAGGGTCGCGGCGCTAGAACTCTCCAAGAGGAGCCTCGTCAGCAGGGGGTCAGAGCTTTGGGTGTGTTCCCCTAAGCCCGTGACCCTGACAAGCCTAACAACTACCTTCGAGGTTTGCTCCCCACTCACAACCCTCAGGAATTTCATGGTACTTAGTAACACACTAGGGCACTTAGGGGGCTTATACGTGGGTTATAAGTACAGTTATCATTGGATACCAAGTACCATGAACCTCCAAGTAGACCCTTTTCAACCCTAAAACCCCCTTTAAACCTCGAGGTGGCTTCCCCCCTCAGAACCCTCAACCCTACCTTTTGATCCCCAAACCCTCAACCTTATGAGCCCCTTAAGTGCCGTAATATGGTGATAAGTACGATTATATCAGGGGTTCCCCGACTACCCCCCTCTATACTACCCCCCCCCTAGGTTCCCCCAAAATTAAGGCTATTTAGGGCTAATTAAGCCTAATTAAGTATAGAGGGGGGTAATAGGGAAGCCCAGAATTATAATTGGTTCATAAGTGCCATGAACCTCCAAGTACCTTTTGATCCCCAAGCCCTCAACCCCCAAAAACGCGCACGGCACCTGCCCCTCCAGAAAGTTGACCAACATCTTGGAGGCACAGACCCCATCGTGGTCGGCAGCAGCCAGGATATGCACCTTAGAGTCAGGGCCAAGGAGGCTTTGACCCTAAACCCCAAACCCCAAACCTAAACCCTAAACCTAAACCCCAAACCCTAAACCCTAAACCCTAAACCCTAAACCCTAAACCCTAAACCCCTAACCCTAAACCCTAAACCCTAAACCCTAATCCTAAATCCCTACTTTGAGGACCGGTAAGGCCAGCGCTGTGCGAGGGCTTTGGGTCTCAGGGGAGTTTCAGGGGCCTGAGACCCTACAACCTCTAAATCCTACGCCTGCTGGCGGGGAGCCGCTGGCGCTGGAGAGAAGTGTTGTGCATTCACTGGGGGTTTAGGGTGCGAGGTTCAGGGGCTAGGACTAGAACTAGAAATTTTCCGAATATCATCCTCTTGAACCCAATAAGGGCAACTATATTCTATCCCAATGGCCTAAACCCTGACCACAAACCCTAAACCGGTTTGGGGCTTAGGGTTTCCAAGGTTAGGGCTCTTGGGGCCGAGGGTTCAGGTGTCAGCGCGCTCGACATCCTAGAAACCCAATAACCTCAAGCCCAAACCCCATGTTTGGCTTCAAGAGAGCAAAAAAAAAAACAAGTCTTCTTAGAGGTGACGACTGCTAATCTTGCGAATGATTGTAACACTTGCAACACATCGCACTCAGGCTAAGTTCTTCCTCAACCCTAGGCCCGTTCTGTGCGCCCGCGGTGCCATGACGTTGCCACTCGCCGCACACTTGGTCTTGTTCAATTGCTCCAGCATTTCCAGGAAGGCGCGGCCATTGTCCTCGCGCACGTTCCTGCGGGATGGCAAAGACACACACGGAGGCACTCCTCATCGACCTTTCTAGGTGTGCTTGCTTCAGGTCTAAACGCTGGTCTTTTTGGGGGTACCCTAGATATGAGGGCTCCATATTTCATTTAAACATGGAATGATCAAGAACTCTACATTTCTAGGAAAACTGCTTGTGTTGCAATCAAGACTTACTACACATGTTAGTCGAATTCAAGTCGTTTTTGTGAAGCTATACTCGGTCCACTTATGTTAGGCTACAAAATTTGTGCTTTAGTGACTGCGAATGGTATGAAATGAACCTTCCGTTGATAGGTACAAACTTGGATACTTCAGTAGCCGGTATAGTACGTAATCAGAACTTCGAAGATCACCATCATGATTTAATAACATGAATTTTCTTTGAATAAAAGCAGCGATAGTTCACTAGCCTCTTTCGTACAGTATTAATTCAATATTCTGCCTAGTACAGGCACTATGCGTTTAGAACAGCTACCCATTTGTCTAGGCTTGAGACATTGCTCAGAAAAATCTATAAAATTGCAGAATTTGTCTGGATTGCCTAGCACAGTCACTATTTTTGCAATGGATATTCTATGAAGAAACAAGAGCTAGGATAGTTCACTCGCCTCTTTCACTAGCACAGGCACTATGTATCTAAAACGCACAGTATTTGCCTCGGTTTGGGGCATGCACTATTTCTCTATAAAAAAATCACAAAAGCCAAAAGGCAACGTTATTCTAAGACTTGCAAAGATGAAGCCAAAAACGCCCACACCAATAAAACCAAAACCAAAAAAGACAATAATAATAATAATACCAATATACATATTCTGAGCCTCTTGGAAAAAGGGAACCATTAGCCCTGACATCAATAGTTTGGAAATATTGGTTCTTGTTGGTCGTATCTGTTTTGGTTTGGGCGTTCTTGGTTTCATCTTTCCAAGAGTCTCAGAATAATGGCGTTTGTGTGTTTTTGGTTTTGCTTTTTTGGCTGTCCTGTTTTGGGTTCTTTGTTGGCGTTTCGGGGGGGTTCTGGAAACCTGCAGATGTAGATCTTGGGGCGAGCATATATATGTTTGTATTTATTCATGTTTTATTTATGCATTCATATTTACATTTGTTATGATTTCATCATAAATGGCAGGGGTCCTCCCTAGACACGATGTTTGAGGTGCATCCGGGGGGGGGGGGGGGGGGGGGGGGGGGTTTGGGCTCGGGCCCCAACCGGCCCATCAACACAAGACCCAGAGGGCTGGGGCCCGTAAGAAAAACTCCACCCTGCACCCCAAAGCCCTGAAGCCCTAACCCTAGACCCTAGACTCTAGAGACCCTATACCCCAAAACCCTAGACCCTAGACCTTAGACCCCAGAGACCCTATACCCCAAAAAACCAAGCCCAACCCAAGCCTAGAGAAGAAGAGGTCCCAAACCCGTTGAACCCACAAGGCCGACCTTGAAAGCCCCCGAAAAAAAAAAAAAAAAAAAAAAAAACCCCCAAACCCCCCCCCCCAAAAAAAAAAAAAAAACGCAATGCAAGAAAAGCACAGAACTATATAGTCTAAACGACACACGAGTGTGAAGAAAAAACTAAACCCTAAACCCTAAACCCCAAACCGTAAACCCTAAACCCTAAACCCTAAACCTTAGCTGACCCAGGGCAAGAGCCAAGTCTCAAACCCTAAATTGGGAGGCCGGAGCCTCCAAGCCCCCAACATCACGCCCAAGTTTGGGGCTTGGGGTCTAGAAGTTTAGGGTTTAGGGTTTAGGGTTTCGGGCGGAACCCAAACCCGAAACCCTAAATCCAAAAAAAAAAGCGACAAAAACCGCAGTGCATGGCCTGAGGACCATCCCTCCTCACAGGGACCTGTGGGGCTTTCGGTTCTTTGAGGAAGGGTTTAGGGTTTAGGGTTCTTTAAGGAAGCGGGGTACCTGGGGAACCTTAGGGGACTTCGGCTTTGAGTTTGGGGGGCTTTTGGGATTGACAGGTCGGTTTTGGGGTTTTAGGGCTTTAGGGATGTTACCCTAAATCCTAAACCCTACAGCCTAAACCCTAAACCCTAAACCTTAAACCCTAAACCCTAAACCCTAAACCGGTTTTGGGGCTTTAGGGATTTTATAGGGTTTTGGGGATGTCTGGTTGAGCTTAGGGGGGCTTCCCCATAAAGTCCTTATTTGGGTCTTGCCCTAAACCCTAAACCCAAAATCCCTGAACCCTGAACCCTAAACCCTAAACCCTGAACCCCTGAACCCCTGAACCCCTGAACCCTAAACCCTAAACCCTAAACCCTAAACCCTAAACCCTGAACCCTAAACCCTAAACCCTAAACCCTAGGGGATGATTGTCTTCAGGGGCTTCAGAGTTGAGAGTTGAGGGTTCGTTGCAGACATCCCCGCAACCCTAAAGCCCTAACACCCCAACCCCCAAAACAGTACCCAAACCCGAAGACCCCATACTCTCTGTGGTTCGGGGTTTAGGGTTTAGGGGTTTAGAGTTTAGGGAAATCGGTGTAATTTCTTGGGGGGGGGGGGGGGGGAGGAGGGAAGGAAAAGAGATTCCGGGGTGTGCACCCCACAAGCGAGGCATAACACACTCCAAGTGCCGAGCTGGAGGACTGCACAAAGAATGGGGGGGCCCTAACCCTAAACCCTAAACCCTAAAACCCAACCCTAAACCCCCTAGGGGCCCTTTCGTCCAAGCTGCGCCGGCAAGAGCAGCTCATCTGAATCTACTTGTCAGCTTTGAGCAGCACGCCAGGAAACAGAGGCGTGCACCCTCGACCCGAAACCCTAAACCCCGAAACGGGGAAGGGGGGGGGGGGGGGGGGGGGAGTTTAAGGGTTTAGGGTTCAGGTTCATTCTCGGGTTGACGGTTTGACGGTTTGGGGTAGGGGGGCGGGGGACTGCTCCTATACTAAGGATTTTAATACATTGGCGTACCCCCCCCCCCTATTGGGGCAATTCTCATTTAAACATCTCGACTACCGGGGATATTTGGGTGTGATTTGGGGATCCGGTTCTTCTACGCATGACCAGTGTGGTTGTTACAATCAGTTGGAATGACCTTTTTGTTGTCATTGCATTGTCACTAGTGTTACAAAGGTGTTCATGCCGATTGCTATTGCTACTACTGTTGCTTCTGCCATTGCTATGACCTTCATTCTTGGTGTCATGCTTGCTGTTGTGGTTCTGAAGAAGGTCAACAGTATATCATGGCCATGCCCAGCGCTGTTGTGGCGACTCGGTTGTCTACAAGCCAGGGTTTTAGGGTTTTAGGGTTTTAGGGTTTTAGGGTTTTTGGGTTTTTGGGTTTTTGGGTTTTTGGGTTTTTGGGTGCTTGGGTTTTAGGGTTTTAGGGTTTTAAGGGTTTTAAGGGTTTTAGGGTTTTAGGGTTTTAGGGTTTAGGGTTTAGGGTTTAGGGTTTAGTGTTCAGGCTTTTGGGTTGAGGGTTTGGGCTTTAGGGTGGTATTGTAGGCAAGGGCGCAGGTGTGTGCTCAACGATGTGAACGAAAAGTCTCGGTTCCGACCTTCCGTCGTATCCGAAGTGAGCAGGGCCCCTGTCGCACGCATTACCATACCCCCGGCCATCAGCATCTAAAGTGGCCAAGCTCGACCAGACGTGCGCAGGCAACGATGCTTGCTGTTCAAGTGCAGGCTTGCATGTTTGCTCACGGTACACTGGCAACCCGCTCGTCTACCAGCCACCTTGCTGGCATGCAAGTGTCTGCTCAACCGCGTGAACGAAAAGTCTCGGTTCCGACCTTCCGTCGTATCCGAAGTGAGCAGGGCCCCTGTCGCACGCATTACCATACCCCCGGCCATCAGCATCTAAAGTGGCCAAGCTCGACCAGACGTGCGCAGGCAACGATGCTTGCTGTTCAAGTGCAGGCTTGCATGTTTGCTCACGGTACACTGGCAACCCGCTCGTCTACCAGCCACCTTGCTGGCATGCAAGTGTCTGCTCAACCGCGTGAACGAAAAGTCTCGGTTCCGACCTTCCGTCGTATCCGAAGTGAGCAGGGCCCCTGTCGCACGCATTACCATACCCCCGGCCATCAGCATCTAAAGTGGCCAAGCTCGACCAGACGTGCGCAGGCAACGATGCTTGCTGTTCAAGTGCAGGCTTGCATGTTTGCTCACGGTACACTGGCAACCCGCTCGTCTACCAGCCACCTTGCTGGCATGCAAGTGTCTGCTCAACCGCGTGAACGAAAAGTCTCGGTTCCGACCTTCCGTCGTATCCGTAGTGAGCAGGGCCCATGTCGCACGCATTACCATACCCCCGGCCAACAGCATCTAAAGTAGCCAAGCTCGACCAGACGTGCACAGGCAACTTCTCACTCCACGGGAGAAGGTGCAATCACACTCCTTGCACCCAAGCAAGAACATCCACAGGCTCTTCACGCCAATCAAACCAAGCCTCCGCAGAAACTCCCAGCGTCAGCCCGAGTTGATATCTTCGTTGGGGGAGTATGGGATTTGGGACTCAAGGTTTAAGGTTAAGGGCTTCGTATTAGGGCTTGGGGCTCAGAATTTACCTAAACCCTAAACCCCAAACCCCAAACCCCTAAACCCCAAGCCCTAAACCCTAAACCCCAAGCCCTAAACCCCAAACCCTAAAACCCCAAACCCCAAACCCTAAACCCCAAACCCTAAACCCCAAACCCGGGTTTGGTGCACACAACCCCCCCCCTTTTTGCCCATCACACCACTGCACAGCGTTTGTAGATCGCGGCCCTGGCCATGAACAGCCTTGGTGGCAGAGGCTCCGGGCTCAGGGTTCAGGGGTCAAGGTAACCCTAAGCCCTAAACCCTAAACCCTAAACCCCAAACCCTAAACCCTAAACCCTAAACCCTAAACCCTAAACCCTGACGGATTTAGGGAAGGTTTAGGGCCCAGGGGTTCAGAGAATGTAGGAGGGCGCTGAGGAGTTTTCGAGTCTCCCCTCCCCCAGCGGTGGCCCTGCACCCCCGGAATCCCTGCAGCCCAACACCCTCCAAAAGTAACCCCCCCCCCAAACCCAAAACACCCCCAGAGTAAGCCCCTTTAATTGGAGGTTCAGGGTTTGGGTTTAGGGTTTAGGGTTTAGGGTTTGGGGTTTGGGGTTTGGGGTTTGGGGTTTTGGGTTTGGGGTTTAGGCTTTGGGGGTTTTAGGGTTTAGGGTGTAGGGTTCAGGGTACTTATAACCCCAATTATCGCTGCACTTATAAGCCCCCCAATCCCCCTAAGTCCTCTTCGTAGGTTGTAAGTGGACTTCTAAATTGGGGTTGTAAGTACCCATGAACCCTAAACCCTAAACCCTAGACCCTAAACCCTAGACCCTAAACCCTAAACACTAAACCCTAAACCCTAAACCCTAAACCCCCGCATCTGCCGTGCGGCTCCTCGCTGGGCATCCCCTCTAAGCGGAGCACGGGAGCGGCACCTGCCGGGCAGGGAAAAGGCGTTTAGGGTTTTGGGTTTGGGGGTTTAGGATGTTGGGTCTTTTTGTTCAGAAATGGGGCTTAGAGTTTAGGGTTTTGGGTTTTCATGGCGATTTCGAGGATTTGGTGTTTTTTGTAGTTTGTGGTGGATGGCTTTAAAGGTCTCACTGTGGGATTCTAGGGTGTAAGGTTTTTGTGGTTGACTGTCGAAGCTTTGTGAAGTGTTTGGGGCGGGGGTATAGCTTCGGACTTCGGGGAGTTGACGCCCCGGGCTCAAGGTGGCAGATGGGCATCTCTTGCGACGCTTGCTTCGAAGCGAACCCAACGAATCACGCTTCTGCGTAATTCGCCGAACGCGTTTCAAAGGCTGCGCAAGCTCCCAGGCAGCGGAAGAAATGGCGGCTGCTGCATCGGTTTATCCTGTTTCGCGAGTCTTGCCGAGCAAAGTGTTGAACGCTGAAGGTCATGGCCCCCAGCCTCAGCCTGCGCCCCAAACCCTAAACCCTAAACCCCTAAACCCTAAACCCTAAACCCCTAAACCCTAAACCCAAACCCTAAACGCCTAAACCCCTAAACCCTAAACCCCTAAACCCCAAAACCCAGAACCAGGACGAAGCTTCGGCCTTTGGAGGTCGTCGACGAATGGGACGGGAAGGACAGCATCGATGCGTGGGCAGGAAGTCGCTGAACATGGCAACTCCATGTTCCCATCCGCCGTGAGCTTCGCAAGCCACCACAAAAATGCCAAACCGTAAGCCCCACCCAACCCCGAAGCTCTGCGCCCTGAGTCCTGAACCCTGAACCCTAAACCCACAGCTGTTCTGGTTAGCCCAATTCCTCTGAGAGAGCCTCCTTCTCAGAGGCCTCAACCCTCAAGCCCTTAAACCCTAAACCCTAAACCGTAAACCCTAAACCCTAAGGACCTCCCAACCTTCCACCCCTGTAGCCCCGAACATGGCAGCCTAAACAGTTACCAGTACTATCCATCTAAGGTCTAGGGTAAAAATAGGGCTTAGGGCTTAGGGCTCAGGGCTCAGGGCTTAGGGCTTAGGGGTTAGGGCTGAGGGCTTAGGGCTTAGGGCTTAGGGTTTAGGGTTTAGGGTTTAGGGTTTAGAGTTTAGGGTTTAGGGTTTAGGGTTTAGCTAACCACAACATACCACATTCATTGAAGCTATGCTGTCGTCACCCGAAAGTACAAGTCACTCTTGCACTTTCGCATCCATTTCGGTCTGCAGTACCCAAAAAAACATCCAATTGTCGCTTTAGGGGTTTAGGGTTTAGGGTTTAGGGTTTAGGGTTTAGGGTTTAGGGTTTCGGGTTTAAGGTTTAGGGTTTAGGGTGGAGGAGGGTTTAGGGTTTAGGAGGGTTTAGGGTTTAGGGGTTAAGGGAGTAACTAACCAGGCCCCCTACATGATCCCTTAAAGACCCACCCACAAGCCCCTTAAATCCCCATAGCCCCCCCTGATACCCTAAGTTACCCTAAACCCTAAACCCTAAACCCTAAACCCTAAACCCTAAACACACCTAAAACAGGGCAAAGGCGCCTGCAGATGGCTTCCGCTTCCAACCCATGGCTGCTCCTGAGGGGGAAGGGGAGGGTTTAGGGTTTAGGGTTTAGGGTTCAGGGCTCAGGGTTTAGGGTAACTGTACTTCTGACTGTAGTTAGGGGTTTATAAGTACAGTTCTATAATTAGTTCCTGAGTACCATGAACCTCCAAGTACACCGGAAAAGGTCAAGAGGCCTTTAGGGTTATAGGGTTTTAGGGTTTAGGGTTTAGTGTTTTGGGTTTAGGATGTAGGGTTTAGGGTTTAGGGTTTTAAGGCTTAGGATTTTAGGGCTGGGATTTTTTAGGGTTGTAGGGTTCCAGGGTTTAAGGCTTGGGGTTTATGGGTCCAAGGTTTTTTGGACTTTAGGGCTTATGGGTTCAGGGTTTCTGGGTTGAGGGCTTAGGGATTTGGGGTTTGCTGTAGGGCTCAGGGTCCAAGGTTTGAATGCTGCGGGATGGTAAAGACTTCCTCGCACATGGCGCGAGATGAACTCAGCCCTCGGCTCTGGAACCCCCCCCCCGGTCTTCCTAAACCCGAAACCCTAAGCCCGAAACCCTAAGCCCAAACACCCAAACCCTAAACCCTAAACCCTAAACCCGAAACCCTAAACCCGAAACCCGAAACCCGAAACCCTAAGCCCAAACACCCGAAAAAACCCAAAGCACGTTGAGACCTGCTGAGCGCGAGCACAGGACCGAGGCAAAGAAACGACTATCCATCTTTCCAGCAACTAGGGCTTAGGGTTTAGGGTTTAGGGTTTAGGGTTTAGGGCTTAGGATTTAGGGTTTAGGGTTTAGGGTTTAGGCTAAGGGTTTGGCATTGTTTGGCAACAGCCTTTGCACGCCCCAAACGGCCTTTGCCCGCAGAGAGCACGCGCTGCGACCAGGAGCTTTTGGAGCTCGCCGGCGCGCGGAAGGACTGGGAAGAGGGGTCCGGGCTTCGGGTTTAGGAGTTTTGGGTTTAGGTTGAGGGTTTAGGGTTTAGGGTTTAGGGTTTAGGGTTTAGGGTTTAGGGTTTAGGGTTTTGAGGTTTTAGGGTTAGGGTTTGGGGGTTTAGGGTGGAAGGATGCGGGGCAAAGGGGAGAAGCTCTTAGGTTTTTTGGGGGGTCTGGGGCTTCAGGGGTAGTAGGGTTTGGAGTTTTAGGGCTTTCGGGGTTTTAGGGTTTTGGGGTCTTGGGGTCTTGGGTTTTGGGGTTTTGGGGCTTTGGGGTTTTGGTTTTGGGATTTTGAGGTTTTGGGATTTTGAGGTTTTGGGGTAGGCCCTCAGGGCTTCGAGTTTGGGGCGTTTGGGGGTTTTAGTGGTTTAGAGTTCTAGGGATGAGGGTTTAGGGTTTAGGGTTTAGGGTTTAGGGTTTAGGGTTTAGGGTTTAGGGTTTAGGGTTTAGGGTTTAGGGTTTAGGGTTTAGGGTTTAGGGTTTAGGGTTTAGGGTTTGGAGGGCTTCATGGAGTCAGGGAGTTTCGGCTTTTCTGCATGCAGTTGTGAGAGTTTTTGGCATGAGTTTGTGCGAGCTTCGGGTCTTCAGGGTTGAGGGTTGAGGGTTGAGGGTTGAGGGTTGAGGGTTGAGGGTTGAGGGTTTAGGGTTTAGGGTTTAGGGTTTAGGGTTTAGGGCTTGGAGCAACCCTAAGGCCTGGACGAAAGGGAGCCACACCCTGCTACCCACACAGCCCACATGCCCGCAGTGTGTGCTTGTTCAGAGTTTTAACATGGGTTTAGGGTTTAGGGTTAAGGGTTTAGGGTTTAGGGTTTTGGGTTTTGGGGTTTAGGCGTTTAGGGGTTTCGGGTTTCGGGTTTAGGGTTTAGGGTTTCGGGTTTAGGGTTCAGGGTTTACTGTAGGGTTTGGGGCTTGGGGTTTAGGGGTTTGGGGTTTAGGGTGTAGGGTTTAGGGTTTAGGAGTTTAGGGTTTAGGGTTTTGGGGTTTAGGGCCATAGCCCCGAGCCAGGCTGCAATGTCCACATTGTCCTTCGTCCACTCCGCAGTGGTTAGTGACTGCTTCAGTGCAGAGAGCCGCAACGCCTGCGGGTCGGGTTTAGGGTTTAGGGTTTGGGTTTAGGGTTTAGGGTTTGGGGTTGAGGGTTTCCAGTTTCGGGTCTAACCCTACGTACACCCCACACTCCGACTCCAAACCCGAATCGCCACACGTCACTACTGTGATACGCAGACAGTGCAAGCGCCGTCGACACATCATGTAGTCTCAGAGTTTATTGGGTGTATGTGTTCGGGCCCTTAGGGTTAGTGTAGGGTGATTGGGCCCCAAGCCTGAAACCCTAAACCCTCAACCCCAGACGTCTCGCTTAGACGCTTGCTGACGCGTGCCAGCCTCGCTGCTCATGCTCAGGAAGAGCGCACCTCCCGCTCATCAGGGTTTAGGGTTTAGGGTTTGGGGTTTAGGGTTTAGGGTAGTTTAGTGTGTAGGGTTTAGGGTTTAGGGTTCAGGGCTTTATCAGGGTCCACCCGATACCCTGGCATCTGCTAGCGGGCACACCTGAGATGGCGGGGGCTTCTCCTAGACTCCGAATCGGGTCGTAGGTGCCCTAAACCCTCAACCCTAAACCCTAAACCCTAAACCCTGGGGGCCCCAAAACCCTAGTCCCTCAACCCTTTCGAGCGCGAGACCCTAAACCCTAAACCCTAAACCCTAAACCCTAAACCCCACTGTAGGCCTGCCCGAGGCAGGGCTCCGGACGCGTCCAAGTCCTCCTTGGCATCTGCTTAAGTTTCACGGTTTCAGGAATAGGGTTTAGGGTTTAGGGTTTAGGGTTTAGGGTTTAGGGTTTAGGGTTTAGGGTTTAGGGTTTAGGGTTTAGGGTTTCGGGTTTCGGGTTTCGGGTTTCGGGTTTGCGGGTTTAGGGTTTAGTTTAGGGTTGAGGGTGTAGGGCTGTTTAAGCTTCAAGTTTCAGGAATTGAACCCCTAATATGGGTTGGGGAGCTAGGGTTTAGGGTCAGGGTTTCAGTTCCTCATATAAGGGCTGAGGCTGAGAGAGTTGGGGGTGTAGGCTCCTCCTGCTTGGGCTGCTCCTGCTCGGCGTTTTACCCTAACACCCGAAACCCTGAACCCTAAAAGCCCAAACTCCCCAAACCCTAAACCCTAAACCCTAAACCCTAAACCCCGAAACCCTAAACCCTAAACCCTAAGTACCCTAAACCCGAAACCCTAAACCCTAAGTACCCTAAACCCGAAACCCTAAACCCCAAAGCGCATCCCAAGGGTCGTCTGGCGGAGACAGCTCGAGGGCCCTGGCGTCCCCAGCAGCCGGCGCGGCCGCCGCGCGAAGCCGGGCCACTCGCACGCCGTCGCTCGTCTTCCTAGGTACCCTAAACCCTAGGGTTTAGCATTTAGGGTTTAGGGTTTAGGGTTTAGGGTTTAGGGCTTAGGGTTTAGGGTTTAGGGTTTAGGGTTTAGGGTTTAGGGTTTAGGGTTTAGGGTTTAGGGTTTAGGGTTTCGGAGCCCACTAAGGCAACACAAATATCCCAAGGACATACCTAGTCTGGTTTAGGTTTTAGGGTCTTAGGGGTCTAAGGGTTTAGGATTCTAGGAACTGAGGGTTCAGGAGTCTAGGCATTTGGGGCTTGAGCGTTTAAAGTTTTGGGACGTTCTGGGTGTTCGGGGAATCCGTTATGGCAAGGCGACAGGGGCGCGAGCATGTGAACCTGCCGTTAAAGCCAAACTGACATCATCCAGAGAGGATGATATTCTACGTTCTTGCGAGCATCTCCAGAAGGACACACATATGGAATGATGCACACTGGCCAATCTCTTCACAGAACCCTAAAACACTTGCCAAAAAGTCCATTGCATAAAACCTAGCCCATTTGGGGGGAGTGCTCCAAATTGATGAAAGCAATGGACTTGGCTGCACTTAAGAGGGTAACTAAAAATTAAAATTTTAGCTGCCTTTATTAAGAAACCCAATAAACCCAAAAAGGCTAAGGATCTAAAGTTATACAGTAAAGCACCACAAAGTGGAGTTTGGATCAACTCCCATGTCGACCTCGGGCACAGGAAGAGAGAAGCCCAAAATGCAGTGTTGCCTAGAATCCAGGAACCATCCTCCTCCCTGCGCAGGGGTCAGAAGACACACCCACAAACCCCCCTCCCCTCCAACTTCGTAGCCCAGTAGCCATCTTACAATAAGGGGCACCCTTTTTTGGGGTTGGCTACTTCCGTTTAGGGGACGCACAACCCAAAAACATGGGGGCAAAGAGAGTACCACTGGGCTACCAAGCCAAACTCGGGCGCCAATTTTCGGACCTCACCGCGCGTCTGGCAGGCAGCTCCGCATCTCCGCTTCGCGGGCCTTGAGCTGCGCCAGCTCCTCCCCTCCCTCGGCCTGCAGCTGCTTCCACCGCCGGTGCAGCTCCTGCACCACCTTGGGCCCCAGGAAGCCCTCCTCCAGCACCTCGGCCTTGTGCGCCTCTTGGAAGAGCTGCCAGGCCGACTTGGGCTTCGCCTTCGGCTCCTCGGGCGCCTCCTCGGCCAGCGCTGGCTTCGCCAGGGCTCCGAGGGGGCCGCTCAGCGCCGGCTCCTGCTGGAGCTGCGCCGGCGAGGCGCGCTCCAGGGGGTCCAGGAGCCTTGTGCCCAGCAACCCTATCATAAGGGGTTGGCTACTTAAGGGAACCTAGAACCCAACAAGGGCCTTTAGAAGGGAATCTAGAAGCAACAAACAGGGCAAAAAAGAGTGCCACAGGAGTACCACAGGAGTACCCAGGAGCAGCATGCGGCCGGCGACCACTTGGAGAACCTCGGACTCGCACAGGCCCCTCGCGTCTCCCAAGGGGTCGGCCGAGGAGCCCAGCCAGCGGAAGAACTCGCGGGGGCCACCGGAGGGAGTCCCCTGCTCGCCGTCGCCGTCCCCACAGCAAGCTTCCCACTTGGATTGGAAGGCAGGCCTTAGAAGCTTCATCTCCAGCACGGAGAGGCCGACTGACCAGACGTCCAGGCGCCGGGAGAGCCGCAGCGGGCCTTCCTCGGCGACGGCCCGGGCGATTTCAGGGGCGGCGTAGATCGCCGTGTAAAACTCGGCGTCCCGCATGTCCACGACCTCGGAGGGCGTTCGCAAGCCATCCATGTCAATGATCTTCCATCGGTCTCGCGGCCCGAACCACATGATGTTTGACGGCTTCATGTCCCCGTGGACGAAGCAGCGGCTGTGCAGAAAGGCCATCGCCGAGTTGACGTGCACCAACCTATACTGAACCTTGGACCCCTAGCAAAATTAATGTTTTATGCTGCTTCTTAGGAGTTATAGTACCGAAAAATTAAAATTAATGTCTTCTGCTGCTTCTTAGGAATTACAGTACCCAAAAAATAAAAGTATTTCCAAGTACCCCGAAGCAACACCCTGCCGATCTGCGCCTCGTTCTGCAGGCAGTGTGGCTTCTTTGCCCGCGCCGCATCGCCACAGGCAAGAATCAAGTCGTGCAGGGTGAAGTCTCCCAACTCCAGGACGCTCCAGCTGACACCCGCCTCAACTGCGGGGGGATTCCTATAAAAAAACTCAAACTTCTATGGGCCATTAAGTTAATATAGAGATTAGGACCCGTAGGAATTTAAGACTTATTCTAAATCCACCCCGCCTCAACAGCAAGGTCGGAGTGGGCCAGGAGCTGCACAAAGAGGTTCTGGGGAGAGAGCGACGCGCCCGGCGCGCAGCTGCTGTCATACTCCCTGGATCCCTCCACAACTGTTGCCGATCCTATACTGAACATGGGAACACTAGCAAAGATTAGTTTAGGGTTTGGGGTTTAGGGAATAGGGTTTAGGGTTTAGGGAATAGGGTTTAGGGTTTAGGGTTTAAGGTTTAGGGATGAGGGTTTCGCTGTTTCTTAAGAAGTATAAAGCACCCCCAAAAAAAAGGTTTCCAAGTATCCCTGAGGATCTACTGAGCGCCCTTCGGCTTTTTGGAGAAGCTTGGTCCACCTCCCCATCCGAGTAGAGGGCCTCGAAGAGGAAGACCTCCCTGCGGAATTTGGCGGAGCTGGCCGCCTTCAGAGACGTCACCTTTAAACCCTAAACCCTAAACCCTAAACCCCAAACCCTAAACCCTAAACCCTAAACCCCCCAGAGCTGGCCGCCTTCAGGGACTTCACGGCCACCACCTGGCCAGCGTGGACGTCGCGGCCTCTCCTGACCACGCTGAAGCTGCCGATGCCCAGGACGTCCGAGCCCTTCACCTCGTAACGCTCCAGCCTGGGTTGGCTTTTTAGGGGGGTCTAGGGTTTAGGGTTTAGGGTTTTAGGGTTTCGGGTTTAGGGTTTAGGGTTTAGGGTTTAGGGTTTCGGGTTTAGGGTTTAGGGTTTAGGGTTTAGGGTTTAGGGTTTAGCGTGTAGGGTTTTGCGTGTAGGGTTTTGCAGTTTCGGGCTTAGGGTTTAGGGGAAAACCACCCTAAATGGGATTCTCCTCAACAAGGAGCAAATATTGAAAACATATCTTCAAGGCCTTAAAGGGCTTAGGAAAAACAGTCAAAAGACATCCCAAGAAGGGGAAAAACCCTGAGTTCCTAAACCCTAACCCCAAAACCCAAAACCCAAAACCCTAAACCCTAAACCCTAGACCCTAAACCCTAAACCCTAAATTTAAAAAAAATCTTCAAGGGCCCGCCCAGGAACACCACTTGGCTCCAGGCCCAGCTTTCGGAGTCCTCCTGGGTCTCGGGAGAAGCCTCCGAGCCCTGGGCAGGGTTTGGGGTTTAGGGTTTAGGGTTTCGGGTTTAGGGTTTAGGGTTTAGGGTTTCGGGTTTAGGGTTTAGGGTTTAGGGTTTAAGGTTTCGGGTTTAGCTGCCTGGGGCGTTCCCGGCTGGACCGCGGCTGGCACCCTGGAGCATCCGCCCCCCATGACAGGCGACGCAGTAGGACAGATGATTGGTTTGGGGCTTAGGGTTTAGGATTTAGGGTTTAGGATTTAGGATTTAGGGTTTAGGGTTTAGGGTTTAGGGTTTAGGGTTTAGGGTTTAGGGTTTCGGGCAAGACGACATTTTAGGAAGGCTGCAAGTCATGCGCGGCCCCAAACTGCTCCGGACGCAGACCCATGGGAAGGGAGCCGTCAAAGCTGCAGACAGCGCACGCGGTGACTCTGACAACCTCGACGTTCTGATTGCCAGTGTTCATCTGGCAAAACACCCCCAAAACCTAAATCAAAGTATGGAAGCCCAATAACCCTAAACCCTAAACCCTGACCCTAAACCGAGCTCAGAATGAGAAGCCTCACGGTCTCTGACCTTTAGCAGTCTAAGAGCCTGGGCTTTGGGGCTTAGAGCTGAGGGTTTGGGGTTAGGGTTAAGGGACTAAGGGTTCAAAGTCTAGCGGTTTTAGGGTTTGGGGTTTACAAACCCTAAACCCTAAACTATAGGGTGTTTCGACGGCCGAGCTGCATGTAGCTGATCTGAGGCCACAGGTCGTTGGAAATCTGGAGCTTCCTTTCGGGCCACGGGCTGACGAACCGAAGCCCTGAACCCTAAACCCAGAAGCCTTCACCGGGTCGCAAGACCCTAAACCCTAAACCCTAAACCTTCAACCCTAACCCCTAACCGCTAAAACCACATTGAAGTCGACAGGTGGTCAGCCACCTCCACAGTGTTCTTTCAAGCTCGCAACGTCCGCCGTCTTGCAAGACTCCCCCACCCCCAAAAGGGTTCAGGGTTTAGGGTTTAGGGTTTAGGGCTTAGGGCTTAGGGCTTAGGGCTTAGGGCTTAAGGCTTAGGGCTTAGGGCTTAGGGCTTAGGGCTTAGGGCTTAGGGCTTAGGGCTTAGGGCTTAGGGCTTAGGGCTTAGGGCTTAGGGCTTAGGGCTTAGGGCCCTGCATCCCTCAATCCTGACACTGCTGCCTAAACCCCTAAACCCTAAACCCTAAACCCTAAACCCTAAACCCTAAACCCTAAACCCTAAACCTTAACCTCAGCCCGCAAACGACAGTCCTTTTGGACGACCGCAGGCTGAGTTGCAGTGGCTGGTCTTTCGGGCGCAGGATGTGGATCTCTGGTGGCAGCCTTCCAGAGGTATGGGATGAGAGTCTAAACCCTAAACTTGGGATGTTGCCCCTTATAACAGAATGGGGACTATAATAAGGGGTACGATAATCCCTATTAAGGACTGTTAGTATAAGGGGGAACATCCATACCCTAAACTTCGTGGTACTTGGGAACTGATTATAACTGTACTTACAACCCACTCATAAGCCCCCTAAGTGCCCTCATATGGTTATCAGAACAGTTATAAAGTACAGTTATAATTAGTTACTAAGTACCACAAGCCCTAAGCACCCCAAACACCCTAAACCCTAAACACCCCAAATTCCCCCCCTAAACACCCCAAACACCCCAAACACCCTCAACACCCTAAACCCCTTAGGAAAAACTCTCCGTGCATCCAGGGAGACCGGCTCAGCTCCTGCACGTCGCTCTTTTGGAAGTGGGCCTGAAGATGTGCCTCGGGCCAAGACCCCTTAATTAAGGAGTAGACCCTCAAATCATCGTAGGATCCCTAAAGCCCTAAGCCCTAAACCACCAAGGTAAAAGTGGCCTGACTTAAGGTATATTCCTTACCCTTAAACCCTAAACCCTAAACCCTAAACCCTAAACCCCAAGGGAACCGTGGGGGCCTCCTTAACTTAAGGGGCATGAGGCTCTCTGGGAACTTTCAGGAGCCTCAGCCTTTTCGGAGCTCCGGGGCAGGGGCTCCAGGCTCCGGAGTGGTTTCAGAAGTCCTCAAGAACCGGACATGCCAAGGGCTTCCGGGGTTTAGGGTTTAGGGCTAGGGTTTAGGGTTTAGGGTTTAGGGTTGAGAGTTTAGGGTTTAGGGTTTAGTGTTTAGGGTTTAGGGTTTAGGGTTTAGGGTTTAGGGTTTAGGGTTTAGGGTTTAGGGTTTAGGGTTTAGGGTTTAGGGTTTAGGGGCGTTTAATACTAGCAGTCCATAATCTGGATTCTTGTACCCCCCTATTATAGTCACTATGAAGAACTGTTTTTGCACGAGGAAACATCCCAAGGGGTTTTGGGGCTAGGGGACTAACCTTAGTCCGGCTTTCCGCTAAATAGTCTTAATTATGGGGGAATGTAGGGGGGCTAAGCCCTAAACCCTAAACCCTCAACCCTAAACCCCTTGGCGGTGGCCCAAGGCTCGCCGGTGCTGGTGTCCGCAGTATCGCCGGAGCTGCCAGCACGCGCAGGGAGCACCACCACATGCCTCGCAGGCAGCTATACCCTAAACCCGAAACCTTAAATCCCAAACCCTAAACACACCCTAAACCCTACACCCTAAACCCCAAACCCTAAACCCCAACCCCAAACCCTAAACCCTAAACCCTAACCCAAGCCTCGGGGTCAAAACAAACCTGAGAATTCAACCCCAGGGTTGGGTTTAAAGAAGCTGTGTCCTCAACCCCGCAGCCCTAAGTAGGACTGTGTGTGGGGGTTAGGGTTTAGGGTTTAGGGTGCCCCACAACAACGTGAGGTGGGAGGGGGGGGGGGGTCCTTGCAAAGTATAAGGGGGTGCCCCGATCTGGGAAGTACCCAAAGGGCCACACCAATATGTGTGAATGACATGCATCCTTGCACGCTTCCTAAACGCTAAATCCGCACCCCTAGACCCTAAACCCCAAGCGCCCAAATCCGCTGAGAGCTATATACATATATACATGTATGCCATATAGAGTATTGCCAATATAAAAATATAGAGTGTAGAACATCTTCGACAGAACGCATTCTATCTAATGCACTTGGAGATTCATGGCACTCATTATCCAACTATAACTGTACTTATACCTGTACTTAAAACCATATTAGGGCATTTAAGGGGCTTCTAAGTGGTTAGAAGTACAGTTGTGATTGGTTAAGAAGTCGCCCTAAACCCTAAACCCTAAACCAGATAAACCCTAAACCCTAAACCCTAAACCCTAAACCCTATAAACCCTAAACCCTAAACCCCACCTGGGAGAGACCAGCTGTAGGAGGTTCGTCAGGTCGCGAGCCTGAAGAGGACTTTGGAGTCTAGGGCTCCAGTCTTTCCCAGAGGGTTAGGGTTTAGGGTTTCGGGTTTCGGGTTTAGGGTTTAAGGTTTAGGGTTTAGGGTTTAGGGTGTAGGGTTTAGGGTTTAAGGGTTGGGGCTTAGGCTTTGGGGTTGAGGGTTCTCCGAATACCCCCCCCCCCCCCATCAAAGGGTACACGCAGGCCCTTCTGAAGAGGGCACTTGAGGGGCGTCCGGGCTAGATACTGATGGGCTTTCGTAAGGGTCCCCGCTGGGCTGGGAGGACCTGCAAGGCTAGGGAGCATGAAGGCACGCAAAACGAGAACCCTGACAAAACAACGGCCCAAAGGAAGCCCATGAACCTCAAACCACGGGTTTCGGGTTTAGGGTTTAGGGTTTAGGGCTTAGGGCTTAGGGCTTAGGGTTTAGGGTTTAGGGTTTAGGGTTTAGGGTTTAGGGTTTAGGGTTTAGGGTTTAGGGACGCAGAAGTCTCTGACGCTCAGGGTTCTTTCAGGGCTCAGACAGCAAAAGACGCAAGTACCCTAAACCCGAAACCCTAAACCCTAAACCCTAAACCCGAAACCCCAAACCCTAAACTGAACACCCCCCCCCCGGCTTCCGGTCCTCCAGGGAGCTGTCGGGCAGATAGCGCACTTTACAGTTCACTTTCAGAAGCCTTGGAAATTCAGACATTTTGGGAGGATCCAAAAAAAGTAGATCGCCCTTGAGGGCTCAGGGTTTAGGGTTTAGGGTTCAGGGTTTAGGGTTTGGGGTTTAGGGCTCAGGGTTTAGGGTTTAGGGTTCAGGGGTTAGGGCTTCGGTCTTAAAATGACTCACTAGTAGCATGGGGTCCTAGTTTGGGGGGGTTCTGCTTTTTGGATCCGGGGTCCGGGAAAGTGCTCTGAGCGCCTTTTCTGGGCCGGCTCTTGGGATGGGAGCTGCCGGGAGGTTTCAGGTTTGAGGTTTTTCGGTTTGAGGGTTTAAGGTTCAGGGTGTATTTCGGTTTTACTTACGGGCTTAGGTGGGGCTTGCATGGGTTGAGTCGGGTCTGGCATGCTAAAGCGCAGAGTTTTGGTTTGCTAGTTGAGAGCTTCCACGGGCATACTTGAGGGCATCCAATCCCCCGAACCTAAATCTTCAACGCAGCCCTTCGGAGATTGGGGTTTAGGCGTACCTAGACCCCCAAGTACTCTTTTCGGATGCCCGCATTAAGGTGCACCTTATGGGCCCTTGCTTATTCATGGAACCTAAACCCTAAACCCTAAACCCTAAACCCTAAACCCTAAAATCTAAGCTTGAGGGGAGTCCAGGCAGGGCTCAAGGTTCAGGGGCTTGATTTGTAGGCTGGGGAGAGGGCGGCTTGGGTTTAGGGTTTAGGGTTTGGGGCTTAAGGGTTTAGGGTTTAGGGTTTAGGGTTTAGGGTTTAGGGTCTAGGGTCTAGGGTCTAGGGTCCAGGGTTTAGGGCTTGGGGTTTAGGGTTTAGGGCGTCGGGTTTAGGGTTTAGGGTTTAGGGCTTAGGGTTTGGAGGCACTTGGGATCCAGGCCCAGAACCACCCCGGTCAACCGACAACCCCCAAAACCATACCTTCATGGGCGAGGCCCAGTAAAGGGTTTAGGGTTTGGGGTTTGGGGTTTAGGGTTTAGGGTTTTGGGTTTAGGGTTTAGAGCTAGGAATGAAAAGGGCGCACTTGCTTGTTTTGAAGAAGCTTAGAAGCCTTAAAAAAGAAGCAACGGCCTACTCTGGGTCCTAGTTGGGCTTATCCCAAAGAGCCCCATACCCCTTAACTATGGAATATACCTTGAATCATATTCGGATCCCTCCTATGATTTAAGGTGTATTCCTTAATTAAGTTGGGCTCCCAGGGTTCCTTGCATTGGCTTGAGGGTTTAGGGCTCCCTCGACCCTAAACCCCAAACCCTAAACCCCTAAATCCTAAACCCCAAAACCCGAAACCCCAAGCCCCAAAAGCCCTCAACCCTTGAATCCCAAACCTAAACCCCAAACCCTAAACCCGAAACCCGAACCCTAAACCCTCACCCTCACAAGGCCTCAACCCCAAACCCCCCCCCAAGCCCTAAACCTTTAATCCCCAAACCCTAAGCCCTAAACCCCAAGCCCTCAGCCCTAAACCTTCAAACTCCAAACCCGAAACCCTAAACCCGAAACCCTCAACCCGAAACCCTAAACCCGAAACCCTAAACCCTAAACCCGAAACCCTGAACCCCAAACCTCGGGAAGGGGCCGGTCCCTCACATCGCAGCGCATGGGCTCCCGGAAATGGGCCCGGAGGCTCCTTAGGGTTTAGGGTTTAAGGTTTACGGTTTTGGGTCTAGGGTTTAGGGTTTAAGGTTTAAGGTTTTGGGTCTAGGGTTTAGGGTTTAGGGGTTTGGGTTTAGGGTTTATGGTTTAGGTTTAGGGTTTAGGGTTTAGGGTTTAGGGTTTAGGGTTTAGGGTTTAGGGGTTAGGGCTTAGGGCTTAGGGCTTAGGGCTTAGGGCTTAGGGCTTAGGGCTTAGGGCTTAGGGCTTAGGGCTTAGGGCTTAGGGTTTAGGGTTTAGGGTTTAGGGTGTAGCAGTGGTCAGCTGAACGCAATAGTATGAAGACATGCCCACCCCGAGGCCACCCAAACACTACTCATCACGGAGTTTAGGTTTTAGGCTTTGGGGCTTCGAGTGTAAGGGTTGAGGGTCTACGGTTTAGGCTAACACCGGCCTCGAGGGCCCCCAATACATCGAATACACCCTCAAACCCTCAAACGACCCCTAAGAACCCCCAAAAGTTCCACCGAAGAAACCCTACCTACAGAGTTTGTGGCTTTCGGGTTTAGGGTTCTTTTAAGGTTTAGGGTTTAGGGTTTAGGGTTTAGGGTTTAGGGTTTAGGGTTTAGGGTTTAGGGTTCAGCATCTCAAGTCCAAGCATTTCACTAGTAGAGCTCCTTACTCCGGTGTCGAATATCGACCCACCCACCCATTGGATCCCATAACATGATAAATATTTTTACTTTATGTTTTAACCCTAAAATTTTGGGTTCAGTAGGCTGGGCCCTAAACCCTACAGCCAGCCCAGAGTAGGCCCTAAACCCTAAAGCCAGCCTCGGGTAGGCCCTAAACCCTAAAGCCAGCCCAGAGTAGGCCCTAAACCCTAAAGCCAGCCCAGAGTGGGGCCTAAATCCTAAAGCCAGCCCAGAGTAGGCCTTAAACCCGAAAACCAGCCCTGATGGCCATGCCTGGCCCCACCCCACCCCACCCTTGACCATCGGTGCTTGTCCGGGAAGTTTTGGTGCTTGTCCGGGAATTTTTGGTGCCTTGTCCAAGAGTTTTTGGTGCCTGTCCGGAAATTTGTGGGTCCTGTCCGGGGGTTTTTGGTGCTTGTCCGGGAATTTTTGGTGCTTGTCCGGAAATTTTTGGTGCCTGTCCGGGAATTTTTGGTGCTTGTCCGGGAATTTTTGGTGCTTGTCCGGGAATTTTTGGTGCTTTGTCCGGGAATTGTTGGTGCTTTGTCCGGGAATTTTTGGTGCTTGTCCGGGAATTTTTGGTGCTTGTCCGGAAATTTTTGGTGCCTGTCCGGGAATTTTTGGTGCTTGTCCGGGAATTTTTGGTGCTTGTCCGGGAATTTTTGGTGCTTTGTCCGGGAATTGTTGGTGCTTTGTCCGGGAATTGTTGGTGCTTGTCCGGGAAATTTTGGTGGAAAACCGTGAATCCATTAGCTTTTAAATATACATAGGTTAGAGAGTGTTTAGGGTTTAGGGTTTAGGGTGCCCTCAACCGCACCCCGCATGAAAACAATAACCGGAGGCCCTGACTACTAGACTCGAAGCATGGAGAGCAGCTTGCAGGTGGGAGTGCTTGGGCTTAAAGCCACTAAGGCCGGTAGCCCTAAATCCTAAACCCTAAACCCTAAACCCTAAACCCTAAACCCTAAACCCTAAACCCTAAACCCTTTGCTAATCTGCTACTCTGCTACAGAGGTGCTCACGCCACTCTGAGCTCTCGCCCTCGGCCAGCTCTGCTTCCAGCTTCACCGCTTCCTCAAGGGATTAAGACGCGTTTGGGGTTTAGGGTTTGCTGGGGTTTAGGGTTTAGGGTTTAGGGTTTAGGGTCTAGGGTCTAGGGTCTAGGGTCTAGGGTCTAGGGTCTAGGGTTAGGGTTTAGGGTTTAGGGATTAGGGTTTAGGGTTTAGGGTTTAGGGTTCATTCGGGTTTAGGGTTCTACATTTGTTAATCTGGAGTCGCTAGCATCCTCCAGAGGGTTTAGGGTTTAGGGTTTTAGGGTTTAGGGTTTAGGGTTTAGGGTTTAGGGTTTAGGGTTTAGGGTTTAGGGTTTAGGGTTTAGGGTTTAGGGTTTAGGGTTTAGGGTTTAGGGTTTAGGGTTTAGGGTTTAGGGTTTTGGCCTCAGGCCTGAACCCTAAACCCAAGGAAAGCACCTTAGGAGCATCATGAGCATCATCGGGGCTCCTTTCCTGCCCTCCAAACCCTGGTGCTCCAGACGCTTGCTGCACCAACTCCCCCAAGTGGTTGGGCGCATTTGACGAGGCGGGAGGCGAGCATCATGAGCATCATCGGGGCTCCTTTCCTGCCCTCCAAACCCTAGTGCTCCAGACGCTTGCTGCACCAACTCCCCCAAGTGGTTGGGCGCATTTGACGAGGCGGGAGGCGAGCATCATGAGCATCATCGGGGCTCCTTTCCTGCCCTCCAAACCCTGGTGCTCCAGACGCTTGCTGCACCAACTCCCCCAAGTGGTTGGGCGCATTTGACGAGGCGGGAGGCGAGCATCATGAGCATCATCGGGGCTCCTTTCCTGCCCTCCAAACCCTAGTGCTCCAGACGCTTGCTGCACCAACTCCCCCAAGTGGTTGGGCGCATTTGACGAGGCGGGAGGCGAGCATCATGAGCATCATCGGGGCTCCTTTCCTGCCCTCCAAACCCTGGTGCTCCAGACGCTTGCTGCACCAACTCCCCCAAGTGGTTGGGCGCATTTGACGAGGCGGGAGGCGAGCATCATGAGCATCATCGGGGCTCCTTTCCTGCCCTCCAAACCCTAGTGCTCCAGACGCTTGCTGCACCAACTCCCCCAAGTGGTTGGGCGCATTTGACGAGGCGGGAGGCGAGCATCATGAGCATCATCGGGGCTCCTTTCCTGCCCTCCAAACCCTAGTGCTCCAGACGCTTGCTGCACCAACTCCCCCAAGTGGTTGGGCGCATTTGACGAGGCGGGAGGCGAGCATCATGAGCATCATCGGGGCTCCTTTCCTGCCCTCCAAACCCTAGTGCTCCAGACGCTTGCTGCACCAACTCCCCCAAGTTTGGGCGCGAGGCGGGAGGCGAGCATCATGAGCATCATCGGGGCTCCTTTCCTGCCCTCCAAACCCTAGTGCTCCAACGCTTGCTGCACCAACTCCCCCAGTGGTTGGGCGCATTTGACGAGACGGGAGGCGAGCATCATGAGCATCATCGGGGCTCCTTTCCTGCCCTCCAAACCCTAGTGCTCCAGACGCTTGCTGCACCAACTCCCCCAAGTGGTTGGGCGCATTTGACGAGGCGGGAGGCGAGCATCATGAGCATCATCGGGGCTCCTTTCCTGCCCTCCAAACCCTGGTGCTCCAGACACTTGCTGCACCAACTCCCCCAAGTGGTTGGGCGCATTTGACGAGGCGCGAGGCAAGCATCATGAGCATCATCGGGGCTCCTTTCCTGCCCTCCAAACCCTAGTGCTCCAGACGCTTGCTGCACCAACTCCCCCAAGTGGTTGGGCGCATTTGACGAGGCGGGAGGCGAGCATCATGAGCATCATCGGGGCTCCTTTCCTGCCCTCCAATCCCTAGTGCTCCAGACGCTTGCTGCACCAACTCCCCCAAGTGTTTGGGCGCATTTGACGAGGCGGGAGGCGAGCATCATGAGCATCATCGGGGCTCCTTTCCTGCCCTCCAAACCCTAGTGCTCCAGACGCTTGCTGCACCAACTCCCCCAAGTGGTTGGGCGCATTTGACGAGGCGGGAGGCGGGCATCATGAGCATCATCGGGGCTCCTTTCCTGCCCTCCAAACCCTAGTGCTCCAGACGCTTGCTGCACCAACTCCCCCAAGTGGTTGGGCGCATGTGACAAGGCGGGAGGCGAGCATCATGAGCATCATCGGGGCTCCTTTCCTGCCCTCCAAACCCTAGTGCTCCAGACGCGGGAGGCGAGCATCATGAGCATCATCGGGGCTCCTTTCCTGCCATCCAAACCCTAATGCTCCAGACGCTTGCTGCACCAACTCCCCCAAGTGGTTGGGCGCATTTGACGAGGCGGGAGGCGAGCATCATGAGCATCATCGGGGCTCCTTTCCTGCCCTCCAAACCCTAATGCTCCAGACCCTTGCTGCACCAACTCCCCCAAGTGGTTGGGCGCATTTGACGAGGCGGGAGGCGAGCATCATGAGCATCATCGGGGCTCCTTTCCTGCCCTCCAAACCCTAGAGCTCCAGACGCTTGCTGCACCAACTCCCCCAAGTGGTTGGGCGCATTTGACGAGGCGGGAGGCGAGCATCATGAGCCTCATCGGGGCTCCTTTCCTGCCCTCCAAACCCTAATACTCCAGACGCTTGCTGCACCAACTCCCCCAAGCGCTTTACTTTCGGCAGCTTGCAGTGAGTTTGTGGACGTGATTTTATTGCAATTTATTCAATTTTGTGAATGATTAAACTGAATTAAAATTGATCTTGACCCCGTATGAAATTGGTAAAATTGAAGAATATTTGTCAGTTTCGGTTGGGCGCATTTGACGAGGTGGAGGCGAGCATCATGAGCATCATCGGGGCTCCTTTCCTGCCCTCCAAACCCCAATGCTCCAGACGCTTGCTGCACCAACTCCCCCAAGTGGTTGGGCGCATTTGACGAGGCGGGAGGCGAGCATCATGAGCATCATCGGGGCTCCTTTCCTGCACTCCAAACCCTAGTGCTCCAGACGCTTGCTGCACCAACTCCCCCAAGTGGTTGGGCGCATTTGACGAGGCGGAGGCGAGCATCATGAGCATCATCGGGGCTCCTTTCCTGCCATCCAAACCCTAATGCTCCAGACGCTTGCTGCACCAACTCCCGCAAGTGGTTGCAGGCGGAGGCGAGCATCATGAGCATCATCGGGGTTCCTTTCCTGCCCTCCAAACCCTAATGCTCCAGACGCTTGCTGCACCAACTCCCCCAAGTGGTTGGGCGCATTTGACGAGGCGAGAGGCGAGCATCATGAGCATCATCGGGGCTCCTTTCCTGCCCTCCAAAACCTGATGCTCCAGACGCTTGCTGCACCAACTCCCCCAAGTGGTTGGGCGCATGTGACGAGGCGGGAGGCGAGCATCATGAGCATTGGCATTTGACGAGGTGGGAGGCGAGCATCATGAGCATCATGGGGGCCCCTTTCCTGCCTCCAAACCCTAATGCTCCAGATGCTTGCAAGTGGTTGGGCGCATTTGACGAGGCGAGAGGCGAGCATCATGAGCATCATCGGGGCTCCTTTCCTGCACTCCAAACCCTAATGCTCGAGACGATTGCTGCACCAACTCCCCCAAGTGGTTGGTCGCATTTGACGAGGCGGGAGGCGAGCATCATGAGCATCATCGGGGCTCCTTTCCTGCCATCCAAACCCTAATGCTCCAGACGCTTGCTGCACCAACTCCCCCAAGCGCTTTACTTTCGGCAGCTTGTAGTGAGTTTGTGGACGTGATTTTATTGCAATTTATTCAATTTTGTGAATGATTAAATTAAATTAAAATTGATATTGACCCCGTATGAAATTGGCAAAATTGAAGAATATTTGTCAGTTTCGGTTGGGCGCATTTGACGAGGTGGAGGCGAGCATCATGAGCATCATCGGGGCTCCTTTCCTGCCCTCCAAACCCCAATGCTCCAGACGCTTGCTGCACCAACTCCCCCAAGCGGTTGGGCGCATTTGACGAGGCGGGAGGCGAGCATCATGAGCATCATCGGGGCTCCTTTCCTGCACTCCAAACCCTAGTGCTCCAGACGCTTGCTGCACCAACTCCCCCAAGTGGTTGGGCGCATTTGACGAGGCGGAGGCGAGCATCATGAGCATCATCGGGGCTCCTTTCCTGCACTCCAAACCCTAATGCTCGAGACGATTGCTGCACCAACTCCCCCAAGTGGTTGGTCGCATTTGACGAGGCGGGAGGCGAGCATCATGAGCCTCATCGGGGCTCCTTTCCTGCCCTCCAAACCCTAATGCTCCAGACGCTTGCTGCACCAACTCCCCCAAGTGGTTGGGCGCATTTGACGAGGCGGGAGGCGAGCATCATGAGCATCATCGGGGCTCCTTTCCTGCCCTCCAAACCCTAATGCTCCAGACGCTTGCTGCACCAGCTCCCGCAAGTGGTTGGGCGCATTTGACGAGGCGGGAGGCGAGCATCATGAGCATCATCGGGGCTCCTTTCCTGCCCTCCAAACCCTAGTGCTCCAGACGCTTGCTGCTCCAACTCCCCCAAGTGGTTGGGCGCATTTGCCGAGGCGGGAGGCGAGCATCATGAGCATCATCGGGGCTCCTTTCCTGCCCTCCAAACCCTGATGCTCCAGACGCTTGCTGCACCAACTCCCCCAAGTGGTTGGGCGCATTTGACGAGGCGGGCGGCGAGCATCATGAGCATCATCGGGGCTCCTTTCCTGCCCTCCAAACCCTAATGCTCCAGATGCTTGCTGCACCAACTCCCGCAAGTGGTTGGGCGCATTTGACGAGGCGGGAGGGGAGCATCATGAGCATCATCGGGGCTCCTTTCCTGCCCTCCAAACCCCAATGCTCCAGACGCTTGCTGCACCAGCTCCCGTAAGTGGTTGGGCGCATTTGACGAGGCGGGAGGCGAGCATCATGAGCATCATCGGGGCTCCTTTCCTGCACTCCAAACCCTAGTGCTCCAGACGCTTGCTGCACCAACTCCCCCAAGTGGTTGGGCGCATTTGACGAGGCGGAGGCGAGCATCATGAGCATCATCGGGGCTCCTTTCCTGCACTCCAAACCCTAATGCTCGAGACGATTGCTGCACCAACTCCCCCAAGTGGTTGGTCGCATTTGACGAGGCGAACACCCTAAAACCCCAAAACCCTAAAATTCTAAAGCCCTCGAACCCTATGAAGCCCTAAAGCCCTTTAACCCTCAACCCCCTAAAGCCCTCAAAACCCTCACATCCCAAACCCTAAACCCTAAACCCTAAACACTAAACCCTACACTCGCTGCTTCTCCTGGAGCCTACGAGCTACTCCCTAATATAAGGGTCGGAATGAACCAACAGTATTCCCTTATGGTCCCTTTATGAATATACTATAAGAACCCCCAAAACCCTTTTCTAATTCTTCAGGCCCCTATAGTAGCCCTAAACCCTAAACCCTAAACCCTAGGCCCTAAACCCTAAACCCTAAACCCTATTACTTTCGGCCTCCTTGACGCTGGGCAAGGCCGAGGCGGTCTCCGGGCCGCTGGCAGTGTACTTGGTGCCCTCCTGGTCCTGGCTTTTGGGGCTTTTTAGGGTTTAGGGTTTAGGGGTTTAGGGGTTTAGGGGTTTAGGGTTTAGGGTTTAGGGTTTAGGGTTTAGGGTTTAGGGTTTAGGGTTTAGGGTTTAGGGTTTAGGGTTTAGGGTTTAGGGTTTAGGGGTTCTGGGGTTCTGGGGTTCTGGGGTTCTGGGGGTTAGGGTTTGGGGCTTTGGGGCTCTAGGGGTTAGGAGCTGAGGAGCTTCGGGGGGTTTGGGCGGGGTTAGTGTGGGTTTAGGGAGGGGTGGAAGGGAGCTTCCTGCATTGGGAGGTTTTGGGGTTCGGTCTTGCAGGTTTGCAGGGTCTTAGGGAGCTCAGGGGTTATGAGGCGTTCGGGGGGTTCAGGGGTTCTGGCGCGAGGCTTCGGGTCTTTCCCCAACACTCCCTGGCTTCCTTACAACCCGCAGGTACCCCTGAGCATCAAAACTCGCAAAGATGCTCAGCGCCAACAGCAACAACAACAACAACAACAACAACAACAACAACAACAACAACAACAACAACAACAACAACAACAACAACAACAACAAACCCTCGACTTGGGATGCTCCCCCTTATACTAGCAGTCCTTCATGGGGATGTTTTCTTCGTACCCCCTATTTATATTCCTGTTCCAAGGACTGTTAGTGTAAGGGGGAGCATCCCAACCCTCGGCATGTTCAAACCCTGAGTCCAACAAATCAACCCCCAAAACCCTGAGCCCGGACGCCCTCAACTTACTATATATATATATATATATATTTATGTATTTATTTACTTATTTGTTTATTTATATTTATAAACCCTAATGCTTTAGTGGGCATAGGCACAAACCTTAGTGGGCAAGGCACAAACCTTCGTGGGCAATGGCAGGGCACAAACCTTCATGGGCAACGCACAACCTTAGTGGGCAAGGCACAAACCTTAGTGGGCAAGGCACGCCCGTTTGTGCCTTGCCCACAAGGTTTGTGCCTTGCCCACAAGGTTTGTGCCTTGCCCACCAAGGTTTGTGCCTTGCCCAGGAAGGTTTGTGTCTTGCCCAGGGCCATAAACCCTAAACCTCTAAACCCTAAACGCCTAAACCACTAAACCCCTAAGCATCAGCTTTCCTTGGCTCAACCTCCAGACCTCCAGTCTTCTTGCTGGCTCTTAGTAGCGATGTGGGCATGAGGTACCCTCTATCCCCCTATACATACCCTTTAAGGAAGTACGTAGGGGTACCCAAATTCCCTCTCACATACCTTTAAGGGATTATGTAGAGGCACCCTGTATCCCCTTAAATATGGTGGTTTCCGAAATTATGGGTACCTTATTGGGGTCCTTACTATAAGGAAGGCCTGTGTGAATGTACATTGGGGAGCCCCTATTTTCGCAAACTCCCTGTATATGTATATATATATATATATATATATATGTATACCCTTTACACTTTACAGTAAACTCCAGAAAGTTGGAAAGTCCTTATCCCCATACCCGAAAAGGTACACTAAAGGGAATCCCAGCTCTAATCATCCTTAAACCATGTTCCAACTCTCTGGAGTCTACTGTAAACTCCAAACCCTAAACCCTAAACCCTACACCCCAAACCCTAAACCCTAAACCCTAAACCCTAAACCCTAAACCCTAAACCCTATACCGTTAAGTAGGGGTACAGTACCGAATTCCCCCAGTCCCTACGAAGAACCAGGAAGGATGGCCTGGGCCCGCCAGAGACGCAACTCCGATGCGCTCAGGAGCTGACCATACCTGGGCTTCTTAAGGCGTTTAGGGGTTTGGGGTTTGGGGATGTAGGGTTTCGGGGTTTGGTGGGGTTTGGGGTTCAGGGGCTTGGGGTTTAGGGGCTTGGGATGTAGGGGTTTGGGGTTTCGGGTTTAGGGGTTTTGGGTTTGGGGTCTAAGGTTTGGTGTTGAAGGTTTAGGGTTTGGGGTTTAAGGTTTCGTGTTGAAGGTTTCGGGTCTGGAGCATGTTGCGACAGAACGATAAGGCCCTGAAAGGCTCAAAGTTTAGGCTTTAGGGCTAGCTTGGAGGTTCATGGTACTTCTTAACAAATTATAACTGTACATAACCCACTTAGAAGCCCCTGAAGTGCCCCAATATGGTTATAAGTCCTGTTCTCCTGGAGCTTGAGGTATGCTTTCAAGATTTGCCAACTGAAGTTGGTGATGCAACGGCAAAAAGACTCGTAAATGTAAACCCTAAACCCTAAACCCTAAACCCTAAACCCTACACCCTACACCCTAAACCCCAAACCCTAAACCCTAAACCCTGAACCCTAAGTTTTGGCACAGCCACAGCCGAAGGCGAGCATCATGAGCATCAGCGGCCTGTCTTTCTCAGACATCCCGAGCCATAGGCGAGCATCATGAGCATCAGCGGCCTGACCCTTTCCAGACATCCCAAACCACAGGATGCTCACACATCCCAAGCCACAGGCGAGCATCACGAGCATCAGCTGCTGGTCTTTCACGCGTCCCGAAGAAGCAGGCGAGCATCACGGGCATCGACGGCCTGCTTCCTTCACACATCCCGACTCACAGGCGAGAAAACAGCTGGTCATGTGACACGTCCCGACGATCCTGAGCGACTGTTGTTCTTGAAGTTATTTCCGGGGCTGTAAAGGGGGATAAGATGGGTGCCGCGGCGGAAACCCCAAACCGAAACCCCACCGTTGTAGGCCGAGCGGCGAGTCACTCTCCGCCCGTGGCTCCGCAAAGGCCACCGTCCTTTCAGCAACAGGGCCTTGAGGTTTAGGGGGGCTTATATAGGGGGGGTTTAGGGGTGTAGGGTTTTGGGGTTTAGGGTTTAGGGGGGCTTAGCCTAGAATGCTCACCCCGAAACCTAATCCCTGAACCTCCAAACCCCAAGACACCAAAACCCCAGCCCTCAACCCCAAACCCTAAGTTCCCCCAACCACACACCCCCACACCCCCACACACCCGCACACCCACACACCCACACAACCAGCCACCCACCCACCCACCCACCCACACACACACACACACACACACACACACACACACACACACACACACACAAGAAAAACAAATAAAAGGAACTAACCCTAAGCCCCTTTAAACCACACGCAAACACACACAAACAAACAAAAAATGGAAATAGAAAGAACAGAAAACTAACCGCTAGACCCCTGTAACCCTAAACCCTAAACCCTAAACCCTCAAGACGAAGTAAATAGAAATTGTGGTATCATTCTGAATTTTCGCAGGTTATTTGTCTAAACAGCTGACAAGCAGAGTTTAAGTACAGCTTGGGAGGCTAAATGCTCAGTTCCCTTAAATTTGGAGACATCCCACCCCAAGAGTCCCAGGAAGGCCAGCCAGGGCCGGGAGGACCCAAGAAAATGTAAATTAGGCTGTAAAACAGAAACGTTCGCTCAACACTGTCGCTCAAACCTTCGCTCAAAACGTTTCGCTCAAAACGTTTCGCTCAAAACTTTCGCTCAAAACTTTCGCTCAAAACGTTATTGGTACCCAAACCCTATACAAATTCTATAAACCCAAAACCCCAAACCCTTATAAGCCCTAAAGCTACAAGCTGTCCTAGAGCTGGCCCTAAACCCTAAACCCTAAACCCTAAACCCTAAACCCTAAACCCTAAACCCCCTAAGCTGTCCTGGAGCTGGGCCAGCCCAGTGGGCTCCAGAGTGCGCTGGAGGGCTTGGCCGCCTCCTTGGCCAGGGCCTGGTGGGGTTTGGGGTTTAGGGTTTAGGGTTTAAGGGTTTAAGGGTTTAAGGGTTTAAGGGTTTAAGGGTTTAAGGGTTTAAGGGTTTAAGGGTTTAAGGGTTTAAGGGTTTAAGGGTTTAGGGTTTAAGGGTTTAAGGGTTTAAGGGTTTAAGGGTTTAAGGGTTTAAGGGTTTAAGGGTTTAAGGGTTTAAGGGTTTAAGGGTTTAAGGGTTTAAGGGTTTAAGGGTTTAAGGGTTTAGGGTGTAGGGTTTTAAGTTTAGGGTTTAGGGTTTAAGGTTTTAAGGGTTGAGGGTGTGAGAAGCTGGTCGCGTCGCGTCGCATTGGTAGGGGCAGCCAGCTGAGTGTACTCGCCAGTGCGGGTGGGCACATCATGTATTTAGGCTATCCACAGGTATTCATAGAGGGTTTAGCGCCAAGGTTTAGGCTTCAGGGTTTAAGCTTTCAGGGTCCAGGGTTCAGGGCGTAGGGTTCAGGGCTTAGGGTGGGTGACTTCGCAACGGGGCTGCTGCCCATTCTGAATTCGGGTCCCCTTTGAACTGGTCCTTCCTAGGAGGCCTAGGCTTTAGGACGGCCTGCCGTTTTGGTTCAGTGTGGGGGCAAGTGAGGGAGCAGTTGTAGTGCGAAGGAAAGATGTGCACTGATACGACGCAGAAAGGATAAAGAAACGTTCATGTGAGTGTTCAGTATGTAGCTCCCAAGGCTGAGGGCTAAGGGTTTAGGGTTTAGGGTTTAGGGTTTAGGCTCCAATGTTTGGGTTACAGGCTGGCCATGGCAAAACAAGGCGCATTGCATGTCGACCAAGCTGGCCCCATGAAGTACCAACATGACAGGCTACCCTAAACCCTAGCCCTAAACCCTAGCCCTAAACCCCAAACCCTAAACCCTAAACCCCAAAACCCAGAAACTGAATCCCAAGCTCTGACCCTCGAGAAGCCGAACCTAAAACCCCAAAAATCCCCAGACCCTGATACCTAAAGAGGTCTCTCCCTACACCCGAAACCCGAAACCCTAAACCCAAATCGTAAACCCTAACATCCTAAACCCTAAACCCTAGCCCTAAACCCCAAACCCTAAAACTCAAATCCTAAACCCTAAACCCTAAAACCCCTAAACGCGGCCTTCGGCTCGGGCTTGGTTTCGGCCTTAACCTCGGCCTTTGCGTCGGCCTTCTGCGGACCATTGCTCTTGGGTTTAGGGTTTAGGGTTTAGGGTTTAGGGTTTAGGGTTTGGGGTTTGGGGTTTGGGGTTTGGGGTTTGGGGTTTAGGGCTAGGGTTTGGGGCTAGGGTTTCGGGCTTAGGGGTTGAAGGTTTCGGGTTTCAGGTAAGACTGAGGCGTTCCTGCAGTACCCCAACCCCGTGAGCCCCAGAGCCCCCCCTAAACCCTACCCTAAGCCCTAAACCCTACACCCTAAACCCTAAACCCCAAACCCTAAACCCTAAACCTCAAACCCTAAGCCCCAAACCCTAAACCCCAAACCCTAAACCCCAAAGCCTAAACCCTAAACCCACAAAAAAACCTGGGAGGCACCTTCGCTTCGGCCTTTCCCTCCACTTTGCCTTCGGCCTTCACCTCCACCTGAAAGCCGGGCGTCTGGAGGCGAGGTGTAGGGTTCAGGGTTTAGGGTTTAGGGTTTAGGGTTTAGGGTTTAGGGTTTAGGGTTTAGGGTTTAGGGTTTAGGGTTTAGGGTTTAGGGTTTAGGGTTTAGGTTTTAGTGTTTAGGGTTTAGGGTTTAGGGTTTAGGGTTTAGGGTTTAGGGTTTAGGGTTTAGGGTTTAGGGTTTAGGGTTTAGGGTTTAGGGTTTAGGCTTTGGGGTTTGGGGTTTGGGGTTTGGGGTTTGGGGATTAGAGTTTAGGGTTTAGGGTGTAGGGGTTCGGGATTAGGATTTAAGGTTTAAGGTTTGGGCTTTGGGGTGTGGGGTTTAGGACCCTCAAGCCCAAATCCGGACCCTGTTAACCCTTTAAACCCTAGACCCCCCAAATCCTAAGCCCTGAAACCCCACACCCTAAACCCTAAACCCTAAACCCTAAACCCTAAACCCTAAACCCTAGACCCTAAACCCTAAACCCTAAACCCTAAACCCTAAACCCTACGCGCCTTGTGTTCAACCTTGGCCTCTGCCTCCTCGGCCTTCGCACGACCACCTTGGCCCACACCGCCTTGGACCTGGACTGAGGGTGGGAGGTTTAGGGGGGTTTAGGGTTTAGGGTTTAGGGTTTAGGGTTTAGGGTTTAGGGTTTAGGGGTTTCAGGGGGTTTCAGGGGGTTTCAGGGGGTTTCAGGGGGTTTCCGGGGAGGGAGGGGGGGGGGGGTTCAGGGCTTTTTCGGGGGCTTTAGGGGGGTTTTAGGGGGTCGAAGGGTGTTGGGTTGAGGGGGATTCGGCGATTTAGAAACTTAGGGGTTGGAACCTTAGCCAGCTTGAAGATAGGGAAAGCAAGCCAAGGGAGCTTTTTGGCTTACCGTATGGGTGCCCAACCCAGGGTTCCGGAGCTTTGGGTTCAGAAGGTTCTTGGGCCAAAGAAGACCCAAACCGTTTAGGGTTGAGGGTTTAGGGTTTAAAGTTTAAGGTTTAGGGTTGAGGGTTGAGGGTTGAGGGTTGAGGGTTGAGGGTTGAGGGTTTAGGGTCTAGGGTTTAGGGTTTAGGGTTTGGAATTTAGGGTTCAGGGTTTAGGGTTTAGGGTTTCGGGTTTAGGGTTTAGGGTTTAGGGTTTAGGGTTCCCTCAAGAGTGGCGCTTAAGGCTTTCGGACTTCTCCCGACGAGTTCAGGGCCCTTCTTTGGGAGGAGGTGTGGATCATGGGGGCTTGGGGTTCACGGCTGAGCGTAGTGGAATCAAGTTGTTTTTAGATTTGGGGGTTTCCGAAAACAGGGGTACCCGTGCTTAGGGGTTCCTGTAAAGGGATTCTAGTCTTTGCCCCTATTTTCGGTCATCCCCATTTAGAGCTTCTCAAGATTCAGGGTTTCACGTGGGCTCCGGCTTGCACGTTGGACTCCATAGCCGCTGCCCTCAGCCCCCTGATGTCTCTTTCTTGCCAAAGCGCTGACAGGATATCCTCTGCCTGCACGCGCGGCGACAAGCAGAGAAAATCAGGTTTCGCAGTTGAGGGCTCTGGGCGATGGCTCCGCATTCAGATCTGGTCATGGGAACTCGGGCTGCCACACAACCCCTGAACTTTCGCCCCGGACCCAAACACGCTTGCTACAGAGGCCTTCATAGCCACAGCCACATCCTCGGCACTTGGCTGTGCTTCTAGGCGTGGGTCTTTGGGGCAGCATGCCTGAAGGTCCTAGACCCCAAGCCCAGACTGAGCCTGCACCTCTCCACAGGCAGAAGACGTCAACCCTGATGTTGGCTATTGAAAACCCCGCAGAAGCTTTGGGGTTTCTTCACCTTCAAGAGGCGCAAAGGGGACCCTGCACCCTTTTCCATGGTGTACCCCCGTTAGAGCATGAGCGTAAAGAAGCCCTAAACCCCGCGACCTTGGCCTCCAGGGACCCCCCTCCCCACCCCTTCCCCCCTTTAACCCGCGCCCCCCACCCCCCTAGATCCTCAACCCCAAAACCCTAAACCCCACACCCCAAACCCCTAAACTAAAGAAACCCCAAAACCCCAATCCCTAAACCCCAAACCCTCTGCGAACATCTTTGGAAGCCAAAGCGCCGGAGGCGCCGGTGGTTCCATGGCCTGCTCCTGGCTTGTTTAAGGCCCAAAAAGATCCTGTAACCCATGGGGGTAGGGTTTAGGGTTTAGGGTTTATGGGTTTAGGGTTTAGGGTTTGGGGTTTAGAGTTTGGGGTTCAGGGTTCAGGGTTTAGGGTTTAGGGTTTAGGGTTTAGGGTTTAGGGTTTAGGGTTTAGGGTTTGGGGTTCAGGGTTTAGGGCTTAGGGTTTAGGGTTTAGGGTTTAGGGTTTCGGGTTTAGGGTTTAGGGTTGAAAGCTCTTCAGTCGCAGGGGGGGGTGTGAAGTTCCTGAGTCCAGAGGCCAGAATCGTGCCTGCATCTTCTCGTAGAAGGCGCGGAGCTCTTCGTCAGGGAAGGGCGTCTTCGAATGGTACTGCAGGCGATACTCTTTGCCTGCAGCGGAAGTTCAAACACTCTAAACCCTGAATGCTTCAACCTTAGTAGAAGCCAAAAAGTTGGAAACTCAATAGCCTCAATCCCTAAGAGGAAAGCAGCGGGAATCCCAGCACTATCTGTCCTTAAAAGGGTTCCAACTTTTTGGGGTTTACTGTAACCCTAAACCCCAACCAGTCCTGAGGTCCTGAACCCTTCAAGCCTGGCATGCTAAGGCCTCAGCCTAGGGGGGAGCTCCCCTGCGAGGGACGAAGCACTCAGAGACAAGACCAGCAAGGATTTGGGGTTTAGGGTTTGGGATTTAGGGCTTAGGGTTTAGGATTTATTTCGGGCTTAGGATTTGGCTAGGGTTTCGGGGCTCTTCGTGGTTGTAGGATTTTGGGTTTCAAGGCTCTTAGGGGTGAAGAGGGGTCGAGGGCCCCTCTGCTTAGCCAGGCGGCGCATGCAGTTGCCCAGCACGAAATCCTGGCAGCAGAGAGGTGGTTTCGTTGTCTGCACGTTCACACGAGTCTATAAGGGCTTGCAAGTGTGTATGGGGCTTCGAGGTTGTTAGGAAGTTGATATGGTGATTTCTCTGAATTATGGTCCCAAGGGGTCTTCTTCCAAGGCGGCCCCCATTAATTCGGGTACCCAAAACTAACCATATGGGGTTTACCTGGGGGTTTCCGAAATTAGGGGTACCTTATTGGGGTCCTGATTGTCAGGGATTCCAACTATTTGGGGTCTATTTTGGGGGGTTCCCTCTCTTCGTAAACCCCCGTATGGGTATTTCCCAACATAGGGTACCCCTTTTCTACCCCAATAAAGTAAAAGCCCCTTAAAGGGACCCCCAAAAAGGTACCACTATTTCCGTAAACACCCACATGGGATCTATACCCTAAATCCTAAACCCTAAACCCTAGACCCTAAACCCTAAACCCTACACCCTAAACCCTGAACCCTAAACCCTAAACCCTAAGCCTAAACCCTAAAACCTAAACCCTAAACCCGGGCGTCCTCGAGCAGCGTCCGCGCCAGCGTCCCCTGAGGCGCCACGCCGAGCAGCCAGAGAAGTGCCTTCCAGGGGAGCTCCCTTCTGGCCGAAAACACCCCCAATAATTGGGAGGTTTAGGGTTTAGGGTCTAGGGTTTATGGTTTAGGGTTTAGGGTCTAGGGTTTAGGGTTTAGGGTTCAGGGTTTAGGGCTTAGGGGGTCCGGCAACCGCCACCTTGGACTCGCCGGAGATGCGGAAGAAGAGCTCCTTGGGGCCGGACGTCACTGGGGTTTACGGGGTACTTGGAGGTTCTTAGGGTTTAGGGTTTAGGGTTTAGGGTTTAGGGTTTAGGGTTTAGGGTTTAGGGTTTGGGGTGTAGGGTACTTGTAACCTCAATTGTACATCCACTTGTAACCTACTTAGAGGCCTTCGGGGGCTTCATAGGTACAGTTACACATGGGGTTATCAGTACCCGGAACCTCCAAGTAGGATCCCTAATCATTACATCCCACACATTGACCCCCACGATTCTCTCTGTGTGGTGCATTATACGAACTGTCCAAGATACCCGTTGCAGTAGGCCAATTTACAGAGGACCTGAAGGATTAAGCATCCCTTGCAAGGGGAGTACGAAGCAACACCTAAGAGCCTTCCTCCCGAACCCCTAAACCCTAAACCCTAAACCCTAAAAGCCCTTGAAAGTCTGAAAGCGCCCCCCCCCCCCCCACAACTCCCCGGCCCAGGCACGCGGGCGTCGCCGGCTTCGAGATGCTGGGAGGTGGCGAAGATCACCTCCAGGCTCCAGCGTGTGCACCAAAAGGGGGGGGAGGGGTACAGGGCTTAGGAAGGGTGATGCTGCTCAGGGCAGCTTGCTGTCAGAAAGCCAGCTGAGTTTCCATCTTCGCTCACGACACGCCGAAACCCTAAATCCTAAACCCTAGATCTGAAACAGCCGGCCTTCGGCCGGTTCAGCGGATGGGCTGCTACAAGCTCCTGGAAAGAGCATTCGCACGACTCATGAAGGCGCGCGAGCATGCTCATGGCTGCCCCCCTCGTAGTGCCAGCTTGAGTAGCTCAGTTGCTAATGAGGGTACCCCTGAACCCTAAACCCTAAACCCCAAACCCTAAACCCTAAACCCCAAGCCCTAAAACCCTAAACCCCATGTTTGGGGTTGGAGCCTAGAACCAAAGAAAGGGGCAAAAATGGGCACCACGAGACAGCCCAACAATAACCAAAATCCCAAGCAAAAAGGAGGCTTCGGCTTTGTAGGGGCCGTAGGCAAGAGCCGGAACGCGTCAGGCTTAGCTCAAAAGGGGGAGCCAGATTTGGAGAAGCCCGTAGCCTGGGAAGTCTGCCCCACCCCCCCCCAAGCCATAAAAGCTGAAACCCGGAACGTCTCGGTTGGGATGCCTCAACCCCTTCCAGCCATAACCTCCAGACGCAGCATGGCAGATGTCCCCCCCCGATGCACACTGAACGCAAGGTTTAAGGTTGGGGGGGAGTGGGGGGATGAGGGGCTGCTGGGGCAACAGCTAAACCCCATAAACTATAACCCCTAAACCCTTAACCGCAAACCCTACAACCTATAACCCTTAACCCTTAACCCGACACCCTACACCCTAAAACCCTAAACCCTAAACCCTAAACCCTAAACCCTCTGTTGGGCTGCTGGGGCTCCTCCAGGCTCTGGAAGATCCTCACATTCTTCAGCACCTGAGGCCGCAAGGGAGGGGTTTAGGGTTTGGGGTTTGGGGTTTAGGGTTTCGGGTTTAGGGTTTAGGGTTTAGGGTTTGGGGTTTGGGGTTTGGGGTTTGGGGTTTGGGGTTTGGGGTTTAGGGTTTAGGGTTTGGGGTTTGGGGTCTAGGGTTTGGGGGTTTAGGGTTTGGGGTTTGCGGTTTGGGGTTTGGCAGGCACTTCAACCCCACAAAACCCAAGCTCAAACCCAGTATTTCAAACTTCTACCCAAGGAACCCAATCCCCCGAAACTCAGAAATGTACCTTTAACCCTGGTAGGGACCCTAGTAGGACTTTTGAGGTATCTTCCGCGGTTGAGGGGACTTGGGCTTTGGGTACTGCCACAAACCCTAAACCCTAAACCCTAAACCCTGAACTCTAAACCCTAAACCCTAAACCCAAAACCGCCGAGGGGGCACGAACGGGTGGTGCCCCGGTCGCGACTCGAAGGCCTCGAGGACCTCGTGGCCCATGTACTCGAGGCCTTGCGTGCCCCGCCCCCCAGGCGTCCTGCGTAACCTGGGACCTCCCAAAAAGACGGCCTACACACCCCAAACCCTAAGCCCTAAACCCTAAACCCTAAGCCTTAAGCCCTAAGCCCTAAGCCCCTAACCCTAAATCCTAAATCCTAAACCCTAAACCCTAAACCCTAAACCCTATAAACCCTATAAGCCCTAAACCTTTCAGACCCGAAATTTTGGGGACCAGAAGAGGCCATTTATGGAACCGACGGCAGGCCAAGTCACGCGTCTTGACCTGGCCAAGGGTTTTGAGGGTTTGGGGTTTTGGGCTTAGGGTTTTGAAGGTTTTGAGGGTCTAGGGTTCGGGGAGCAGTCAACTTCTGTTTTTTGGTTCCCCAGGGTCTGTAAGGTACCCTGTTTTCGGAAACACTGAGCTGACTGTTACTTTCGAGGCTGCAGGCTTGTTGCTTTGGCTAAGTAAGGGTTTAGGCTGTAGGCTTTGAGTTTTGGGCTTCGTCTCCGCGGCGCCTGATCTAGCACCATGTCGCCCATGGACGAAAGCCTTGGAAGCAGGTTGCGGCAAGAAGAGGTTGCGACAACCGGTAGGTATTGCTTTGCCTCGGATGAGCTCCCCGGCAGCCGAAACGTCGGACAGGTCCGAGCGGGCAGAAACCCTCTGGAACACACCCTAAACCCTAAACCCTAAACCCTAAACCCCAATTCCTAAAACGAGTCTTGGGGTTCAGAGAGAACCCGGAATCCGGGCAACTCTGCGAGTGCAAATAAAGCTTTGCCTCTGCGGCTGAGGTCTGGGTTTTGGGGCTTGTGGGGCTTTGCAATGTAGGGTTTAGGGTTTAGGGTTTAGGGCTTAGGGCTTAGGGCTTAGGGCTTAGGGCTTAGGGCTTGGGCCTTGGGGCTTTGTGATTTAGGGTTTAGGGTTTAGGGTCTAGGGCTTGGGGGTTGAGAGGTTGAGGGTCTAAAGGTGTTTAGTGGTTTAGAGGAGTTTAGAGGTTTAAAGGCATTGGGCCGCACGTAGGGTGTTGGGGGTTTTGGGGGCTTGGGGGTACGGCTGCCAGGCGGCCACACGAGCGGGTACGTGGCGAGCTGGCGGTCCTGATTCCAGGCGGCCTCGAAGAGGAGCAGGGCCTGCGCTTGCTTGCGCGTGGAGTTGCAAGCTTGGGGTTGCAGGTCGAGACCCCTCAACCCTAAACCCTAATCCCTAAACCCTAAACCCTAAACCCCTGAACCCTGAACCCTAAACCCTAAACCCCAACCGCCCCCAACAAATTCATAAACCCTAAAACCTGAGCTAAAATTCGGGCGGCGGGCCTGGGCACCAAGTTGTTGGAGCTTCAAACGCGTCATCTGTCAGACCCTTGCGGGAATATGCACAGATCAGCTTTCTTGATCCTCAAGACACGACCCTTCACCCTAAAAACCCCAAACCCTGTAAACCCTAAGCCCCGAGATCCCAAAAAAAGGAACCAACTCAGAAGCGACCCCCATAAGGTACCCCCATTATCGTAAACCCCCAAATCCTGAACCGAAAAACCCCTAAACCTCAACCCTAAACCCTAAACCCTAAACCCTAAACCCTAAACCCTAAACCCTAAGCCTCAGGGATCCACCCTGCCACATCTGCAGGAATCAGGACGCTCCCACCCTTGCGGAGCGTCGCCACCGTCTCCTGGCCGTGTGGGGGGGGGGGGGGGGGGGAGGATGACGGTTTTTGATTGGGATGTTCCCCCTTTTCCTTGGAGGTTCATGGTACTTATTAACCAATTATAACTGTACTTATAACCCACTTAGAAGCCCCTTAAATGCCCTAATATGGTTATAAGTACAGTTACAAGTACAGTTGCAAGTGGTGAATAAGTGCCATGAACCTCCAAGTACTAACAGCTCCTTAATCGGGATGACATACTAGAATCCCTATTTCGGGCTGTTCGTGTGGGGAACATCCCAAGTTTCTGAGATCTTCACGTCTTTGGTGGACTTGTTGGTTGCTGGGCTTATGGTTTAGACGGATTTGTGCGGCTTGGCATTCAAGAACGAGCTCCAGAAACCTCCAAGACCCTGCAGCATGTCCTCCAGGAAGCATTGCTCCCGGACGGTGCGGGCAATGGTGATGGCCTACGGAGAGCGGATTGTCGCATGAAGACGATGGCTGAAAAAACCCACGAGAGCTGGACGAACACAAGGGTTCACGATCGGAGTTGACATCTTGGGCACTCCCTCCTGAGTTGCATTTGAGCCAGAACCGGTTCGGGGCCCTTGACAGTTTGGAGCCAGGTCGGGCTTGGGGCCTTGAAGTAAGACCTGGCTCGCCATCTTCGCTTGGTGCAGTTTGGCTCGGTGTTGTTGTGTTTTTTTTTTTGCACTTAGCTCATCGGTGAATGTTGTGCAAGTGCAAGTATCTGCTACAAGGTGCAGACCCCACAAGCCCTAACCCCCTAAACCCGAAACCCTAAACCCTAAACCCTAAGCCCTAAGCCCTAAACCCTAAACCCTAAACCCTAACCCTAAAGCCTAAACCCTAAACCCGAAACCCGAACCCTAAACCCTAAACCCTAAACCCTAAACCCCAAACCCTAAAGACCCCAGACTTCCACCTTGGAGGAGGCGTAGACCTCCGGAGGTTTCTGCAGCGCCCCCCGCCCGGGCAGCGCCCGGAGCTTCAGCCGGTCCTTTCACTTTTGGGGTTTAGGGTTTAGGGTTTAGGGTTTGGGGTTTAGGGTTTAGGGTTAATTGTTTAGGGTTTAGGGTTTAGGGTTCAGGGTTTAGAATCTACGGGAAGCCTCTGAAGTATGGGCCCTTGGGGGGTTTTCTGGCGTATGTAAGGGAAGCCTAGCAGGGCAGTTCCCACGCTAAGACCCTAAAGAACCTCAAAACCCTACATATCCCTGATCATAAATAACTCAGAAAAACTAACTCTCTCTCTCTCTCTCTCTCTCTCTCTCTCTCTCCCTCCCTTTAAACCCTTTCTCCTCGGACCCATCGGCCAAACGTGCCGTGGAGAGTGGCGAGGTGACAACGACGTCCCAGCGCTGAGCAGTGCCTGCTTTTGAGGTTCGGGGGTTTAGGGTTTTGGGCTTTGCGGGTTGAGAGTTTTGGGCTTGAGGGCTGCGGGTTGTGAAGTTTTAGGGCTGAGGGTTTTGGGTTTGAGGGCTGAGGGTTTTGAAGTCTCAGGGTTTTGGGGTGTTGGGTTGGGGCGTTTAGGTTTTCATATCTCCTGGTTTAGGCCTCAGGTTTCTGTAAAACCCTTAAAACCCTGAAACGCTGAAACCCTAACCCTAAACCTAAACCCTAAACCCTAAACCCAAGCATCTGGGGTGCGGACCCCGGCATCCAGGAAGCATGCGCTCCAGCTCCAGGCCATCTAAGTATCTACCTCTGGGCCACTTGGGGTTTAGGGTTTAGGGTTTAGGGTTTAGGGTTTAGGGTTTAGGGTTTAGGGTTTAGGGTTTCGGGCTTAGGGTTTAGGGTTTAGGGTTTAGGGATTTTGGGGGCACTTGGGAGCTGCTCGCAATTTCTGGAGCTTAGGGCTTAGGGGATTTAGGGTTTGCTGTCTTGGGCCGGGGTCTGGAAAACCCTAAACCCTAAACCCTAAACCCTAAACCCTAAACCCTAAACCCTAAACCCTAAACCCCTGGGGCAAGTTCGAGGTTGGGTACGGGTTCTGGGCTTGGGCTTCCGGGCCCGGGGTTTCAGATAGGGGGGCCGGGCTTGAAGCCTGCAACGCACTTGGAGGTTCATGGTACCTAGCAACTAATTACACCTGTACTTACAACCCACTTATAAGCCCCTTAAGTGCCCTGATATGGTTACAAGTACAGTTATAAGTACAGTTGCAAGTCGTTAATAAGTACCATGAACCTCCAAGCAGGGACGAAATGGAAAGATGGGCATGTGCGTTTGGCTTCGGATGGGCGGCCAATGGTCCGATGACGAATGTCGGCTGAGCCCGCGGGCTAGGGTTTAGGGCGATAGGGTTTAGGGTTTAGGTTCCCTAAACCCTAAACCCCAAACCCCAAGCCCCAAACCCCAAACCCTAAACCCCTGAAACCATAAACCCCGACATCCCAAACCCTAAAGCCCCCTGGATGCCTTTGCGCATGGTTCCATCGACCAGGTACACCGCCGACCTGAGGTTATAGGGTTCTTAAGGGAGGGGGGTTCAAGGGGGGGCAGGTACCTACCCTATAGATAAAGCCCAGAGGAGCATCGCCGAAGGGGGGGGGGGGGGGGACATGGAGGCCAGGGTTTCAAGGAGTTTGGGGTCTAGGGTTTGGGGTTTAGGGTTTGGGGGTTAGGGTTTAGGGTTCAGGGTTTAGGGTTTAGGGTTTGGGGTGTAAGGTTAGGGTTCAGGGTGCTTGGAGTTTGGTGTATGGGTCTTTCAGGGTTGAGGGTTTGAGGAGAACACCCTTCGGGCGGCTTAAAGGCTTCTAGGGTCTCCACCTTCGTGGGTTTACCCTAAACCCTAAACCCTAAACCCTAAGCTTCCGTTTTTCGCGCAAAATTGGTGGGGTTTTGGCCACACCCGACAGTCCGAACGAGCACAGGACTTGGGCATGGTGTAGGGTTGAGGCTGCAGGGCCTTTGGGTTCTAGGGTTTAGGGTTTAGGGCTTAGGGCTTAGGGTTTAGGGTTTAGGGTTTAGGGTTTAGGGTTTAGGGTTTAGGGTGTCGGGCTTAGGGTTCAGGAAATGCTACGAGCTGTAGGGTTCAGGCGGGGCGGGTTGGGGCTCGAGGGCTTTCGGGGCTCTCGGGCCCAAAGGGTCAGGTTGAAGCTTTGTGCGAGTCACACAAGTCTTTCAAGACCCTGCTGCAGCCCGTCAGCCTCAAGAAACACCCTAAACCTCGCCCAGGGGCGAACCCCTGACCCTAAACCCTAAAAAAACCCTACAAGAACCCCGAAACCCCTAAACCCCTAAACCCGTAAACCCCCAAACCCTAAACCCCTAAACCCCTAAACCCCTAAACCCCGAAACCTCGCCCAGGGGCAGGCTCCCGCACTGCAGCGTCCAGTAGGCGCTTCCCAGGCTCGGCCCTGCCGGGAAGGGGCCTCGGCTCTTCGGGGGTTTAGGGTTTAGGGTTTAGGGTTTAGGGTTTAGGGTTTAGGGTTTGGGGTTTAGGGTTTAGGGTTTAGGGTTTAGGGTTCAGGGTTTAGTCGGGCTTAAGCATGTTTAGAGGGGTCCGAAGGATGCTTGGGGCTGAGGGCAAACGGATGTTTAGGGTCTTTAGGGTGGTTGGGGGTTTGGGGCTTAGGGTTTAGGATTCAGTATCAGGAGGCGGAGGGTTTGGGGTTTGGGGTTTGGGGCTTAGGGTTTAGGGTTCAGTATCAGGAGGCGGGTCTTTAGGGTTTGGGGTTTGGGGTTTGGGGCTTAGGGTTTAGGGCTTAGGGCTTCAGAGTATCAGGAGGCGGGGGCCTGAGATGGGGGGGCGGGGTGTAGATCCCGCGGTTTCTGAGTGGATGTTGCGTTCAGGTGATAGGACCATCGCTGTAGAGCTCTCAGTGGACCCTTAAAGGGTAGGCATGGACCCTACAGCTATATAAAGACACCAAACCTTCGTTAGAGCAGAGTCTCGGCATTAGGATTTGGATCCCCCCCCCTTCTCCCCCTAGGGCTTAGGGCTTAGGGCTCGGGGCGTCGTGCTCAGGGAAAAGCGCCAAGAGAGCAGCAGCAACAAGAAGGCTGCTAAAATCTTTGCGAGGGGCAGGCCGCAAGCACACGGCCGTTGACCTCTCCAGCAAGCCCAACCCAAGACCCCCAAGCCCCTCCAAAACAAAGCACAAGCATGAAAACCCCTTTTTTGACCCTTAAAAACACATCCGTTAAAACCCAAAACAAAAGCATGAAGAAAACCCCCATGGTGACCCTTAAATACACACATCCTTTCAAAAACCAATAAACAAAACATGAAAACCCGATAGAGATCCGGAAAGATCCGAGAGTCCAGCCCCCCCCCAAGACCCACCCAACAGCGGGCAGTCCAGGTCTCTCAGGATTTTTGGGTGCGTTTGAAGGTTTAGGGTTTAGGGTTTAGGGTTTAGGGTTTAGGGTTTAGGGTTACTAATAGTATTCCCTTAGGGTCCCTCTATAGTTATACTACAAGAACCCCCCCGGGTTCAGGGGTTTAGGGTTTCGGGTTTCGGGTTTCGGGTGGCAAACCTAGTTTTTGAGACATGGCAGGCCTCACTCCTGATAGGCTTCGAGGTGTTGGAGGGGCTTGGGTGATTTGTGGGCCGGTGCTCTGGGGGTGTTGGCGCTAAACCCGAAGACCCCTCAACTGAACCCCCCCAAACTGGGCTCGCCGACCTGGATGCGGAAGGTCTCTCCTCGGCTTGAATGGCTTCGGGCTTAGGGTTTAGGGTTAGGGTTTAGCGTTCAGGGTTTAGGGTTTAGGGTTCGAAGGGTTTCTTCGGGTTTTCAGGTTTAGGGTTGCAGGGCTTTCGGGTTCTCGGGCTTCAGGGTTTAGGGTTCCAGGGTTCCAGCGTTTAAGGGCTTTAGGGTTTTTGGGGTTGTAGGGTTTGGGGTTTAGGTGCGGGCTTCAGGACTGGCAGAAGATTCTGTCTTTGAGGGCTTCAAGGAAGTTTGGGAGTCTAGGAGTTGAGGACTTTGGGGGGTGTGGGTGGGATTTCGGGTCTGGAGTTTGGGAGTGTGGGCTTTTTGGGGGCGGGGATCGGGTGGGGGGGGCAGTGATCCATTTTTGCTTCGGGTTGAGGGCTCTTAGGGTTTCGGGGAACTTGAGCAAAGCTCTCCAGGCAAGAGGCTGTACTTGAGTGTGGACAGCCTGGACATGAAGATCCGAAGAACATCATCCACTTCCTGAGAGGTGCACTGTCATTCAGACTGTCTTGTAGACAGGGGAGCTGGAATGCACGACGCTATAAAAAAACTGAGCCAGCATGGATCCCGACATAGAAAACGAGGATAGCATCGCGGTACTCACCTTTCAGCTACCTATTCATACACATCGTACTGTCGTCCAGTCGCGAGAAAAACTAACCTGTTTGCCGATGGTCGACACCCCGCTGACATTCCCTACACTGGCATCGATCAAGAATCATTGTCTCCACAAGCCAGCTGTCCCGGTGATTGTTTTCACCATTTGTGTTCTTACGGTACGAGCAAGCTTTTGCCCGCTAGGTCCTCACGAGATATCTGGCCTCACTACTTGGAAGCCCTTTTGCCTTAGTAAGTCTACTTCGTAGCCCCTAGAGCTCCCTTTGATGATCCCGATAACCCAACGACTAACCCGACTTACTAAGTCAAAAGGGTTGCCAAGTAATTCACCCTTTACCCTAAGGCCCTAAAGTTCCGCCCCCCGACCGTGCCAACCGAGCTCCCTCACAACGACTCGCACGGCGCGGGCTTCAAAAGCTCACGGAATGGGGTAATTCAGGTGCGGTTGTGCTGGAAAGTATGACGGGATAGTATAAACCTTGTTCATCCATTGCGCGCGTCACCCAGCCCGCAGAGCAGGAATCACCTTGCGCCGTCACCATCTGAAGCCATCATGACTCGTTGATCTATCGGATTCCCTTTCTCGGCTTTCTCGCCCTAAGAATGTCCGTGCCTCGCAGGGCGACCGACTTGCAGGGTTTGAGTCCCGTGCAAGACGGCTTACGAGATCCCTAAAGCTCTATAATACCGGCCTAAACCCCTAAACCCTACCCTAAGCCCTAAACCCTAAACCCGAAACCCTAAACCCTCAACCCCAAGGCGTCGAGCCACCCAACAACCGGCGCCGAGGAGCATAGGCGTCCGAGGGCTCCCGGTACTTCTCCCGGTCTTCCAGCGCCGCCACACAGGCGAGCCTTGCAAGAGGCTGTGAAGGTAGAGGGCTCATAGGGTCTTGGGTCTTGGGGTCTTGGGTCTTGGCTCATAGGGTCTTGGGTTTGGGGTCTTGGGGTCTTGGGGTCTTGGGGTCTTCGGGTCTTGGGGTCTTGGGTCTTGGGTCTTGGGGCCTTGGGCCTTGGGCCTTGGGTCTTGGGTCTTGGGTCTTGGGTCTTGGGTCTTGGGTCTTGGGTCTTGGGTCTTGGGTCTTGGGTCTTGGGTCTTGGGTCTTGGGTCTTGGGTCTTGGGCTTGTAGGGTCTTGGGTAATTATAGGGATTTGGGTTTCCGAAAAGACTGTTTAGGCTCTGCAGGCGTCTTTCTGGTGCCTTTTGAGGCCCCCTAAATCCTAAACCCTCAAACTTAAACACTAAACCCTTAACCCTCTTGAGTTTCTGGGCTTTCGGAGTTGGGGCGGCAGCGGACATTTGTGCACGCTCTCGAAGCCCGCAACTCTCCCAGGTCTGAAGCATAGAACTTCTATTTAAAGTAGCACGGGCCAAAATTTAACGCCTTTCTGCATCCCAACAATAGCCTACAAGCTAGCAAATTACAAGCCTAAACCCCCAACCCCAGACCCTAAAACCTAAACCCTAAACCCCAAACCCTAAACCCCAAACCCTAAACCCTAAACCCTAAACCCCAAACCCGAAACCCTAAACCCTAAACCCTACACCCTAAACCCTAAACCCCAAACCCTAAACCCCCAAACCCTAAACCCCAAACCCTAAACCCCAAACCCTAAACCCCAAACCAAAATGCCCTGCAGTGGAGCAGCTCCCCAAGCCGGCACACGGGCTCCGTGCAGACGACCGGGCAGGACACCGGATACTTCGTGAGCCTTGAAGGATTGGGGTTTAGGGTTTAGGGTTTAGGGTTTAGGGTTCAGGGTTTAGGGTTTAGGGTTTCGGGTTTAGGGGTTAGGGGTTAGGGTTTAGGGTTTAGGGGTTAGGGGTTTAGGGTGAAGAGTTTGGCGTTTAGGGTTGAAGGGTTCAGGGGTTTAGGGGGTTCAGGCGGTTTAGGCGGTTTAGGGGGGTTTAGGGGGTTTAGGGGGTTTAGGGGGATTAAGGGGTTAGGGGTTTAAGGGGCTAAGGGGGTTTAAGGCGGCGTCAAGAAGTTTACGTTGTTTGGGGCATTTAGGGGGTTTAGGGGTTTTAGGGGTTTCGGGCGTCGGGGTTTAGGAACTGAATACCAGATCTTCAGGGTCCGGGCAACCTGATGCTCGTGCGCAAAAGGGGCTTCATACTTCAGGTGACCATTGATGTGGTCGTTTTGGAATAAGCCGGAGACTTGTCGGAATCACTACTACTAGTAGTCCCTCAGGGTCCCTGTATAATTGTACTATAGTAACCCCCTAAAGCCCTATTCCAATTTTTCAGGCCCCTCTATTACCAGGGTCCGCCGCGACTTGCAACCTCCACTTACAGCTCACCGCTCATCCACAAACCCTGTGTCTCCTCAAACCTCCAGCCTCAACCCCTAAAGAAAGGAACAACCGGGGTGTCAGGCAGGACCCATAGTGCCAGATTTGGGTTTACCAAGGCCGTCTGTGGGGAATGTGGCCCCACGGCTCCTCATGACAATACCCTAAACCCTAAACCCTAAACCCTAAACCCTAAACCCTAAACCCTAAACCCTAAACCCTAAACCCTAAACCCTAAACCCCCCCCCCCCTTGCCCAACACGCCAAGGCACAGGTAAGGTAGCGCTCCAAGGTGCTTAAAGTCAGCGTGCGTCAGCACCTGGGCTCCAGCTGTCCCTAAACCCTAAACCCTAAACCCTAAACCCTAAACCCTAAACCCTAAACCCTAAACCCGAAACCCTAAACCCTAAACTTCTCGAATGTCCTCACGCCTCTAAGCCGAGGCGCAATGAGGTCCAGCTCATGCAAGTGAGGGATGAGAGGAGACCTTGGTTGCAGGTGGCCGAGGGGCGTAAACAGATTGGGTTTCCGGCAACAATTACTTGGCTGCACTTAGCAGGGTAGCTATGAATTTAGTTTTTAGCTGCCTTATTAAGAAACCAAATAAGCCCAAAAAGGCTAAGGATCTAAAGTCACAGTAAAGCACCACAGAGAATAAAGTCACCACAACCCTGTGTACCTCAAGGCTTGTCCGGATGCTCTCTTGACCTGAGATGTACAGAGGCATGATGATGACTTCTCCAGAACCAGGCTACATTACCCAGATCCTGCTTAGGATTCAGGTGTTTTTCATGAGACATCGCAGCTTACAAGCTCAACCACTTGTGCAATCCCTTCGACTTGTGCAACATCCTCGGGCACAAAACAGCTGAATCATAGGGAGACGGAGGAGCCATGTGCCGGTAAACCCTGACTGGGACACCACATGGAGCACTTCAAGCCCCAAACCCTCGACCGCCCAGCCTCCAAACCCTACTGCAAACCCAAAACCCCCACAGAGAACCCGTACTAGATTTCGGGGGGGGGAGGTACCCCAAACCCTCATCCATCCGATCTAAACCACAAGCCCCTAGCACCCTAAACAACACAAACCCTAAACCTGTAAGACCTGTAGAATAGCGCCCAAACCCAGCCCAGAAACCATACCCTACACCAAAAAACCCCAAACCCCCAACCCTCAAACCCTAAACCCTTAAGTCCCTCAAAGCTAAACCCCAAACCCAAAAAGCTCGAGCCCTAAGCAAAAACCCCAAAGCCCTAAACCCCAAAACCGCCCCCACCCTAAAGCCCTAAACCCCAAACCCTAAACCCCAAACCCTAAACCCCAAACCCTAAACCCTAAACCCCAAACACCAAACCCTAAAACACTAAACCCGAAACCCTAAACCTTAAATCCTAAACCCCCGACTCGCCAAGGCTCAGCAGCTTCGGGTCGAAGGACTCCGACCAGCCGCAGTTCAGGAGGACCGTGAGGCCTGGGGTTTCGCGCTTTTAGGGTTGAGGGGGTTTAGGGGTTTAAGGTTTAGGGGTTTAGGGGTTTAGCGGTTTAGGGTTTAGGGGTTTAGGGGTTTAGGGGTTTAGGGTTTAGGGCTTAAGGCCCGAAACCCCAAACCCTCCCTAAATCCTTGCAGGGAGCCCTCTCTCTCTTCGCAAAAGGCCCGCCTCCCAGTTGTAGGATGCTACACTGCCACTCCAGAGAGTCCTCGCGACTTGCGGTTTGGAGTGCAAGGGTTTGGGGCTTTTGGGTTTGGGGCTTTAAGGGTTTGAGGTTTAGGGTTTCGGGTTTAGGGCTTGGGGTTCAGCAGTTGGCTCAACATGGAGCTACCCTCTCTCCACAGATTCGCAGTCTGCAGACGCAGAATGCCCACCCTAGACCATCCGAACCCGACACCCTACCCGCAGCTCCTTGGAAATTGGCAGCAGTGCGAAGTCCATGGCTTAGGACCCTCTCGCGAAGTCCATCGCTTAGGGCCCTCACTAGTCACTCGTGCCCTGGTGCCGAATCATGGCTGCATGGGCGATGTTTCGGTCAGTGCAGAGCAGGGCGTCCTCTCCTCTACTATACCGATGAGGCAGGGCAAGGCCCTGTAGGACAAGGGCGGGCATTTGAAGTGGGTTTTCTTATGTGCATGTAGGGATTGCAGGGCTTGATATTGGAAATCATGTGGCAGATATATAGGCCCCCATGCTGAGGACTGTCGCACAGTGGCCATCTTTTCGACAGACTTCGGCTTCGAGGCTACCGGTGTCTCGAGATGTCTCGTGTGACACATCGGGGCTGTTCTGCAATGCGGGGGTTCCCTCTTGTGGTGCACCCGACATCGATGTAGGGGGATTTGACCAGACGAACCGGCTCCACTGAAGGGGGCGGCTTCCATCGTCCGGGGAGGGCTTTCTTCTGCTCCGCAGCTTGGAGCACCCTCTGGCCGTCCTCACCAACGCCTGCCCGCGCCACAGCGGCTGCGAGCCCCTGCACCCAAGGGCCTCAGGCAAAGGGCCTCCTCTCGTTGTGGTCCTGGTCCGAGACGCCGAGTGTAACCTGAGCCCACAAGCTGGTGCATGCAACCGACCTCATGAGGGACACAGACATCCACAAGTCAACAGCAACTTGCGTTGAAGACTGCCTTGCAGCAGGTAAAGTTGGGAGACTTTTCGGGGGCATTTGGGGAGCTCTGGCCTGTCGACCCTTGCATGATCGAAGTTGCGAGGCATCGCCACGGTCGTGCAAAACTTTTAGGCCGGGCATCTCCTCTTGAAATCTGATGGCTCAAGTGAAGTGGTGACAGCCCTGTGCCCTAAACCCTAAACCCTAAACCCTAAACCCCCAAGCCGATTAGGTTTAGGGCCTGGGCGCTGCGGACGCATCACGGAATCGGAGCGTAGCCATGCATCTGAGCTTGGACACCTACAAGGATTTGTTCTTCAGGTCGAGGCCCACGGCTTCAATCCGGCTCAGGGTTTGGGGTTTGGGGTTCGGGGTTTGGGGTTTGGGGCTTAGGGCTGAGGGCTGAGGGCTTAGGGCTTCGGGCTTCGGGCTTAGGGCTTAAGGCTTAGGGCTTCAGAGCTTTCCACCATGTCGACTGCAACCCGGCCTATGGCATAGCTTATCGGCAGCCACGTGGCCAATGCGATCTCAGGGTCAGGCAACAGCTTGAGATGTGGGATCTTTCCCCTGCACCTCTAAAACCAAAAACCCTAAACCCCAAACTTTACTTCGAGGTCACCCTCAACCCTAAACCCTAAACCCTAAACCCTAAACCCTAACCCTACACCCAAAACCCCCAGCCTGGGCTCCCACCAGCAGTTCGTGGCCATGTCCGAACCAAACACCCATCGTGGGCCTACGCCGCAGGAGCGGTTCCAGGGGGGGGGGGGGGTTTAGGGTTGTGGGTTTTGGGTTTAGGGTTTAGGGTTTAGGGTTAGGGTTTAGGGTTTAGGGTTTTGGGTTTTGGGTTGTGGGGTTTGGGTTTAGGGTTTTGGGTTTGGGTTTTGGGCTTGGGGGTTTTCTAAGGGTGTTGCGGGGTGTTGGGGTGGGTGAAGTGAGGGAACCACATCTAACCCTGCTAACCCTAAACCCTCGGGTTTAGGGTTTAGAGTGAAAGGGTTTAGGGTTTGGGGTTTAGGGTTTGGGATTTGGGGTTTAGGGTTTAGGGGTTAAAGGGTGTATTTAGCTTTTACAGTTTACGGTTTAGGGTTTAAGGCCTACACCATCTGAGAATTCAGAGAAGAATTTTGTGCCAGCTGCACCTCTCAAGATTTGGCCCCTTCCTCTGCCAAAGCTCATCCTGTCAGCGCTTTGAGCATACCCTAAACCCTAAACCCTAAACCCTACCCCCTAAACCCTAAACCCTAAAATACGACTCAAGTGCCCGAACTTTACCAAGCCTCAGGAGATTGACTTGGCAACTCTCGGGTAAAGTTGAGAGAACTTCCAAAAGTCAGGGATTCAAGGTTTGGAGTCCCTAAACCCTAAACCCTGAACCCTAAACCCTAAACCCTAAACCCTAAACCCTAAACCCTAAACCCTAAACCCTAATTAAAACCCTAAGCCCTAAACCCTAAACCCTGAGCCCTAAACCCTAAACCCCACGGACCCGTCCGCGTCTTCAAGGGCAGCGTACGTGAAGTCGCAGCGGCGCTTGCAGCGCCAGCCCAAGCAATCGCCACTTTCCAGATGCATGTTGAAAGCCTCGCGGGCCGGGAGCCCAAGTAGGGTTTAGGGTTTAGGGCTTGGGGCTTAGGGTTTCGGGTTTAGGGTTTAGGGTTTAGGGTTTAGGGTTTAGGGTTTAGGGTTTAGGGTTTGGGGCTTTGCAAAATGTTTCGGGACGATCACGTACGGCACAGCACGTCTCTTCGTGCAAAGACATCTGTCAATGCGGATGGTCACGTGATGTGGAAAGTCTCAGTGCCCGACGTCGGCCCTGAACATCTTCCGGGCAGCGAAGACGTGTGTTCCATTCGGGAGCTTGGCGCGGCCAACATTCTTGGCTGTCTGCAAAGCATTCATCTGCTTGTGAACGATTTCGAAGGACATCTCAAACTCGCCGGAAGGAATCTCGCGAAGGCGCTGGGGGCGAGCAATGAAGAACTGCAGGTCCTGAAAGGCTGCCCGCTCATAGGGCGTCACAAAGAACATGGCGGTCAGGCTCCCACGCCAACCCGGCACGCGCTCGAAAGGCGGAAAGCACAGGTTCGCGTCCACCACGATTCGATCTCCCATGAGCTTATCGGCTCGTAAGCCTGCCGCGGCAACCGTGTTCAGACTGCCTTACTTGTCTCCAGCTTCCTGGAACAAACAAACGCCATACTTCTGGGAAAACAGGGAAACCTAAACCCCCTAAACCCCCCTAACCCCCTTAACCCCCCCTAACCCCCCTCAACCCCCCAACCCCCCTAAAACCCCCCAAACCCCCTAAAAACCCCCTAAAAACCCCCCTAACACCCCCCCAAAACCCTAAAACCCCCCCATACCCCCAAAACCAGCAAAGCCACCTGGGAACTCGTAGCCAGCCCAGCGGGTGGTGTCCACCTGAAGGGTGGGGATATACCTGGAGGTTCATGGTACTTATGAACGAATTCTACCTGTACTTTATGACTGTACATATAACCATATTAGGGCACTTAAGGGGCTTATAAGTGGGTTAGAAGTACAGATAGAATTAATTACTAAGTACCCTGAACCTCCAAGTAGACCCTCCCCACTGAGTGTGTTTAAGAGAGCCAGGAGAGGGCTGAGAAGGGCTCCCTTTTCAGGGCACAACCCGAAACCCTAAACCCGAAACCCTAAACCCGAAAGCACCCAAACCCTAAAGAAAAGTCCTACCTCAGGAATCATCCTACCCTAGGACCACCTGGAGGTTCGTGATACTTAGTAACTAAGTATAACTGTACTTATAACTGTACTTGTAACCATATTGGGGCACTTAAGGGGCTTATAAGTGGGTTATTAGTACAGTTTTGACTAGTTACTAAGTACCCCTAAACTCTAAACCCTCAACCCCAAACCCTAAACCCTAAACCTCCAAGCACCTGGAGGTGCTCCGCGGCCCGCAAGAGGTGAAAGGTTGGGTCGGCCGTGTGCCCGTTCGCGTGAAGGAAGCAAACCTCGGCGCTGGGTTTAGGGTTTAGGGTTTAGGGTCTAGAGTTTAGGGTTTGGGGTTTGGGGTTTAGGGTTTAGGGTTTGGGGTTTAGGGTTTGGGGTTTGGGATTTGGGGCTGTGGGATCTGGGGTTGAAGGGGGGTCTCTTTTGGTTTCGGGGGGCCGGTCCACGGATAGTTGCTTCGCCTTTTCTTGCAACCAAGACAGACATCTACATAGACAATCTACAGTGCCCTAAGCCCAAAACCCTAAACCCTAAACCCTAAACCGCGTAAACAATCTACAGTGTTCGTGTGGTAGCTTTTATATACGAAGCTCTCAGGCGCCAGTAGGTTTTCACCACCCTCAACTTCGTCGTTCAGCCCCCCCCCCCAAAAAAAAAACAAAAAAGCTTTACCCGAAGCCTGAAGCCCCAACCCTACACCCTAAACCCCAAAACCCCGAACCCTGAAAACCCCAAACACCCTGAAACCTTAAAACCCAGAGACCCTAGTTCACACCCGGAAACCTTAAACCCTAAACCCTAAACCCTGAATCCCAAAAACCAAGAAACCCTCAACCCTCAACCCTAAACCCTAAACCCTAAACCCTCAACCCTAAACCCTAAACCCTCAGCCCTCAACTCTCAACCCTAGAAGCCCAGAAACGGGCTTCTGGAAGATCACCGACTTCAGCCGCCCGCTCACCTAGACTGAACTTTGTAACCCTGGCGAAAGGCCATAATTTCAGCTTCTTAGGAATTCAAAACCCTAACCCCTAAACCCGAAAGTACCCCAAAAAATGAAAAAGGGTTCCCAAGAATCCCCAAGTCACGGAACCCTAAACCCTAAGCCCTAAACCCTAAACCCTAAATCCTAAACCCTAAACCCTAAACCCTAAACCCGAAAGTACCCCAAAAATGAAAAATGGTTCCCCAAGAATCCCCAAGTCACCGGATCGACCCCGAAGTTCTTCGGGAAGGGGCTTCCGCTGATCATGTTCACCACCAGGGCGGCTCCATAGTCCAAGGCCACCTGGCTTTAGGGTTTAGGGTTTAGGGTTTAGGGTCTAGGGTTTAGGGTTTAGCGTTTAGCGTTTAGGGTATTCATTCTCTGAGCCTTCTGCGGGTGGTCCAGGAAGAACTGGTTCCAGAGGTACTGCTGGGTCTTCGGCACGGCACGGAATTGAGGGCCCAGGCGGGCGTGCACGTGGAGCAAGTGCCTTTGAGGGACAGCCGATGATAATTCCATTCCCCGCAAGTCTAGGAAAATCCCCCCAAACCCTTCAAAACCCTGTTGAACCCATAAGGTCCTGAATCCTCCAACCCTAACAAACTTACACCCCCAACACTTCAATCTTACCCCGAACCCCAAACCCTAAACCCTGAACCCTCAACCCTAAACCCTAAACCCTAAACCTTAAACCCTAAACCCCCCTCGGACCCAAAAAGCGAGACCCTAATCTCTCAACCCGAAACCCTCAGCCCTAAATCCTCAGCCCTGAGCCCCTAAACCCTAAACCCTTAAACCCTAAACCCTACCCTTTTGCTTTCCGGATTCAGGGTATCAGGGTTTGGCCGGGTACAGGTTGAGCATCCCGGGCCCCCGAAAGCGGCGTTTAGAGGTGGACCACCCCAGAGCGACCCCAAAAACCCTAAGAGCCGATACCAGGGCTTTGACAAGGGGGTTTAGGGCTTAGGGTTCAGGGTTCAGGGTTCAGGGTTTAGGGTTTAGGGTTTGGGGTTTAGGGTTTGGGGTTTAGGGTTTAGGGTTTAGGGTTTAGGGTTTAGAGCCAAACCATCCTTGCCAGCCATGCACCTCAAGACTCTCTCGAGCGCCCCAGCGGAGCCGGCATAAACTCCACAGTTCCTTCTTCTCCAATAACCAAGGGTTTAGGGTTTAGGGTTTAGGGTTTAGGGTTTAGGGTTTAGGGTTTAGGGTTTAGGGTTTAGGGTTTAGGGTTTAGGGTCTAAGGGTATTTCTCCTACTAAATAAGGAAACCCAAAAAAAGTTAAAGTTCAACTGTTGGCGAAGAAAGGTTCAAGAACTCGCCCACGGAAACCGCCGCCTCCGCCCGTACCTTCGGCCGACGGGCCGAAGCATCCCACATGTGGCTTAGGGTTTAGGGTTTAGGGTTGAGGGTTTAGGGTTTAGGGTTTAGGGATTAGGGTTTAGGGATAAGGGTTTAGGGTTTAGGGTTTAGGGTTTAGGGTTTAGGGTTTAGGGTTTAAGGTTTAGGGTTTAGGGTTTAGGGTTTCCTTCTTCGACAAATAGACAGATGGACGGCTGAAACAACTGCAACCGCAACCCTTACCCCTTTTCTACCGACAGGCGGCACTTGAAAGCAAAACTTAGTTGCCACTGCCGCCGAAGGCGCCGACTCTGAGACTGCCACACATGGCTCATGTTCCTCAGGTGGCCTTCCGCGAAACCCGAAGTTTACGGTTTAGGGTTTGGGGTTTAGGGTTTAGGGTTTAGGGTTTGGTCTTGGGTAAAGGACTACAGCCTGGGCCTTTAGATGGGCATGCAGCCTCGGGTTGTCCCAGATCGGGGTACCGCGTGTAATCCTTGTTTTAGGAACCTCCAAAAAGAGTATCCCGACTTCAAGGTTTAGGGTTTAGGGTTTAGGGTTTAGGGCTATAGGAATCCAACAAGGGTACCCCGACTTTAGGAGACCTCCTCATGCCTTCAAGCATTCCAAAGACACTCCGAAACCCTAAGCCACACTACGGCGCTCCTACCTCGAACCTGCTCAAGGGCTGTTTAGGGATTTAGGGTTTAGGTTTAGGGTTTAGGGTTTAGGGTTTAGGGTTTAGGGTTTAGGGTTTAGGGTTTAGGGTTCAGGGTTTAGGGTTTAGGGTTTAGGGTTTAGGGATTTAGGGTTTAGGGTTTAGGGTTTAGGGTTTAAGGTTTAGGGTTTAGGGTTTTGGGTTTAGGGTTTAGGGTTTAGGGTCCCTAAACCCTAAATCCGAAGCGCCAGGCAGGCCTCCTGTCCCACATGAACGGAATTGGCCGCGGGTAGCGGCACAGGGGGACCGGAGCCCCCCGCACCTTCCAGATTGAGAGGGTTTCGGGTTTAGGGTTTCGGGTTTAGGGTTTAGGGTTAGTGCTGAGGTTGAGCCCCAGCAGGCATAGAAGACAGAAGTGGATTCATGACTTCCCCTCTGAAATCAGCCATTGCAAGGACTCAAACTAAGCGCGGAGCTTTTTACACGCAAGCAAACAAGACAGCGAAAGTCCATGGTACCTGCTACATTTACAGGTTTTGGCACCTAATCCTAAAGCATGAAGCTATACATCTTAAAATATGTCATGCTCAAGGTTTGGGCCTCAAAGCAACATAGAAAAATGCATGGTACAACTGCTACAGAATGACATGTACAGGAGTAGACTTCAACACTCCTCCTTCGCAACACCGCTAGGGTATTGCGACAAACAAAACCTGTACATGTCCATCCCTTCCGGGAGGAGGTAGGAGCTCCTACCGAAGGAAAGGCTGTAGCTGGCCGGCTGGCCTCAGAGTGCGAGGGCTCTCACGGCACCTCTTTGCAAAAGGAAAGCACTGCTGGCAGGCCTGCGCAATGGGGCGCGCAACCTACCCGTCAGGGCGGCGGATGCCCTAACGTGTGCTATGCTGCGTGCAGTCTGCCTGGCTCCTGTGGCACTGCCGGCAGACCTCAAACACAACAAACTTGTGTGAACGGGCAAGTGTGGAACAGGCCTTGGTGCGATGAAGCGTGTTGCCCTCTGGCGTTGCAAAGAAACGAGTTGGTGCTTCATCGGCCTGCCTAGTGGAAGCTGGCGCGTTCCTCCCGGAAGCGGTCGCAAGACGCTGTGAGGAACTGGCCGCTGCCTCTCTCTCAGAGTTTTCTGCCCGGATTGCTTGCTCCGTGCGGTCCCTGAGACGCTGCAACTTGCGTGCCTTTCGCGGGCTTAGCGACACACTGCTCATGCCGAAGGTCCTGCGGGACAAGAAGGCAAAACTCCACTTCAGAAACTCCCACAAAACAATGGCACAAAACGCAACACCGAAAATGCACACTGCAAGCATCAGGTCGGCGTCCAAGGGAACTGGGAGCGACAGGTCTTCCGGCTCTTCATCCTGCTGGCTAGCGGCGCCTATGACTTGCAAAAAGACAAGCAGCATGAATATCGCACAAACAGGATGATCACGCTTGTGAACCAGGTAAAACCCAGGCATGCCCCAACAAACTGCTGTCACAAGGCCATCTGCAGCTGAAGCTAAACGCACAGCTTTTTCTGCAAGGGGTTGTTGGGACTCCTCCTGGACAGGAGGCTCCGGCACGACAGCGCTCAAACCCCACAACCTAACGCACTGCTCCTCCTCGACCCAGTACGGTACTGGAGTGCCTGAAGCAGCTGCTGCGGGCGGGTTCCGGACGCACGGTGCAAACACAGTGCCACGCATGCCAAACAAAAACAGACACAACAGCAGCTGAAAAAGGAGGTTTACGGTCAGACATCGGCGTGTGTTGCGGATCCCGCCCTTCCGGGGGGGGGTTGCTGGAGCAACACTGTTGGGCACTGTGGTTTCGCGCTCTCCTCCTGGCCTGGCGGCTAGGTCCTTGCGAACTGTTGGCTGGACCTTGCGCGGCCCAAACACGCACAACCCACCAAGACCATCTAAACTAAACCCGCCCGGACGACACTGCAGTGGACCTGGCACCTGTGCAGGCCCATCTCTTCCGAGTGGCGAGAGTGGCAGACGAGTCCAGTCCAAATCATAGACGCTTGAATCCCCATCACCATCAAGCTGGTATCGTGTGGGGTTGTCGTCACACTCATCGTCGGCGTCCAACCTGAACCAAACGGTTGAGGACTGCTGCAGGCACACTTTGGGATCCAAAACTTGGGTCCCACAAACCCCCTTTTTTGGCTCCAAAAGGGGGGTTTGCCCTGGCCAAATGGGCGCGGTCATTTGGGCACTTATTCCATGTCCCCACCCTGGCTTCAGACTTGGACTTACGTGCTCATCCTGCCCTCCAAGGGGCAAGCCAAAGGCCTGAAGTGCTTTGGCTATGACGAGGGTTGAAGAGACCTCGTTTGCAGCGCGGTTTGCAAACGTGCTGCGTGCGTTTTCACGCTGAGCCTCCAACTCAGCGATTAGCGTCAACGCCCTATCATGCTCAATCACAGGGCAACCGTTCTGAACCATCAACGCGGTGAGCTCACCCTCAGGGGAACGCAAGAAACACTCATCAGCTGTCCAACTCAACATGTACCCCAGCCGCGCGACAAGCTGTCCTAGGGGCACAATTGCAGTCGGCAGCTCATCCCTCCCGGGAGGCGTGAGTATCACCCCATGCTTGGTGATGCGCATGTGTGATGTGTGGGCCCCCGCTAAACCAACCTGCACCTTGGTTGTCTTGACCCACTCCTCCTGCGACGATGCTGGCCGTAAAGGGTGCGTGGCCCCTGAGTCTAGAAGGGCATGTCCAATGAAAGGTGGCTCGGACTCCACAGCTTGGGCACCGGGCAACCCCTCGATCTCGGCTCGAGAAGGGGGGTTTGCTTGTGGGTCATTTGGAAGGCAACTAGCTGGCATGCTTGAGCAAATGGTGAGCTTCTGGAGGGATGGATTTGAAGGCTGCTGCACACCATCTCCGTCAGGAGTGGGGGCCGCTGGAGCAGGCACTGTGGATACTGGACCCTGCGACGGCTGTTGCCCATGAGTGGCATGCGCAGCTTCAAGCTGCCTCAAGGCGTGGGATGCGTACTGAAGGAAGGAATCCATGGACAGAACAGGCGTGGCCTGGACAACGGGTGGCGCGGAGGATGACGTGGAGGTGGAGGCTGCCTGGACTGACGGCTTCTGTTCCGGCGCCGTTGGCTCGGCCTTTCCAGCCTTGCAATCTTTGACGCGATGGTCCTCAGAGCCACAATTTAGGCACTTCTTAAACCTTTCAGCCGCTGGCAGGTCGCTCATGGAGTGAGGAGCCTTGCACTTCGCACCGAACTTGCACCCCTTAGGCGTAAGAAAGTACTTGCACGGCTTACCCTTCCCCCCACCCTTAGTTTCACCCCCCTTGCCCCCCGACTTACCCCCCGTAGCGGCCATGGCCTTCAAAGCGACATTGTTGCCTGACCCACCCTGTGTGGCAATCTGTGCTCCAGCCATGGTTTCAAACTCGGCTAACAAGTGCTTGTAATACTCCTGAACCGCATCTTCCGAAGGGTGAGTCTCGATGTGCAGCATGCTGCGAACCATCTGAGTTCGGAGCATGGGGTCCGGGTTTTGGCTTAGGATATGGTTGGTCATTTCGGTGAGGGCACCGGCAAGAACTGTAGGATCTGGGGCTACCATACCGCAGTCAATGCAGCGCTTGTGCCACCTACCCCATGCCCTCAGCGCGGACACACCTGACACCACATCCTGAACAACATTGGGATTTTGCAGGTGATTCAACACCAATGCCTTTTCCGTGGAACCTCCAGGCTGATACAACGTGTAAAGCCGAAACATGATTTGAGTGGCTACTTGAGTGGTCCTGCGAGCTACCATTTCCGCTTTTACCCCTTGCTCTAGGGCTGCTAAAATCATGGCGCACGCACGTGCATTGACTCTGGACCACTTTCCCTCCACCAGCTCCGGGCGCTCGTCAACCTCTACCCTGATGCGATCGAGCGGAGTAGCCTTAACCCACCTTTCATATGCGTCACGGCTCACCTGCGGCACTGCGGTCCACCAATCATGCGAGGAATCGGACAAATCACCCATCAACCCTGCAACTAACTCCAACCAATCCTGAAAATCCAACGAACCACTCATCGGATCAGGAGCTTTCAGCATGGGGAGTGCAGAAGTGCCTGGCTTGACGGCTTCAGGGGCGTTGCTAACAACACTCTTATCCCGCATGCCCTGCGCCTGCATGGTTTGAAGCTGCTGCATTCCTGCAAACAAGGCATCCATCATGGGATTGCCTGAGGTAGCTGCTGCACACGGCGTTGCACTTGCTGCAGGTGCTCCTCCTGGAGCTGCACTGGCCTGGGCACCTGATACCTGTGCAAGCGGCACCTGTGTACCTTGCACCTGTGGCACCTGTGGCATTCCTGAGCCTTGAGGCCAGATCTGGCCCAGACCCAGGTTTTCGGCCTGAGAAAGGGGGTCTGGGCCAGAAGAGGCCAAGTTCGCCTGCGCTGCATCATTGGACTGCCCAACCCCTCCGGGTGGGGTTGCACTGCTGGGCAACCTATGGGAACCCTGCAACCCTGACCAGAAGTTGGACCAAAACCCTGACGCGGCTGCTGCTGCAGCTTGAGCGGGCGCTCTCAAAGCACCAACCGCCGGCGCTGCAACATCCTGCGCCTGATGCGCACATGAAGTGTGGACCTGAGCATCTTGCGGCGATGGCACCTGGAGGGGTATGGGGACCTGCATTTGTGATGGTGTGGGGGCCTGCAGGGCACTGCTTGAAGCTGCCGCCTCCCTCGCCAACTGCGCCCTCATAACCTTCTCCTCCTCAAGTTGCCTCCTCAAACGCTGGATCTCAAGGTCCTGGGCCTGAGCCCTTTGATCAAACCCCGCCAACTGCCTAGCAACCTCGGCCTGAATTGCTTCCTGAGGCAAAGATGACGTGTCTGTTCGGGATTGAGGCCTTTCGGGTACATTACCGTACAATAGGGGGGCCCTTTGTTCTAAAGCCTGCATGCGCTGCAGCATGTCAGCGTTCAGTAACGGGCCCTCCCTTCCGGGGTGCGATGGTGCAAAGGATGTTGGCGTTCCTAGTGGCCCCACTTGCGGCGGCGACCCACTAGCAGAACCCAAACTCCCATCTCCCAAAGCCAACTGCCCTGGTGCACCCCCCGGACTACCCATGGAACGGGTAGCACTTCGTGGTGGCGTTGCGTGTGAGTCCTGCCACACCGGGACCTGCATGACCTCAGTGCGGGCTACTCTAAAAAAATCCCCTACCCTTGACATGAGCTGGAGCCCAGCCCCAGGGAAGCCCTCAACCATTTCTGCAATAGTCGGCAAACCCTGTCCTTGCTGGGAGCGTGGGGTAAGGAACCCCTCAACATGGGAGTCCCCAGCGACTGCTCCCCCTGGCGCTGCTTCACCGCTCGCGGTACCTGGCATGCCAGTGCTGGCCTGCAGACCTGGGCTCCCGCCCGGTGTGTTGCCGGGCACATGCACAATTTGGTGTGCGCTCTCACCACCCTCACTGGTGGTCGACACTGGTGGCATTTCCCCTGAACCTCGCGATGATTCATGCTGGCCTATGCCTCCCAATGCCCCTCCCGTAGCCGTATTAGGTTCAAGGCCCACTGCACCTGACTGGCCTGATTCACGTGGTGGCATTGAACCTGGATGCTGCAAACCATCCCCTCCGGGAGGTGGAGATGGATGCGGTGGATTGGTGCCATAGCCCTGCCCAAGCGTTGGGCTCATAACCTGCTGAGGTTGAGCCCCAGCAGGCATAGAAGACAGAAGTGGATTCATGACTTCCCCTCTGAAATCAGCCATTGCAAGGACTCAAACTAAGCGCGGAGCTTTTTACACGCAAGCAAACAAGACAGCGAAAGTCCATGGTACCTGCTACATTTACAGGTTTTGGCACCTAATCCTAAAGCATGAAGCTATACATCTTAAAATATGTCATGCTCAAGGTTTGGGCCTCAAAGCAACATAGAAAAATGCATGGTACAACTGCTACAGAATGACATGTACAGGAGTAGACTTCAACAGTTAGGGTTTAGGGCTTAGGGCTTAGGGTTTAGGGCTTAGGGCTTAGGGCTTAGGGTTTACAGTTTAGGGTTTAGGGTTTATATAGGCTTTGTCTGGCGGATTTGGGGGATTTGGGAGCTTTCTGGGGCCTGGAGCATCCTCCACTGAACCCGAACCCTGCAAACCTGAAACCTCCTCACTGCCAACAAAAGGCAAACGCGCAGGACACCTCGGTGATGAGGGTTTGGGGTTTAGGGTTTACGGTATAAGGTTACCCTAAACCCTAAACCCTAAACCCGAAACCCTAAACCCTCTTCCTCTCATGGGAGCCTTTGCCAGGTTCTCCCTTGCTGTGGCGTAGCTGCCTTCAGCCGGCAGCGGATAGCCGGGGTCACCGGCAGGAAAGAGGTCAAACCTGAGGCCACCGTGCAGGGTTTAGGGTTTAGGGTTTAGGGTTTGGGGTTTAGGGTTTTAGGGTTTAGGGTTTGGGGTTTGGGGTTTGGGGTTTAAGGTTTAGGGTTTAGGGCCACGGAGGTTTTAGGTCGTTGGGGTTTTAGGCTGATGGGGTTTAGCCTAAGCTCTAAAACCCTAAATTTGGGGCTTCCCCAACTCTGCCCCCAAATTCAGTGCAATCAGCATCCTCTCAAGAGACCTTAAATAACCCCGTGCAGTCTGGGTTCATTGCTGCGGGACTCGATCCCAATACCCTGAACCCTAATCCCTCAACCCTCAACCCTAAAACCTTCAACCCTCAACCCTAAACCTAAACCCTAAACTCTGAACCCTAAACCCTAAACCCCAACCCTAAACCCCAAACCCTAAACAACCCTAAACCCTAAACCCTGAACGCCCTTAAGGCCCTTAAGGCCCGAAACCCACCCAAGCGAGGGGCTCCATGCCGACCGCAACTGGCCGCCCCAGCTGGTGCAACACCTGTGGGGTGTTGAGCTGGCATGACAGGGTCCCTTGGGCCTAAGGGTTTCTAAGGGGCTTTCAGGGTTCTTAAGGGTTTTTTTGAGGGCTTTTAAGGGCTTTTTAAGGGTTTTTAAGGGCTTTAAGGGCTGTTAAGGGTTTGTATGGGCTTTTAAGGGTTTATGGGCTTTATGGGTTTTTTACAGGGTGGTTGAGGGCCCAAGGAGCCTTGCTCAGGTTGCGATGGCACGGAAAGGCCGCGACATCAAAGGCATCAACAAACACAACCAAACGCCCGCCGTGGCCGCGCTTGCGGAGATGGGTCACGTAGGACCTGCGCTGCCCTAAACCCTAAACCCTAAACCCTAAACCCTAAACCCTAAACCCCAGTCTAGGTCAAGGTTTACCGGCATGGCTGAAGGTGAAAATGGTGGCAGGACGGCTTCATGCTTGGTTCTGGAAGGAGGGTCTACAGTGTACAGGTCTTGGGGTCTTCGTTTCCGAGTCCAAGCCCAAGCTGCAGCATGTAGCGCTCGGCATCGAAGTACTTAAACTTCCACGGGCGCTGAGCTGCCGGTGGCTGTAGCACACGCAGGCGCACGGGCCACTGAACGGACGAGGTCAAAGCGTACGCCCGTTTCGGAGAATCGGTCACCGTCACCAAGTCGTAGGGGCCCTGCCGTCCCGCGTCCTCACAAAAGCCCATAGACACGATATGCGTGAATCTACGTGCAGTTGAGGGACCACAGGAGGGACCCTTATAAGGGACCTCAGGGGTTACTTGCGGGTAATTTTAGGGGCTACTTGGGGTTTAGGAGGGACTATATAAGGCACATGTAGGGGTTATATAGAGAAACAAGACTAAGGGATACCCTAAACCCTAAACCCTTAAACCCTTAATGCAGTTCCATACTGCATCATGTTGAACAGATGAACGCGCAGACCTGTGAACACTTCAGGATCAGGGGCACTCCCTGCCCTAAACACCAAACTCCCTAAACCCTCATCTCTTCTCCTCCAACAGGGCTTTGGGTTTAGGGTTTAGGGCTTAGGGCTTAGGGCTTAGGGTTTAGGGCTTAGGGCTTAGGGCTTAGGGCTTAGGGCTTGGGGCTTGGGGCTTCGGGCTTCGGGCTTAGGGCCTCGGGCTTAGGGCTTAGGGCTTAGGGCTTAGGGCTTAGGGCTTAGGGCTTAGGGCTTAGGGCTTAGGGCTTAGGGCTTAGGGCTTAGGGTCCCTATTCTCTTCTCCTCCAGCAGATCCGGATCAAGACGCTCCAGGGGATACGGCGCAGGCGCCCGGAAGCCAAAGAGCCGAACGATGCGGAGGTCGACGTCTGCCTGTGGTTGAGCCGAGGCCTGGCAAGGGGACGCGACAACACACCTTATACTTCGAGGTTCGTGGTATATAGTAACTAATTATACCTGTACTTATAACCCACTTATAAGCCCCTTAAGTGCCCTAATATGGCTAGAAGTACACTAATAGGATGCTATAGGTACAGTTATAATAAATTGCTAAGTACCACGACCCTCCAAGTAAGCATAGCTGATGTGGAGCAACAGAAGCTGGTTGGGGGAGGGCTTCATAGCCGAACGATGCAAGGGAACTGCAAGGCCCGGCGCAGGGCGTTTATTCTAAATGTCCGAGGGGTGCATCGAAGATATTGAAAAAGTGCAGGCGGCCAGGTGGGCAGGTGGGCAAGTGGGCAGCTGGCGAACAGCTGCCAGGCTTGAGATTGTACCGGCATGTGACCTAAAACCCTAAACCTTTCTGTCATGCATGTAACTTAAACTACAAATCATAAGTGTGAATGAACCCTGATGCAAGGTCATAAATTGAACCAATTAAACATTTGGCAAGGTCACTAAAAGACGTGGCAAGGGTCATAAAAAGGATTGGGCAAGGGTCGGTTGTATGTGAAGCTTACTCATCTCTTGGCGGTATGGTATTCTCTGGGTAGGTGGGTGCTGGGCGCCTGAAGAGCCGCTAAACTGGTGAATGCTTGGACTTGATATGCTGGACCCTCAACCCTAAACCCTAAAAAACCCAAACCCCTATCCCTAAACCCTAAACTCTAAACCCTCGCTGCCTGGCTGCGGTCTGCTCTCTCCGCGAAGCGCAACCCATACACTGACCAAAGGAGGTTGCGTAGATCAGCATCGTGGCCCAGGCAGCTCAGCGGAACACATGCCACGAACCAATCTGCCTTAGTGTTTAGTGTTCAGGGTTTAGGGTTTAGGGTTTAGGGTTAGGGTTTAGGGTTTAGGGCTTTGGGCTTAGGGCTTAGGGTCACCGGGTGTAGGGTTAGAGTTCGGCTTTCAGGGTTTTTGGGCTACCGGATTTAGGGTCTGGGGCTTAGGGTGCCTGATCAGCTCGCGCTGCTCGCTCTGCGTTCTGGGGCCATCCGCACTCACGGAGGCAGAGCCTCCGGCGGCAAAGACTTCGCCGCTCCGGCAGCGCAACGCTCGAAACCTTCATGGCAGCGGCAAACCTTACTTCTCCAATAGCCAAGGGGGGCAAAAAAGGGCTCAACTGTATTTCTCATAGTAAGTAAGGAAACCCAAAAAGGTTTAAAGTTCAACTATTGGCTAAGTAAGGAACATTCCATCCCACGCATCCACGCATCTTCGTCCCACCCTCGCTGCCAGCCGGCCACTTAACGATGTCACCAGGCATCTTGCACTGAGAGCAACCAGCTCTCTGGATACGGTCCTGTTTGCCAACACTTCTGGATGGCAGGCCAAATTGTGAGCTGCCTCCATGTCGCAACGTCTTCATGTCACATTATGAAGGGCTTCAGGGTTTAGGGTTTAGGGTTTTAGGGCTTTTCAAGTTTAGGGTTTAACCGCGTAACAGACTAGCACTAGCATGGTACATGGGAAGGAGGGGGTCCTGAATCGAACCGACGAGACCGTCAATTCCACATCATGCTTAAACCACAACGGCAACAGCTGGAAGCCGTCTACCTGGTAGATTAGAACATCATGGTTGGATTTGCTGAGTTCACACTGCTCTCCATCCCACTGTCACCGGAACAGCACCTGCACCGGGACCGCTACATACGAAACCGTCTACAACCTGAACTCGGTTCCACACGAACATCGAGAACATGAAGAAGGTGATTGTGGGTGCTGCGCTGCTCTGTAGATCTACTGTAAAGCGCTTTGGGCGGCATGCATCTTTGCAAACATCCTGTTCCGAATGAAAGGGCCATTGGCCTGTACCTTGGGAGGATGCTCACTATGCAATGACACCACTGTCAATCACATGTGAGGCTTAACAATTCATCTGAGCTTGAGTGAACCCCTTGTGGGAGACAAATCCTGGTTATTGGTACTATACTTACATGCAGTCTTTGCGCATAGAAGGAATCTCGTGCATCTTAAGGCAAGGGAGGGGGTGTGCAGAAAAAAACCCAAGGCGCGGCAAGCACGGTACAAACGTATTGAACGTATTGCACAGATCTTCCCCCTGAGGACGGAACTGCACAAGTCTCACCTGGTCACCTGTAAACCTCAGGAGTGGGGTTCTGCAGGCCTGCAGGCCGAACACCTGATGGTAGCAGTATCGCGCATCCACCGATAGCAAAGCTGGTAAAACTAGAGCAACGAATCAACAGTTCTTGAACCACTGAACGAGGGGTCGAATACTTCAAGTAGTCTTTCTCAAAGGCAAGTGACCCAAGTCTGCTGCGTCTGAGCTAGCAGCGGCAAACCGGCAGCACGTGTGGCTCGGATTCACCAGCTCGCTGCGGCTCACTGCAATGCCTCCTCTGTTTCACGAAGGAAGTCGACCACGGATGGATCGCGCAGGGGCTCAGCTGAGAAGATCTTGGCCATCAGTGTCAGGCTAACAGAGTCCATGATGCGGCTGTTGCTGTCTTGTAGCAAGGCAACTGTCTGCGGGAAGAACTCCTGCTTCCATTTCTGGACCAGGTCCTCGCCAAGGGACTCAAGGGACCCTTCGCTGTTGTCAAGGGCTTCCTCTTGGGGGTGCACGCTGTTCTGCGCAGGTTGCACGCCATGGCACGCGAGACTCACGCCAGGGCACTGGCCCTCGAAGAACCTCCGGATATCATCCGGAGTCAACCCCAGGTTGTGGACGCCCACATTCGGCATGGTGGGGCTTGACGAACGCTCCTCTTCATAGAGTCCCTCCCTGGAGAAGTGTTTGGCCACTTCATGAGACGGCAGCTTCTCGGAGTCTTGCATGTGACTGCAGAAGAACAGATCCTCAGCCAAGTAGTCGGGCTCCGGGCGGAAGGACTGAGTAACCCTCAGCATCGCTTCGCGATCGCGGAGGCTGAAACCACCGTTGCCCACCCACTTCTTGGGGCAACGAGTCATGTTACTCGTCCACGGAGCCCCGACATAATCGTACTGAAGGAAGTCTTTGAGGTGCTTGTGTGCCCCATTGCACATCCACGTGTCTGTCTGTGCCAGCAAGACTTTGGGGGTGGTGATTAGCTTCCAAAACTCTGGTGACGTGAGTGCCTTCGAGTATGCTCGCTGGCGGTGTTCCCAGTCATGCAGCCAGTTGATATCATACGCTTCTTTCGGCATGGGTGTGAGAAAGACAACACCTTTCTGCTGGAGTTCCACAAGCGTTTTCTGCGAGTGGACGTATTCCTTGTTGTCACGGCCGTACATGAGCTGTATTCGAAGCTCGGGGAAGTGCGTATGTGCCTGCAACACCACAACTGGTAACGTCACCGAAGGCCTCGTCTCCGGGATCAGAATGGAAAGCTCGCTGCTGTTGTACATGTAGCCGCTCTCGTCCAAGCTTGTCGCATTCTGGATGCTGGGAACACCCTCGATGTTGCTCTGGTGGGCAACGGGCAGACTTGGGTCTTTGCTCCGGTCAGATCCGCGCAGGGTCACAGCTCCGCAGATGCAGAGCCAATGCCCGAGCAACATAAACATGGACATGTAGACTAATAACTTGAGGTCGAATCTCGTGTTCGAACGCCTGGGACGTAAGATAACGTAAGTGAACCTTGAGCCCTGCTTGGCTGCGTGTATTGGACCACCAAATCACCAAACTCACAAAAATGCCTCAATACTAATTTAGCATCTCCTACTGGCACGCAACTTAATAATCTATCTGTACATACATTCAATATACATGCCTACCATGCATATATATATATATGTATATGTATATGTATATATATATATGTACATATGTGTGTATTGAATTATGATTGTTGTGATTTTTTGGCCGGTTATTCTTGGGTTTCTATTGTCTTGCACTTACCTTGCCGCACAGCAACGACAATTGGACAACTAGCCTGTATATCTACATATTGGGACCTCTGCTGAACCTTCGGGTGTGCACTGAGCTTGTGAGCTGTTCCCAAAACCCGCAACCCAAGACTGATCCGAAATGGGAGCTGCTTCAAAATCGGCAGCAACAACAAGCCCTTCCCTGCCCAAGGAGCCACATATGAAAGTTGTTGGCAGAAGGATACTAGCCAACAGGGCAGCAGCATTGAACAGCAGCTGTTAACCCACCGGCTAGGTTCGCACGATAGACCTGTCTGTCTCCTTCGAATTCCCATGATCGGTTCATCCGTTGCAGCACTGGCCACCACTTGTGGGACTGCTTGCACCGCTGCATGCCCCGGCCCCAGTTCGGAAAGCATTTGGAGTTCCATGAATGATGAGACACGGAAGCGATGCTTCAACCCATTAGAGCTGGGATTCCTGTTAGCATACCTTTCGGCTTATGAGGACACAGATGTTCCAAAAAGACCTCAAGAGTGGGGTTCTGCAGGCCTGCGGGCCGAGCACTTGATGGTAGCAGTATCGCGCATCCACCGATAGCAAAGCTGATAGAACCAGAGCAACGAATCAACAGTTCTTGAACCACTGGACGAGGGGTCTAGTACCTCAAGTAGTCTTTCTCAAACGACTGCGGCTCACTGCAATGCCTCCTCTGTTTCACGAAGGAAGTCGACCACGGATGGATCGCGTAGGGGCTCAGCTGAGAAGATCTTGGCCATCAGTGTCAGGCTAACAGAGTCCATGATGCGGCTGTTGCTGTCTTGTAGCAAGGCAACTGTCTGCGGGAAGAACTCCTGCTTCCATTTCTGGACCAGGTCCTCGCCAAGGGACTCAAGGGACCCTTCGCTGTTGTCAAGCTCTGCCTGCGCAGGGTGCAGGTTCTGGCACACGAGACTCACGCCAGGGCACTGGCCCTCGAAGAATTTCCGGATATCATCCGGAGTCAACCGCAGGTTGTGGACGCCCACATTCGGCATGGTAGGGTTTGACGAACTCTCCTCTTCATAGAATCCCTCCCTGGAGAAGTGTTTTGCCACTTCATGAGACGGAAGCTTCTCGGAGTCTTGCATATGACTGCAGAAAAAAAGATCCTCAGCCAAATCGTCGGGCTCCGGGCGGAAGGACTGAGTAACCCTCAGCATCGCTTCGCGATCGCGGAGGCTGAAACCACCGTTGCCCACCCACTTCTTGGGGCAACGAGTCATGTTACTCGTCCACGGAGCCCCGACATAATCGTACTGAAGGAAGTCTTTGAGGTGCTTGTGTGCCCCATTGCACATCCACGTGTCTGTCTGTGCCAGCAAGACTTTGGGGGTGGTGATTAGCTTCCAAAACTCTGGTGACGTGAGTGCCTTCGAGTATGCTCGCTGGCGGTGTACCCAGTCAGGCAGCCGGTTGATATCGTACGCTTCTCCCGGCATGGGTGTGAGAAAAACTGCACCTTTCTGCTGGAGTTCCACAAGCGTTTTCTGCGAGTGGACGTACTCCTTGTTGTCATGGCCGTACATGAGCTGTATTCGAAGCTCGGGGAAGTGTGTATGTGCCTGCAGCACCACAAGTGGTAATGTCACCAAAGGCCTCGTCTCCGGGATCAGAATGGAAAGCTCGCTGCTGTTGTACATGTAGCCGCTCTCGTCCAGGCTTGTCGCATTCTGGATGCTGGGAACACCCTCGATGTTGCTCTGGTGGGCAACGGGCAGACTTGGGTCTTTGCTCCGGTCAGATCCGCGCAGGGTCACAGCTCCGCAGATGCAGAGCCAATGCCCGAGCAGCATAAACGTGGACATGTAGACTAATAACTTGAGGTCGAATCGCGTTCGAACGCCTGGGACGCAAGATGACGTAAGTAAACCTTGAGCTCTGCTTGGCTGCGTGTATTGGCCCACCAAATCGCCAAACTCACCAAAAGCCTCAACACTAATTTAACATCTCCTACTGGCACGCAACTTTATAATATACCTGTAAAATGTTCAAGATACATGCCTACATGCATGCATATATATATATGTGCATATATATATATATAGATATAGATATGAGTACACATGTGTGTATTCAATATTTTCAGCAGTATGATGATGATGATGATGATGATGATGATGCTGATGATGATGATGATGATATTGTTTATGATTGTTGTGGCTCTTTGGCTGGTGGTTCTTGGGTTTCTGTTGTCTTGCACTTACCTTCCTGCACAGCAACGACACTTGGACAACTAGCCTGTATCTCTGGTCCCGTGGTCACAAACGGCAGCGGCAAGGATACCCTAAACCCTAAACCCTAAACCGTAACCCTAGACCCTAGACCCTAGACCCTAAACCCTAAACCCTAAACCCTAAACCCTAAACCCTAAACCCTAAACCCAAACCCATTCCACACGGCTGTGCTGACCTCATGGTCGGCATGGTGACGGCCACTGGCTTGGTGATGGCGACGACAGCACAGTGACGTTATTGATGACGGCGATGAAGGTGATGATGAACATGAAGATGAAGACGAAGATACCCTAAACCCTAAACCCTAAACCCATGGCATGTGGACTCCAGAAGGCTCAGAGAGCTGCCATTCCGCACTTCATGAACAAAAGCTGTGGGGTAGAATCCCACATGATCTTCCACCGCGAGATTCTCGTTCTCTGGTTCTTACAAAATGCCTCCAGATTTCAGGAGAGCTTAACAAATCAGTGCATTCTGAGCTTGCCAGGTTTGGTCCACATCGAGGCTGAACTGAGCAAAAGCAGCTCTGTCACAAGAGCAGCAGCACGTCGCCCTCACCTGTGTCCAAACACACTCAGCAGCAGGGGCGGAGTTGGAACTGGGGCCTCCCGAAACCCTAAACCCTAAACCCTAAACCCTAAACCCTAAACCCTAAACCCTAAACCCTAAACCCTAAACCCTACTCAACATCTGGGACCTGGGATGCACGTTAAAGAGAGTGATGGAGGTAGTATTCGTTGTAGTCGTCGTGAAAATGACGCAAGCACAAGAGAGCCCACCATGATATTCGTAGGAATGCTTGCAGCAGCAGTACTATAGATTAGTAACCGACATCGACGACGAGGAGGACGAGGACGAGGAAAAGGACGAGGAAAAGGACGAGGACTAGGACTGCGACTACAACTACAACTACGACTCCGACTCCTCTTACAGCTTCTGCTACGCTTGCTTCGTTGTAGTTCCGTTACTGTCTGCTTGCGTCGTGCTACTGCTACAACAGTTGCATTGTGTGCTGTCAACTGACTTTTCAAGCTTCGGTCTCGCCTCAATCGCTTCGCATTAGGCCATCGGCTTCGTGGCGCCTTGTCCCCTTGATCCCTCTGTTCAAGCTCCAGTTGTCATTGATATGTATATTATGTATATATATACATACATATATATATATATATAACTTATAACCTTTCCTGTGCTGAGCCTTGGCTTGCAACAACACACAGCCCTGGAGCACGGCAAGCCCGTGCAAGGTGCAGGATGAAAGGAAGGAAGGCACGTGCGGCTATGGGTGAAACACAGGCTCCTGGTCGCTTTTGAGGCGAGACAGGGCAAGAGAAAGAAAACACAAATCGCCGACGAGTGGATGGGGCCCCCCCCCCACCTCTCAAAGGCATTTATTTCTTCCGGCCCATAGAGCCGCTTTTGAAAATGAGCTAGAAAGTTACTCTGCAATACGTCACTCCCTCAGCATCCCTCAAACCCAGAAATCCACAAAGGCATTCATGATCTGTTCTTGGCCCACTGTGGCATCTTTTTTTTAAAGCGGGCGCCTCTTTACTACATCAGTAGCACAGTAGGCCGTTCTTGTGGGTCTCGCAACTAGGTGTGAAACGGATCGCCGTGAGAAGCAAGAAGAACAAGAAGGACGAACACCACCACCGACCAAACCAACCAAACAACCCAGCGAACAAGCAGCAACAACCAAAAGAAACCGGAAGCGACCAAACTACTAGGTTCCCCGCGCGCTCAGTACTCAACGTCGTCGATATCCAAGAGCACTTCCATGCCGCACCAAGCTGTGCAGGGAAATCGCAAAATGCGAATGTATGCCAGAAAGTCAAAACCACCATCATGTAGACATTTGATCAACGTCAATCCGCAGAGAAATCCACGAACCTCAATCAACGGTGCCACCAAACCCATAGCCGTATTGCCACTCCTTCAACAATCGGTCATCCATCGCAAGATCACAAGAGAAGTCACATGTGCCACTTGGCATCCTCTGCCTCGTCCTAAGTCGCAGCAGCAACCGGATCCTGGTACCTGCGCATGCGCCGGGAAATCTCTGCCGCCTGCGTCTGCTGCAAGGTTTCTGACGTCAAGGGGCGAAAATGGCATGGCCAGCACATTGAGCATTCCGAATGATGACACGCAAGCAGCTTTTGTCCCCAAGTCCAAGCTCTAGAGTTGCAATTTGATCCTCGCTTGGAAAGTCGAAGGGCGTCTGCAAGGACGGTCAGAAGCTCTAAACTACATTGCAGGTTGATGCTTCATTTGAACACAAGGCTGGCATTTGGCATTGAACAGGCCCCGCAAGGCCTGCGTCAAATTCCAGCAAGAGCGAGCAACGCTCCAAGAGAAGGCGATTTAACTTCGACTCCCCGGGAAACTCTGTACCCGCGGGAGTAAAAGTCCGCTGACAAGCAACCTCAATCCGCCACTTTCCCAGAGCGGGAGGAGATGGGCTGCTTCGTGGCACAAGTCTGCACCAAAGACAGCGAAAGGCTCGACGTTTGGCAACCTCACCGCCATTCTCACAGAGAGGCGTTACAGACGCCGTGTGTCGCCACGCCAAAAAGAAGGCTGGAGGTTGTCTCCCGCGCTCATTGCCGTGCCATGCGGTCCAAACAGAGGATCAAGTCTCAAAACGCCAGCAGTCGGGCTCCGGATCACTGCAACACAGCATTGCGGAAACTGTGCATTGCGAACACCTGGAATGTCGGCAACAGCGAAAAACATCAGCGATGCAATGCGCAGTGGTAAGGAAACCCTGATAATTGGATCTTTTTTGGCACTGCAGGACAAGCGGGCAAAGTCACAAAGTCAAAATATGATTGCTGAAAAGGTGGAGGAGCTTATTAGCGACCTCAAGAAAGCTCTTGGGCTTTTAGGTGGTTCCGTTGCCCTTGCAGCATGTCTTCATTGGTCCGAATCCTGGGGCTTCTCTTGCCAAGTTGGTCGAGTGGGGCTCTAAACCAGGTGAAACACCACGAGGCTTCGCTTTCAATGACTTTGCATTTTTGTTTTTCTGAATTTGCATGTTCCTCCTTTGCTCAACAAAGTTAAAATGAAATTTACAAAGGTGAAGCTGCGGACTATCGACTGATGACCTCGGTTGGGGCTGCATCCCGTTACCCTTCGGCGAAGGGGGCTTCGAAGCCTTCGAAGCCTTCGAAGCCGAAGGGTCGAAGGGGGGGGGGGGGGGGGGGGGGGGGGGGGGGGGCGGAAGGTCTGAAGGCTTCGAAGGCTTCGAAGGTGAGGACGAAGGCTTCGAAGCCTTCGAAGGGTGAGGACGAAGGCTTCGAAGGCTTCGAAGGGCGAGGACGAAGGGGCTTCGAAGGCTTCGAAGGTGAGGAGGAAGGGGGCTTCGAAGGCTTCGAAGGGGAGGACGAAGGGGGGGGGGCCTTCGAAGGCTTCGAAGGCTTCGAAGGTGAGGACGAAGGGGCTTCGAAGGCTTCGAAGGTGAGGACGAAGGGGGCTTCGAAGGCTTCGAAGGGGAGGACGAAAGGGGGGGGGGAAGGCTTCGAAGGCGAAGGGTGAGGCTTCGAAGGCTTCGAAGGCTTCGAAGGGTGAGGACGAAGGCTTCGAAGGCTTCGAAGGGCGAGGACGAAGGGGCTTCGAAGGCTTCGAAGGTGAGGAGGAAGGGGGCTTCGAAGGCTTCGAAGGGGAGGACGAAGGGGGGGGGGCCTTCGAAGGCTTCGAAGGCTTCGAAGGTGAGGACGAAGGGGGCTTGAAGGCTTCGAAGGGTGAGGACGAAGGGGGGGGGGCTTCGAAGGCTTCGAAGGCGAGGACGAAGGGGGCTTTGAAGGCTTCGAAGGGGAGGACGAAGGGGGGGGGGGCTTCGAAGGCTTCGAAGGGTGAGGACGAAGGCTTCGAAGGCTTCGAAGAGTGAGGACGAAGGGGAGGGGGCTTCGAGGCCTTCGAAGGTGAGAGACGGGGGCATCTCCAGAGTCTCACGGCTGCGCCCCCCCCAATCCCCCCGCTCTCCACTTCCAGAAACAAAAACACTCTCGTCTCTACTCCTCTGATCTTCGAAAAATGAAACAAAAAAACAAAAGAAGATTCGAGGGGGTAGAATTTAGAATTCATTCCCTTCTCCCTTCTCCTTTGAGTTTTCGAAGAATGAAAGACGAAAAACAAAAGAAGATTCGAGGGGGGTGGAATTTAGAATAAATTCCCTTCTCTCTCCTCCTCTGATTTCTCGGGTAATGAAATACAAAAAACAAAACAAGATTCGAGGGGGGTGGAATTTAGAATACATTCCCTTCTCTCTTCTGCCTTCCTCCCACTCCGCATTCTCGCTTCTCCCTTCCTCCCACTCCCTCGTCTGTGATTTAAAATAAAGTCTACTTCTATAAACAAAAACCGTCTCGTCACGACTCCTTTGATTTTTCGAATAAAGAAATACAAAAAACAAAAGAAGATTCGAGGGGGGTGGAATTTAGAATAAATTCCCTTCTCTCTTCTCCTCTAATTTTTCGAAAGATGAAATACAAAAAACAAAAAAGATTCGAAGGGGGTGGAATTTAGAATACATTCCCTTCTCTCTTCTCCTTTCCCCCACTCCACATTCTCTC